GTCAGCACCGCACTCGTTCTGGCAGGTTTCATCAAAGTGTTACCTGCTGATAGAGATAGATACGCTCATTCTTCCCCGCCCTTAAGGCGGGGAAGTATACGGGAGAGGTTAATTTTGTAGCATGTAAGTCGACATGTTGGTTTCTTTGAAATTTCAAGCCACACAGTTACCGAAACGAAACATACAAATCATGTGAAATGTGCGTCAAATGTTGATGTTTATCTTTTCCAGCAATAAGAGATACTTCAAAATCGTCTTGCTATTCTGAGACTTAGTCACTTTTCGTAATGCTGATAACCCATGAAATTTGTTCATTTTGTTTTTAAAAGCGCTAAAAATGATCCCATTTCGCTAAAGTTAACCGGTTTATATTTTGTAAGAATAAACTATTGCGCATTGAGCGATTATCTCCTTTAGCTATAGGCGTAGTATAGAAGTGATAAATCACGCAATGACCTTGCATTGCTGTACATCGTATCTTATTCAAGCTGTATCACTGAGAGTGAGTGATTATCTCCCTTACCCGAACAGCTCAATTGCGCACTACCTTTGCAATGTATCGTATGTTATTCAGGCAGCCATCGAGAAACGTTCCAGGAAGGAATTTAGGCCAAGCCTGTCACGCGCACTCAATTTTCACACTGCTATTGCAACATATTGTTCAACACGATTAAATAACAGTCTTCTATAAAGTATGACTTTGTTCAATAAACAACACATGTAAAACAACGGGTTTGATATGAGAAATTTTGTATTAGTTGTCTTCAATATCACATGTATGGCGCTTGCTGTGCATAGTTGAGCACAGCATTGTTTTAAATACTTCACTGTATGTAATGTATGGTACATACCGTTTCATGCGGCGGTTTACGTTTCTGCATGGTTTATTGCTTTGACAAAAAAAATTAACTTCAGCAGAGATCATACACCCGTATATGTTCTTTGCTTCTGGATACATAGGAAATCAACAGGTTGGTCTGTAGTTTGCAATTATTTTCCAAAAAGATAATACGGTTGCATGATATCTTCACGATGTTTGGGTTGAACATAGTAACATTCTTCTAAACAAATTTCAAATCTAAGCCGGAAGCAATCACAACACAAACCCAGTTAACCAAACAGAACCATCCACAAGAGTGAGTGAGGTAGTTGTGTTTAACGCCGTCTTGAATAGTATTCCGTGTCAGCTTGATGTGGGAGGAAAGTCTGAAGTGATGCAGGTCTTAGATGTTCACCACTTTGCTGAAACCAACGAGCAAGGGTTTTGTGCTGACAACAAAATCGGGGCGAACCGAGATTCAAACACACTGTCATAGGTTTCTGGCGTGCCCAAGGGACACAACTCTGCATAGCGAATTGCAGCGCCTTCGGCGACTGGGCCAACCATGCCCCCGTAAACAACTGTAAGAAACTGTTATATAACAAAGATGTTTTAGATGAGATATGTATTGCGGAACATTCCATGAAGAAACAGTGGCAATATTACACAATCACAAACTACAAAATACATGCACAATAAACGACAATTAAAAAAACACAGCAACATTCAACATTCAAAGGAGGACCATTATAACAATTTTATTTAAAAAACAAGTGTATTATAATGATATGGAAACAATATGAGAATTGAGCAAAACTATGGTAATGTTGTACATACATGTACAAGGAATTTGTTTGTAATTGTTGATATGTTAACAGATCTTGGAAGTTGTTTCTGGATAACTGTTGGTAAACTTATTAAGAATCTGCTCCTTTTAACAGAGTGTACCAAATTCTTTATCATGATTGGGGATTATTTTTGATTCTCTTTCTTGGTTGAACTATGTAAGACAGTGCGTAATGTTGTTCATCTTCTGAGACATCACATGTTTCACAGAGACGTTGTTCAAATGGGGTTGGTGTTTTTGTATATCTACAATTGTTTCATTTTTTAGTTTGTGATTACTTAAACGAAGTTTTGAGAAAAGTGACCTATGGCCTTTGTTTTTACAATATGTAAGACAATTCTCAATATTTATAGATAACGTGACCAAACTGTATGTTCCTAACTTGCTGCTAGATAAATGGGAATCCATTAATGATTGCGTGAATTTTTACATTTGAACTGAAGTATATTTAGAGTGGATTCATTACATTTTTTGTGTTTACTATTTTAAAAGTTTGCTTTATTTAACCCAACCAACATTTTGACCAGAAATATTGATATTAGCTGCAAAAGCATGCTTTAGTATGACATTTGTTGTGTTATCTATATAGGATTTTTTTTATTGGTACTTATATTTGGTATATATCAAGTTTTGCCTGACAGGCCCAGTTTTCTTGCCTGGGTTTTCTTTGTGCTGACCAATTAAAGACACTGTTTCTTTTATTGTGCTTTCCAAAGATAAGTACATTAATAACAACCAATTTGTACTTAACACAAGTTCTCTCCTCCCATAGCTTACACTTCCTTCCTCTGCACATAACATTATATTGCGGGGAGCTATTGATGCTCTGCAGCAATCTCTACTTGTTTGAAATGGTAAAATTCGTGAAATGTGTATACAGCATATTGCTCACTTGGACACGATTGGAAACTACACTCACTCTCCAACACGGGCCAATGTTTTAGCGACCATTGGTTTCGTGAAGCAGGCTGAACAGCAAAAGGGAGGCAACTCTGACACGCCGTTATCAACATGTTACCGCAGATTCTGAAGAAATGATTTCCAGGTTCAAATCCCGTAAACAGCAATAAAAATCCTGATCAAGCTAGAATTTTACTTTAGTTCTTGTTTTTCAACTTGCTAGTTTCTGACATTGTGTTAGAACAGCTTGTGACATGTTGCTTTCTATATCAGCTATTGATATTTGTTGGTTATGTAGGGTGGGGTGGATGGGGTGGATTCCCATGTAAGGTCACATTGACATCTGCTACTATGAACGCAGTTGTCCTAAATGGGGACTTTCTCCAAACACTGATCCGCATTGATGTTTCCACAAACATTTCATGTAAACTGTTGCAATTGTTGCAAAGTAAAAAGGTTGAAGCTGACATGTTAATATCTTAAATAGGATATTTGTTGGTTTGTTTGATGTTTAACGCCGCACTCAGCATTATTCAAGCTATATGACGGCAGTGATTGACATCATGAGCATCGATCCACGCAATTAGGATCGATGACATGCGAGCCTGACCACCAACTCCCGTTTGTTGTTTCTTGTAGCACAGGGAGGATTTGAGTACTCTGAATTCAAGATGTGTGATGAGAAGCGAAGAGATTGAAGAGGGTATCTATGAAGAACAATCATACAGGGAGGGCTTGCAGAACATGAAGCAAACGTTAAGCACTGACATTCAGAGTTTAAACATTCAACTAAATCAGACCATTGGTGATCTGCATGATTCAAAGCAAAGAATAACTGGCCACCCGTGCCCCCTGTGACGAGATGAAGAGAAATAACCACATAATAATGAACAAGTACAAGCCCAATATTGAAAATAGTTTGCTTGTTTTGAAATATTCTTTTAGGTATTTGATTTACATAAAATGGTTGCCAACAGGTGTGTGTCTTGTCCAATTAACATACAGTTAAAACTATCAAATTGTTTATCTATTCAAGTCGTTCTTACATGGTAAAAACAGTCATTTTATCGTGTGTGGAATAGGCGTCAAATTCCGTTTTTCAAATGGTTTTATTCAAAATTTTCATAAAATGAGCGAAAATTAGATTCGATATTTATTAATCAAAATACCAGTGTCGTCAAAGATATAAAACAAGCCATAACCTCATACTTCATGGTGTCAAAATTTTAGTAATTCATTTCATTTCATGATGAGGCTAGTCTTCCATTAATAATTATGCAACATTTGTCAAAAATACTTACACAGTCAGGTGAATACTGGAATCTAAGGACTAATTCGTGTGTCAGGCAGCGCCAGCTATTTTGCTATAACTTTCTCTTTCATGTAGTACGATTTACAATTTATCATCCGGCAGTTGTTAGTCTAAGTTAAAGTATGTGCGTTGCGATAACCTTAGCGCTACGGTAATTTTGTGGAACGGACGCCTGAATTCTAAAGGTGGACCATTGTATGGTATTAAATTCATACGTTTCAACTTTTGACGTGTTTGAAGTATTATTCTGTTAAACTCAATTGTATTATGCCGTGGGTCGTGTAGGTGTCAGCCTATTCACACTCAACAGTATAATTCTGAAAAACGTTATAAATTTCAAGTAATAAATAAAATACTAAACTCGCCCCCGTGTAAAACCAATTTTATGAAACTCGTGAATAGTTGTGGTATCTGACTCGCTTTCGCTCGTCATTGGTAACCATGACGTCATAATCAAATGACATCACTAATGGCTCTGCTACTGAAGCTGTCAGCAGTATTTCTTACTCTTAAGACACTGCTTATTACCGTCTACAAACTGAAAAAGTTGGAAGAATGATGTTGGATGATAAATAAAATCTCACCCTCGTGTCTTTTGATATCACATATATCCATACTCGTTGATAAAAGTGGAGTTTTGACACGAGGGTGAGATTCTCTATTTCTAAATTTCTTTTGATTTGTGTTATGCCTGACCCTACAGTTTCAATATTGATATTTGTGTTGAAAAAGTTAGGTTTCTGGTGAACCAAACATCACGAAATGTTAATGTCCTTATCCAAAGTAAATTCTCACCATGTGACCTGAGTTCTAATGATCTCGTGCTGAGCAGAGCGGAGTTATTCCCCATTTTCTGTGTGCGTGTGTGACCTCTCTGTCGTATTTTGACGTCATATGGGAAAATCATTTTCATCATTTATGGCTAGCTATTTTTCGGATTGAATTTATTTGAAATAATACACAGACATACAAGTCCATTGGGTATATATTTACGTCGTTCAGATATTAGGCAGTATTCTGTTCGCTTCCAGTTTCCGTGAAGCTGTTAAATAAAATGATACTGTCGCAAAGTTCTTTTATCAGTGTACGAAACAATGTGGTGACATTTGCTGTTGTTATATTTGCTGTAAAACAAAATCACGGACAGCACTCAGCAGTGTCTTTTTCAGACCGTTTTTTTTTATTTGAAATTACATATTTGCGTAATTTTATAGTCGGAGGTAGATCCAAGGCCGCGCGAGCACAATTCCCTCACATCTTATGAAATGTGCGTCAGAAAAGTAACTGGGCATTCATGAGGTTGTAAAGTCGCTCTAACAACGTGTTGCCGATTGTGGTCGATTGTGTGAAAGCGAATCTGTCGTGACGTAAGAGTTCCTGCATCACAGTCTTTCGACCTGCTAGTTGTTATCAAAACACAAAAAATCTAAGTACATTTCACCGAGAGGTAAGCGCAACATGAATATGAATATTTCCTCATCAATGTGTTTTCAAACCATAATCCTTATGGGATTTTTTGCATCACAAAAACAAATTTCTTGACAATATTGAAATGAATTAATGATAAAGTAATATCGGACTTATAACTATTTCAGGTTTAAGCTTGGAGCATTTCTGGAATGTCTCAACTGAAATTGTGGATGTTGGTACGCCTCGTTAGACACGCCGGTGTCAGTAGTGCGGTTCTGTTGATCACTGGAATTAGAATGGTTCTGAGAGACATTGCATAGGCGCGCCTTCCCCCCGCGCGGGGATTTCTTCTTCTTGCAGCACAACTCGCTCCAGCTGTCTCGAACCTCCTTGTTACGAGCTGTGAAGAGGATGAAGATGAGGAAGCCCTGTATGGAGTTTGTGATGGTGAAGATGTACTGGAACACCACCCTGGCATCCGCAATGGCCATGTAGCCGAACACCCAGCTCAAACCTGAAATTTTGAAATAGCAATGGGTTAACAGTTCATTGATGAAAAATAAGTACGATAGATGTTACTGATTTGGGTATTTGTATTTACTGAATGTACAAACACATCACGGACAATCACTGCCTAACCTCAGTTCACAGATCATATTTTATTACTTTGTTTATACGATGATGATGATGATGATGATGATGATGATGATGAAATAATCAATACATCAAGGGAACAAACATTGCTTCACTCAAAGACACAAGTAACGTAAATTATATTTCTCATGCATTTTATTTTGATATTTAGAATCTTAACTTGAAACACTTTTCTTTGGAGATTTAAATGGTATTCGCGTTTACTTGGATTCAAGATGCTTAGACCTAGACCTTGTTTATCATTAGTTCAGTTGAAAATATGTTTTCTTGACACATGTTATGGTAAGCTGTCTCATTTTCCCTGGTCTGCAATACTTAAGTATACACCCATGTTTGATGGCAGCTAAAATGTAACACAAGAAATGGTTATCTGATGGTGTACATGGTATTTGATACGGGTATCTAAGTTGTGTTTTGGACTTTGATTCAGTGACTCAGCGACTGTTTGCAGACTAGTGACGTTTAGATAACGTTTGTAAGTGTTTGGCTAAATCCAATTTTCAAGTGTGTGCTTTTCCCCCGGCAGTTTAGATGTGCCAGGCAGTTTTGTAACTTTCTTTCTCATCACATAATACCTTAAACATGAAACTAATCAGGTAGATACTGACAACAGTGCTTTCTTTGCATAGTTACCATGAGACATATCATCCATCTGATCTTTATATAGTTAATATTTATATCATCCAGGTTACCTGTTCACGGGGGTATTGAATGAAACTGAACCTGAATCTAGGAGTCCATGTAGAAATGTGAGAATGTTTTCATCAATGGATATATCTAGGTTTAAACGTCATTTTTAGTCTTTGCTGAACTACATTTCGTTAAGCCTCTTATTTCATCTACCAACCTAGAAGTATAAAGCAGAAAATAGATGCCCGGATGTTAACTGCTGTTCTGTCCTGGTTTGACTGATTCGTGCGGACAGCGGCCGACGACCTTCTGCAGATGTTGACCACCACCATGATGTAGAGGACGATGTTGCTGATGATGATGAGGCCAACGGGGAGGGAGAAGCCGTAGTAGAAAGGAGTTAAAGACATCCAGCAACTGTAAGTCGATATTATGATATTAGTCAACTCAGTTTTCACTCAGGTACGACATGTTATTGTTATCTCGTTATATCGGACGGCACAACCAGTCTCTGGCTGGCTGACAAGCACGTCAGTCACAAAGTTATCTGTAAACCGAACTTGCTGCGTGAATTACTGTGGCAGATACTATGATCGTTTCGGTATCTCCTTTCACATCAAACTGAAAATCCGTACTAAAACTCACTCAATTCTCAACAAAATGGAACCGCATCCGTGGTCTAGAGGAAGAAGGTCCGGGGTTTGATTCCCGGCCGCGTCAAACCAAAAGACGTTAAAAGATGTTACTTGTTGTTACCCTGTCTGGCGCTCGGCATTACGGGGCTAAAACAAGGACTGGTCGGCTCGGAGTCAGTATACTGTGTCTGAGTGGTGTATTCATGTTACACTGCGGCATGGTATCTCAGTGGGCTAGCACTATAACTCAGTCCGGACTAGTACAAACAGCCACCAACTCACACGTGCATGCACGTCGCTATATCGTTAAACCCCATTTCACCTCACCTCACACCCCAACAAAAGGAAAATGTTCCATGATGTTACTCACTAATTGTCTCCCCCTCTATAAAGGTCGGGGTCAATGGCCAGTATGACAATTGGAGGCAGCAGGGGAATACCTAGAAGCAAACGGGAACGTATATTTACTGAAACACGCACTGCCGAGAAAAAGAGGGAATTAAAGACACATGTTTGTAAACGATCTGAATTATGTAAGGTTACATGTGTAGGTCATAATGTGATTAATTAAACTTGAATACCATATTTTAAAAGTGAAACGTGGCACAAACGCCCTTTAGTTCTCTGTGAGCATTGGGCATGAGTAAAGCTGGTGTGATGGCAACACGAGTCCGCAGGATCGCCCAAGAAGCGGACGTCAACGTGTAACGACGTTACGTCAAGACAGGGTTATCGCCCCTTCTCACTTGCGCAAACGCTACCTTCCAGCGTCAACTACTGCCGGTCATACTGCTGGAACCCATGACATACCTGAGTCGGTTGTCAGCGTTACATTACACATGCTGACGTCCATACTTTTGAGAGTACGTTCCTCTTGGGACGCGTCGCGATTTTGAATGATCTCACAAGGTCAAATATGTTATTTGTACATGTACATGTACTTCCTACATTTGGTAAAACAAGTGACAAGTACATTTGAACATCAATATGGCGTCGTGTTGACGGTGTGGCGCTGTTGATTATTCATCACTGCTGAATCATTTGAATCTGAACATTTATAGAGCACCCAAGACGACTGTTGACTAGGCACTACGCATGGAACCCAGAGTCGATAGTTTCCGTGCACATTGCACCGTTTTGTTTATGCTAGCTAATTACTAGGAATTTTCCAAGGAATGTTGAAGTCAATCAATGCTGATCTCAATTCTAGAACACAGCCTGGTGACAAACGTATGAACGTCAAGATACATTTATGAACGTCAGTTTCACGATTGGCTACTCATCTAGTGACGAATTGTTTTTGTCTAAAAGTCACCTTTAAGATTATCAGTTTATCATTTATATCACCATCCGTTCTAGGGGAAATATACACAGTGAATATCTCTGCACAAATCCGTTTTGAGAGAAGTATATTTTAAAAACATGATTTCTCATAATACAAAACCAACATAATGACGACGAACAGGTTTCCCGTCTCCCGTTGTTTGATGCAGCAAAATTGATAAAAACATGTCATAACAAAACGTTATGACTATTGTCGACCCATGCTGGTATACTTGACAATAAATGACACATGGACGAAATCCTCTCTACACCCGCATTAAAGGCATTCAGACACAAATTAACCACATAAATCGAAGTATGCAATTCTGAACATTTGTCATTCAAGACATAGCTGCAATACATTATACAACCCCTCAAATTTCAGTTATTGGTACAAATGTACATTACAGACTGGTACATCTAGGTAGGCTGTACATCGAGATGTGTGTGTTGGAATCAATGGTATTAAACTGTACATTTAGACATGCACATGGAAAACTTGGATTTTGTGAAGATGTTTCACAAATGGAAGTAGTTTTTCAACACTTACCCCAAGCTGGTATCGCTGTCTTCAGCATAAACCTGGGGATATAGGTGCCAAGGACTTTGACAAACAGGATGTAATGAAGCACCGCTTCCACCAGCATCCACATGAACGACGCCAGGATGAAGTAGTGCAGTAGCACCGCCACCACGATGCATCCATTGTGGTCCCCGATCTGATTGATGCCAGCCAAAAATACAATCCACGAACAGAGTTCAGCCAGAGCCAGGTTAAACATCGTTTGCTGGGGACGTGTTTGACGTAACTTCCTGTTTGACCGAGTATGAAGAAGGATATTCTGTTATACACGGATCAAGAGAAGGATGGGGTAGTTGCAGGGTTGTGCGCGCACACAGACACAGGCACACACACACACACACACACACACACACACACACACACACACACACACACACACACACACACACACACACACAGAGACACACACACACACACACACACACACACACACACACACACACACACACAAACATCCACACATCCACACACAAAGGCTCAGACACATACACACACACACTTTTTTTTAAAACGTACTTAACATTAATACATATGGACACAACACTAACTCATTTGGTGATATTCTAGAACAAAATCACACGATTACTGAACACGAATTGCCTAATCATAAAATGCACGATTCTTATAGGAAAAGTTCTTTCCGCGCTTGCATGTCTTAATTGAAATTTCAAGATATATGAATAGTTTATTAAGTAGTGCATTTTGATGATACTTCTAATTCACGCAAAGCATATCGACGTTATGTGCGTGCGTGCGTGCGAACGCATATGTGCATGTGCAATGTTCCATGTTCCTATTACAATGCATGACTGTCAAATTGAATTTTTGAAGTGATGCATGTCGTATCTATAAAAGGCCCATTTTAACGTGCATGGCTTTCAAAATGTGCATGGTCGTGTAATGCTGATTGTATCCTGACATACATTAATAGCATCAGAATTTTATGACGACGTACTAATACATGGATTTAGTACTCACCTGAAGATTACAAATGACAGCACTGTCAACGACAGACCGAATATGGAGAGGCTAAGTCCGATGATTGTGATGATGCTGAGAGCAAGGGAGTGTTTCAGAGTATCCTGGCCGTAGAAGTCCTGGGGGAATAACAAATGGTATGAACCAGGCTGGCGATGACGGGTCATGATGTTGTCATTTGGAAATGATCTATCATAATTTGGTTTGCAGATAAAACAATTCTTTGAATTTGATCATATGTCTTGGGAATGGCTTTTGCTCGGCAGTTTCGATATTATGTCAATATTCAGACATCTATGTTGAAATGTATATAAATAATTAATATGTGTTTATCTTATTTTGCCTTTTAGTAAGATTCATTATCATACGAGATAAACTGTGGGGCAAAAGAAAGTATGCACCCATGTTTGATGGTGGCTGTAAATAAACAAACAAATATGGTTATTCGATTGTGATGTATTTGATACGGGTAGCATAGTGGTATTTGTGACCTTAGGTTTGCAGCAACATTTTTCAGCCTAGTAACAATTAGATAACGTATTGTAAGTGTTTGGTCCAATCTAATTTTCAAATGTATACTTTCCTTGGCCTGGCAGTTTATATGATACATTCCATAATACAGATCCCAATAATGCCCTTATACCTCTTAAAACTTTTTCCTCAAGATATTTCCAAAATAAAAATATAATAACACCATTACACGAAGTGCAATTTTAGCTCTTCTGAGTGCGTCCGACATCATTTGACCGGTCTAAATCGAAATCTTTTATGTGTTAAATATATCATGTGTATTGGTATATCCTTAAGATTTGCACAATAATGTTACTATTAATGAAGTTTCAAAGTCTTGTTTAAAGCAGCAGTACCAGTAACACAGCGAAGTTTGTCAGGTGATCACAGGCACAGACATCCCGTCCATTCTCCTCTCTCACATAGCGACAACCGTCCGTCGACCACGATCCGGAGTCGTCATTTCCGGTGAAATTCCAGAACCCACAGGAAGTGAGATATAGACGGGCGTCTGAAGCAAGGGACTGTCAAGCAGAAAAATGTTTCAAATCAAATAAAAACAAAAATAAACAGTACAAATGACTAATGTGTACTATTATCCTTGAAATAATAATGAATAATGAGACTGGAAGTAAATTTACAGTGAAACCTTGACCCTGTTTCGCCGGAGGCATGTCTCGCTGAATTACTGTGGAGAACGCGTACACACCAACAAAGCAACATTGCTATGTATCCCGGAGCCGTCGAACCGAAAATGGTTTCGTGTGGACGCTTTCATAATGAACAGTACAATCCGGGTTAATATCCGGTCTCAAATTCCTGACAGCCTACACGAATAGCATTTGTACCTTCATCGGCATGAAGACAGTTGTTATGTTGGATTGATACAAGTCTCTGACTGGACGTCCACCAATGAGAAGCTTAGCTGCGATGACCTTGCTGTTTAAGGAGTATTTGATTGGCTGTCTTGACGTGTTTCCCCTCGCAGTGAACAGGCGAGTGTTTTTGAACACACTCAGTATAATAGTCACGTTTTGACTATGAGAATCTGAAATATATGTACGTAATCACAACAGTTTCTTGATGAAAGGACACTAGTCTTCATGCTAGCAACACCTCCTTCCTCCAAATTGGCTTTCTAACAAAGTATGTGATGAAATCATCGTGTAAAATATTTACATTTACATTACCTAAACTTAACACTTAAATATTAATATACATTTGTATACGAGATTCATAGTTTTTACCAAAAGGATCGTTAAAGACGATTCATACCTATTTGTTGGTAACAGTGAGTTTCCTAGCTGACAGTTGTTCATGTTATCAACCACTGGCTTGCCTGTACCAGACTCAAATATTTACAGGCCGCCCTGACATCTAGATTGTTGCTGACTGCAGCAAAACACATTCACTCACTAACTCTTACCATTTACAATTCGCTCGATGTAAAGCTTGGGAAATATAATTGCAGCTTCGGTCTCCCCGTACTTTAGTTCCGAGAGGGCGAACAAAGAAACTAAGCTTTCGTTCTTTATAGTTTTCTGGTACTCCTTTTCAGAAAACTGAAGACCAATTGCCATATCTTTCTGGAATGGGTTTGTCAAGTCCCACACATCTGTGCCAAAACTGCCTGTGAGTATCCGTTGGTGGCCAGACGGCTCTGGTTTGATCTTGCCTGTAGCAATGTCAACAACACTCAGGATTCTGTAGGTCACAAAGACAGGGGTAAAATGCTATATTATATAACATTCGCACAAAACACGTTCTTAGAAGACATATGATGTTGCTGGTATATACTGTCTTATAATTTTCAAATATGCATGTAGCCTTTATTCCTTTACACTGTAGCGGTTACTCTCCGCTTTGTTACATATTCTTGGTAACCGAATCAAGACTACATTTCTTCGTGGAAATAAAGAAGGGGCCGACAAAATCTGCTTTAAAACAAAATTTTCTTTCAGGACACCCAGCATACCAAGCAAACATGTTTTACCCAAAATAATATTACCTCGGAAACATTTTATTCTTCTCAAAATCTCCTTAGACACCCAGAATATCAAATGATAGTCACTAGCCAAGGCCGACCTAATTATGATCCTTGGTTTGCCAGAACCAATCCCCCACTTGCGTGTCATCAAAATTGTAAATATTTAGGAACTGGGACATTTCTTCCAGGTCATGCTGACGCTCCGAACTGAAGTACTGTTCATTGCTGTGTTGATCAAACTCGTTCACACTCACGTATTAGTGTAATAGTAGCATCAGTATTAGTTTAGTATTACCATTAGTATTACCATTAGTATTAGCATGAGTTTAGTATTACTAGTAGAGTAATCGGATTAGGTACTTAGAATTTAGTGGGAATTATTTTTTTATTTTTTTATTTTCACATTGTAAGGGGCGGTCGGGTAGCCTAGTGGTTAAAGCGTTCGCTCGTCACGCCGAAGACCCGGGTTCGATTCCCGATATTGGTACAATGTGTGAAGCCCATTGCTGGTGTCCCCTGCCGTGATATTGCTGGAATATTGCTAAAAGCGGCGTTAAACCAAACTCACTCACTCACTTTGTAATAAATAATGTCTTTTAACTTTCTTTTGGGGTTCTGTTATTTCTACTTCCACTGATGCGTATCGTGTGACACACACATTAACAATATAACATGTTTTATTGTTCGTAAACATATATGCTTATGAAATTGTGAAAATGCCAACCTGTTCGGAACTTTGCCTCGTCTCTCTGCTTTTGTCAGGACTTCATCTCCCGAGTCCAGTACGCTATCGTATATTCTCATCATGCTCTGAAAAGTCTGTAAGTACAATGTTAGTCACTGATAGCTGTAGAGCTGTTACTTTAAGCATTACTGTTCATTTCAAGACGTCATGAGCAGAGTCAAGTTCTGTAATAATAATATTCAGCCATTTGCCCAAGGGTTAAAATGATACTTTGATGAGTCAATATTGCACTCAATTAGCGCTCAACAGCCTGCTTGGTCTGTTGATATTCTACCAGTTCTCTATTTGCCCACATCTTCCGTCTCGCTGACCAATACTCGCGAGATAGAAAATGTCTGATACATGTCGAGTCAGAGGCTTGAATAGTAGATAATGGTATACGTATACATATTTTGTTCAGATTCATGTGCAAAGCAATAGATATAGATATTTGATACGTAGCCTACCCCGAGGGTGTGAGACATTGTTCATTATATCAATCAATGGTTTGTCTGATCCAGACTCGATTATTCATAACATATACTGTCATCGAATCAACAGCATTATGTTCTAATGCCAATGTTATCTGGAAATTCACATATTCGACGGTGTTGTCACATGACGCGCTTCGAAAGTTATCAGGTAATTGACATAACCGAGAGTTTTCCATTGGCCTTTCAAGAGATGCCTGGACTAAACATACCCCACTATGTATACATGCGTCTTTGCACAACCGATTGTGCTTTCATACCTCTGCAGATATCTCGGGGATATTGGCAACGTTTTCCAGGATGGTGGTTATATAGATGAGGTCAGTCTCACTCAGGGTCGTCTCGTTTATGATAGTCAGGGTCGTCTGCAGAACGTCGTTTGCGTTGCGGTGTGTCACATGAATCTGTCACAGTTTGTACAACAATTGTCAGAACAATGAGTCAAGACATAAGTCATTTTCAAGACGTAACTGCAACAGATATACCATGTACTTCCATGCAGTTAGATGCGAATTGTATATTCACAACAGGTAACCTTCTTCAAACAATTCCATAAACTATGTACTCTAAAGATAGATCGGCGACATCCTAGGTCTTGTAGGAATAACATCACTGCTATCATAAGACTAATGTGGATTAATATGTACATTATAATTTTCTGAGCAGACTTTGAGTAGGGTCATTGATAACGTTGCTGAAAGGTACCAAAATAACTGCGATGAATAATGGATAATATTATGTTCACCGGTCCTATTAAAACCTGCATGATAAGAAGATACTTTTATACCAATGGTGGTGAGACTTTTGCTACAGACTATTTGACGACACATGTTTTTGCTTTGAAAGGTGGAGATAAACAGTGGCGATGGGGAGCCACAAAAGACTATTTTTCAGGTTATCCGTTGAACAAATTATTCATAAAAGAGATTTATTTTCCAAACGATTGCCAATCCCACTCATAGGATGTCATTCGGTCGGTCCATTACCTGTGACTGTTTCTTCAGTGTGGGTGATATCACAGACTTATTTAAATCAGACATATCGCAGTCGGACTGAAATTCGACGTCTCCCCAATAGGCCCCATACAGCTTGCTTCCCTTGCACTTCCTTTTGCCGATTGCCTTGTTATCTGTGTATTACAAATATGAAAGTGATGATACGTTGAAATTAATAATTACTTGTCATATAGCAAGTGTAACTCACTCGATGGCAATTTGTTATTTCCTTGAAATTATTATGCTACTTCTCGATAATGGAGTTACCCAATCAGACACAACACTCAGACACAACAAACATTTAAAAGCTCCAATCACCTGAACATACGGTGTAAGCTTTTCAACATTATCGTATGTATGTAGTGCACACCTTTTCTATTGACTGAGTGAGTGTCGTTTTACGCCAGAAAGAACAGAAATATTCACAGGACATCACGCTGAAAATGCCAGCAAAAGACCACGGGGTCTGCAGCGTGACAAGCGAACGCATTGTCCCCAAGGCTACCCGTCAGTCTCGTGCTTCCAAAGGTCCTTTAGCATCAAGTATCAAGTAAGATAGAGGACTGGTAGTATGCTATATTGATATAAGTAGTTTAACAGCCGAAAACTGGTTAGCATCGCCTTGCATGGTTTTGTCTAGATGATCATTGTCAGTCAGATCCCTTCCTCAAAAATGTGTTTCTTCAACATGACTTTACAAATATCGAGACAAGACACATCCAAATATGTATCATGTCACACCCGGATACGTCTTCGGCACTCGACTGCTTGTAGTTGAAGGCGCTTAACTGAATGGGTTGTCAGGCTCTGTGACTTACCTTTTTTTTTTTTCTTTTTTTTTGTAGTTTAACGCCGAACAATATCCCAGCTATATGACGGCGTTCAGTGAATAATAAGACTTTTGCAGTCCACAGTTATGGAACTCTTTGCCTTTGAATCTGAGAAACTCTGCTTCTAAGGAAATGTTTAAGTCTCTCCTCAAAACCCACTTCTTCACTTCAGCTTTTCAATAGATCTCCTGATTTTTGGCATATGTACATAGACATTACTTTTTAACTTTGTCACAGCGCCAGTGGATACAAATCAATTATTATTATTATTATAATCGAGTCTGGACCAGACAATCCCGTGATTGACATCACGAGCATCTATCCACGCAATTGGGATACGATGATATACATCAACCAAGTTAGCGAGCCTGACCACCCGATCCCATTAGTCGCCTCTTACGACAAGCCTAGTCGCCTCTTAAGACAAGCATCGATTGCTGAAGACCGTGTCCAACCCGGATGTTAACAGGTCCTGTGACTTAACTGATTGCATGTTATTCCGCTCCGATGGAGTGGGTCAGTCCAAGGTTTGCGTACTCGATTTGTTCCAGGTGACAGAGTCATATCTGGAAATATCTGACTGTGACGTTAAATAACACTCACTCTCTCATATCAGAGATATTCTATTGGTAAAGGAACTAGAAATATGTTCATAAATTACATACTGACATCACATTTCTCTTTGGTATAGGAAGTATTTCCGATCACGCTCGTTGGAAAACGGAATGTTTGGTTTCTTTCCGTGCCTACATGGATGGATTCAAAACAAAAATCTGGAAAGAAAAGAAGGATCTGTATATGCCTATAAACCATATCAGTCCTTTTTGCGTCTTGTGTATCAAAGACGGGTTGCGATATGACGTCTTTTGAATAATGATCACAGGGCCAAAGGTATCTGTCACAATAGAGTCATTGATATCTGAGTATGTATTATAAAAAATATGAGGACCATATTGTTTGCAATCATCTATCTGAATACAGAATAAATTCTCTTGTCAAGACAGGCCAGTGTAGCATGACACGGTTTTACCTTAACTCGTCTTTCCACATCATAACCTGTGGTAGCATTAACTGGATTTTTGGAGGAAGTTTGAATTTGTTTGATGTCAACATAAAAAAACCTGTTAGAGTCTTTCAAGAAATTTCGTGGTGGACATTCAAATGAAATTACTATATATGAGAAGTTGCTTGTAATGATGTCCCATACTGTGACCTTCTCATTATGACCGAGTTTTGACACCCCTTACCTGTTTACTTACTTAGGCGTTTACATAATAACAGATAATTGTGTGAATGGCTAGTGCTACCCGAAGACAAGGACATACTTGCCAATACCGCAAACGCCCGGTGTCATCCCTGGTTTTGTTGAGTGATCATTCCTAGCACTGTCAATACTATTTGGGGTTTTACGACTTATAAATTCGGCAGATATGGGAAACGGATTATTCTCTGGTGTTAACGTTTGGAATTTAATCTAAAAGATTACAAAAACTTCAGACAAAAGGAGTTAAATAACGCAGTAAGAGAAATAAGAACACATGGATAAGGTTATACTGCCTTTGAATAAATGTCTTAAATCTGGGCATCATTGTCAAGTTTGTTTATACGTGTTTGACAAAACATTCATAAAGGTTGATACATAATTGTAATATCAGCAAAAACGTTTACTTTGCAGTCAAGTGAGCGCCTTAGTCTGGGATATAACAACTAGCAAAAACAATATTGTTTATCCATTGATTCCAAATTGTTTGTTTTTTGTTGTTGTTTTACACTTATTCAGCAATATTCCAGCTACATGGCAGTGGCCTGGATACACTCGAGACAAACCAGTGATTGATTTTGTGACCAACGATCTACACCTTGGGGGGTACGATGACACGCTATGAACCAAGTCACGAGGCTGACCACCAATGCTACGGATTCCAGAAAATATATTGTCAAAGTCCTTCGACAGAATGAAGGAAGGTTTAGTGGTCCAAGAATCCAATCCAAACTCGACCACTGCTTACCAATACTCATCAGTATCAATGTGTCTGGTTTAAAATATTTCTTGGCAGCGTCAGAGTGAAACCCTATCTTCAGGTCATTCCGTGCTCTATTGTATAAATCGTCAGCAGTATCCACTCTCCTCAATGAGTTGGGTGTAAACTGGTAGGATAGGAAATCCATAATGGAACCCTGTTTTCTGGAAACGAAGATGGGGGAGAACTATGTTTCGGTAAGATCCATATACGCGTCATTGATAACTAAACGCGATTGCACAATTTTATTTGCACAAACATAACAGTGCTGGAAAGGTGCAATGAAATTCTATTCCATTATACGTCATTTTGTGTTCATCTGAAAACAGGATTCCCAACTTTGGGTTTCAAATTCAAAGTTAACCTGATCATAGTCCTTAATCTGTCATACTTGCACTTGTAGGTCTCACCGTAATCTGTCTCACAGCCCCTGAACCATATTAAATTCCCTTTCCCTTTTAAATTTCCCAGCCCTTACTGTAATGTAAAGACGAAATACAGCAAGTCTAAATGGTTCCCCATGTTCTGAAACTCCCATCTCACTGGGTCTTCTTTTGAATTTAAATGAAGTCTATCAAAATTATAAATTTTAAGAGACTAAGCGTTAGTTTGCACAGCACCTTATGTGGCCATATACAATTTAATAATCTTGCATTATTATATTTGAAACTAACGACAAGGTGTGAAGTTGTTAAAGAGAAAATGCTGACATAGAAAGCTGTGTTAGACATACCTGAATCTCAGCGGATATATGTTGGTTGGGAATTGATTCTGGGGATGGTTGTCATATGCTGCGACGAGTGTCTCTATGTCTGGGGTTAAGGCATCAAGGAGGTTGAACTTGGTGTAGATCCTGGCTGGGCTTCTACTTTGTTCCAGGGTTTCAATGCTCCCCGCATGCAGCGCCAAGTCTATACAGGATACAAATATGTATACCTCACAATATGCTTCTGTGTACCAGTCACACCCTACGACAGACATGCTTCTGCGGCTTTTGGTACAATTACTACTGCTGCTACGACTACTACTACAACCGTGATAACTTCTGCTACTTCGTCTTCTACTACTACAGCTACTGCGACTCCTATTACTACTACTGCTATAACTACTACTACTACTACTACTATTTCGATTGTGGGAATAAAATAAGAGTCATAAGAGTGTCATAAAAAGTGAAAGATGTAACCGCAAGGCTAGCCTATCTCCCATTGGGCAAAGGACTATCTCAAAAAGCAAAAACGTTTTTTACAAACACGTCCCCAAACTACAGTGACCAGCTACCCAGTATCACAAAAACAGCTCTTACCGTCATGCCGTACAAATATGAGGTTCGAGCGGTGAAGTCGCGTCGTGTTCATGTTCATTGCCTCGCACCAGTAGTATCCGACATTGTTTATCTTCCGCTCATTTTCTCTGTACATGTGTTCTGGGAAGGTAATAGACACTTGTTCTTCGCTTGCTTCATACCGCCTCGGGGGGACTAGACGCCCGTTCCTGTACCACGTGACCCGCTCTATTGGCGTACTCAGACCCTTTACATTGCATATCAGATGTGGAGCAGGACCAGAAGTTTTGCCCGTTGATATATACGCCTCCACATCTCCAGAGTTTCCCAGCCGCCTAACCGAATCAGCCCACAGTGCGCTGGCGGTTAGTTCGATTTTATCTGAAGCACGAACATCTTTTTTTATTTTTTCTGTAAATGTGTTTTAGTTTTAAACTCATTTCACAAATTCATTAAACGCTCATTTCACAAGACTGTGTAATTAATTCACATAAAAAACTATTAATATACTGTGAACCATCAACACACTACGGAACTAAATTTCAGTGGTATATATGTACTATTCATATTTTTGTGCTATGCCGCAGTCTGGGTCTGAAGAAAACAGAATTTGATGTCACGAGAAACGCCGTACGCCATCAAGTATGGCCATCCGCTGTATTTAGGCGCCTCGGAGGAAAATGACTGGTTGGGATCTTACAAGGAATCTCCACGCTGGAATATCGACTACTAGTTGTTTGACAACATATCCAAGCAAGCTGTCACAGTCAATCTCCATCTAGGACCATATCAACAGATGTGTAGTATATATCATAAGTGTAGAAAATGTAACTTAGTAAATATGAAATAAGAAAAGGTCCTACTTAAACCACATGTTTAAGTTTGGGAAAGATTTTAGGTGAATTCGCTTACTTTCATATGTGACTGGAGTTTCACACAGGTAAGGCAGCCTTGCGTTGCAGTCCCATTGATGTGGCATGTTGGAGGGGACGTCGTCAATGACTTTGCAGCTACTGCCATTAGCTACCCATGTCCTGACAAACTTTGACGTACCGTTACTGTCTACTGTAACACAACCATTTACATTTATATTTCAAATAGGACAGGGCTGGTTTTAAATTAATTAATTAATTACCGTAGGGTATAACTTAAACAAAAGACCAAGAGGCGTTGAACTGCTCACATCTGAAGTAGTTCAAGGCTTCAGTAACCATCCTCTTGTCGTACAGTGTCTTGGATCTGGCCAGTTGTCCGCCTTTTGCCTTGCACCTATACCTTGCTTCGGGGAATGTAGCAATGTCTTCGGGCATCTCGTAGCAAGTCTTTATTAGGAACGACCCGACAGTTCCATTTAAACAAACGGGAACTGAAATAAAGATGGGAACACATAAAGAGGCATAAGATAAACACAAGATTTATTTTATTAAAATCTAAATTATGTTACAGTTTCAGGATATGTGTTTTGTTACCCATTATGCCTGGTGTCTTCCATGAAATCTTATGTATAGGATATGGCCCCTGTGGTCATGCACAACCAATGATGATTACAAAACATCAATTTATTTATACCGGTTAGAAGGAATTCGTACTATGTGGCGAAACATGATTTCACATGTTAAGACTTCATGACATATTACTCAACATCCATATCCAGAAGAACTTCTATTGAGATTAATATTAAAATAATCAAAGTATGAAGTTTGATTCAATATAGCTTAGCACCATGGTTGTGCAACGATACCTACCAGGTTTTACATACAATTCCGTCAGAGGTTTGACAGCACATATATAAGGGAGGGTGGTATCACATCTGGTGAGGGATAGTGTTGATACTCCGCCTGAGTCAGGAAGTTCTTCTTTTGGCTCAAATTCCTGCCCCATGAAGCCACCTTCTGGTCCACTCCCCAAGTCAGACTCTTGATTGGAAACATTATAACACATGACTTTACGTCTTATGCACAGTGTATAATGAATATGGAGTGGTGTTTCCGATAAGTACAGGATGAAAAAACATATCCTATCAAGGATTGAAGTATATACTTGGTCTAGTAAAGACACTGCAAAAACAACAACTAGCGTTTATCGTCATCTGACAATCTCTTGGCATTATAGTTTGTAGAATAAATATTTTATCTTTTGCAATGTAATTGATACCTGTAAAACTAGAGAGGAAACCAAGAGGAGTAGGAGACGCTAGGACTGGATAAAACGTAGTGGAAGGGATTGATTCCTGCCCAGGACCAGATCCAGAAGCAGAACCAGAACCAGATCCAGATCCAGAACCAGAACCTGAACCTGAGCCCGATCCAGATCCAGATCCAAAACCGGATTCAGTCATTGCCGTGACGACTCCGGGGAGAGTAGTTCTTGGACGGAAATTGACTGGTATTTTGTTCAACATAAGGGAACCACATTGTCGTTCGTTTGTCGGTTGCCCAGCATCCCAAAACCACGGCCTTGAACACATGATCGTAAATCAGTATTAGGATGATTAGCCGCCAAATGATTTAGAACATTCATACATGCACGTGTATATTAAAACGTCAGAGCATCAATCGGAACCGTCACTAACAATGTATGGGACAAATTAAAAATAAAAATCAACGAAATTATTGTGAATTACAATGATTAGATGAATAAGTCCTGGTAGCCACTAGGGTTGCGGTCACTTTAAAATTCTGTGATAGTCAAATTTTGTCGATGATCATATTGTGAATGTGATAAAGTTCCCAATAAAATTGGCAATTAGGTGATATAAAAAAGTCATAAAAACATTGTAATGACTGTATTGCCGATTTTGTACTATTAAACCTATTTTAGATAAATAACATAAAATATGGCGGGGTAACCTCCAGTAGACATGTATTTATCACAGCTCTGTTCAAAGGTGAATATACACCTACCCGTCTGTTGTTATGCCTGGGCGGTCTAAAGTGTCCTTCCTAAGCTTGCCATCTCGAACATAAACTCCACCCCATGTGTGTCGAATACCTTTACCGATGCAAAAACAAAATCTCTTAACACATTGTTAGTACCATTAGGCTTTAAAGAAATAGGCATTTTCGAGACAACCAAATAGACATTACGGAAGCGAATCATCAATTCAAATCAATATCACTCAGAATTCAAGCATCGCCACGATACACAGAAATATCGGTGTAACCATCCGTTATCTTTATTAGTGATAAATGAGGACATCTTTACAAATATGTCCTACCCCTGTGCATGCATTTGCATATGTAATCCATAGCTCATAATGGGTGTAAGAATCGTACAAATCTGGGTACTTGTCGAGTCGGGTCGTATGAAATACCCTGGGAATCGTCCTGAATAAATCATTCTGGCAATATGCATCCGTAATAGGGTTTATACGCATTAATCGAGTCTCGTGGTCCCGATACAACACATTTATATAAAAACGAGCAGACTATAAATAAGCAGGTAAGTTTGACAGCAATATACACAACAATCATCACCACATCTCCACATCCCCGATCCATTGTGCATTTTCTTTCGAAATTGTGTGCTTCGATTTATTGAATGCAATGTAGAACATACCTCGGACATGTATCGATGCATCATTTTTTGGGGTTTGATACTTTAAGGAGCAAAATGTACAGTGTCGTTTTGTCAGGAACAACATATAACGACATTATATGCGAAAAATGTCTATTTGAATAATATTGTAAAACAAATAAATTCACAAGACAAAAATATCCACATCTAATGTACCTACCGGCCTTTATAAGTTGGTCAGAGAAGGCAGTGCCATTTGCAAACTCGAACAGATCCTCGTGACTGAACAGTATTCCCAAGTCCCTGTGACACCGTCTCCATGCCGTTGCCCACGATGTCGCTTTGCCGATGTAGAAACAGACGTAGTTACCATCTGGTATAGAAGACAGGAGCAGGTACCCCGGAGGGCAAAGCGCACCTGGCCATAGAAGATACCAACAGGTGTTGCAGGAGGGGTATGGATGTGATATGATAAATGTGTAAATGAGAAACAGGATCGGAAGATGAAGAACCCGCGGGATTTTTTGATAAACTGGAGGTGGTTCTTATCTGTTGTCGTCATAAAACATACTAGACTATAACTGTCGACCATACAAGGAGTTGGACCTGAGTTAAATGATTATGTTGCAGACAATACCTTCTTCATAAATAGCTTGGCATCCCAATAGGAATATCAGCAGGAACCATGCTCTTGAAAGGACCATTGTTACCTGAAATAAGTTCATTTATGAAATAATATTACGGTATGATGATTAGAGCTATTAAGGTTACGTTTAAACATATTTTGTCGCAGAGACGTGTTTTCTACAACATTTTCATGGTAACATTTCGAAGGACGGCAGAAACACGTTTAATGTATCTGTAAGACTGAGACTCTGATATCTGATATCAAATCCTTACTTAAATACCTTTGCGTGTGGTCGTCTGGATTCAGGCTGAAAGAGTAATAACTGCAGCCAACACCTGGTAAAAGTCGGTATCGTACAATGGACTCTGCTAGCAGATGTTTCTTATGATGATGGGAACGGTATTAACCCTCATTTCCCTGTATGTGAATACTTTACAGGAAACACACACTCGGAGGTTGATTGACGAGGTAGACATTTCAAGATGGCTTATTAACGTAAAGATGACTCATGACTATCACATACCCTTGGTCGGGTAGGAGTCTAAAGGATATACATCAAATGATGCTTGAGTTTATACAGATGTGAGGCGAATTGTAGGATAATAGTGGGTCAAGTCTGTTACAGCCCCAAATAGAAATGATAACATATCTGTCTCTGTCAATAACACTGGTAACATTCTGTGATATGTACACAATGGATAACACTGACAGTAGCGTGAACATGAACATATATTGTTAAATATGTAACTCTATATTCCTTCGACATTTTCCCGGATAGGTTTAACGTTCATCCTCATTCCATTTCGAAATAAACCTCCGAAACACACCTGGGCTATGCACGACCGTGTAAATATTTCATATGTATAAAGCTTTATGAACGACGCAATACCACTGCCACTAACCTGCCCATCACTGTTGTATGACTGTTGATATCCATACACAGGTATGTGTTACGTCCTTTTGGACTGAAATTGACATGAAATGTACAACTATGTACAATACACTCACCTGGTAGTTATGCACAACCCTCAGGATATATACCAACCTTTCACGGCTCCCGTTTTTATTTATCATCAGATTATTAATAACCCCGTCCGGGAAGTCCGGGTCAGATGCTGCGGTCAGTCAAGCGAAACGTTTGGCAAATGTCCGCTTCAGTGTCAGTATGGTTTAAAGTTATTTGTATGTGGAAACAAGACATTGACATGAACAATGACCCATGTACCTAAACAACAAGTTGATAACACCTTTCGAATAACTTGTGTAATGTGTGTTATGTTCCCTATGGCAAGTATTTCCTTGCGAAAAACAACAACATTTTATTGTCACCGGTTTAAAAAATCATTACGAAACACATTTATCCAGATGTTTCAAAGGGAACGCAGAAGAATTTATCAAACTGACTCTTTGTAAACGGTTCACCTTTACAATGTTCACACCAAAAATCAAGAAGATTGCATGTTTTCAAGTTTGAATTTGAACAGAAAATATTCACATAAACAGCAAAAGTTAATTATGTAAATATTGTTATGTTGATGTTATATAAGATTCATATGTTTTGTGTATATGCAATACGTATGATTATCTAGTTTAAGATCACGCAAAGTATACATATGAGTACCTTGCCAAAGTTTCGTTAGTTCGAACCCGTTTAAACCGGGCACCTTGTATTCTGGACATCTATTGTGGCCGTCTATATGAATAAAGATAGACATTAATCCGGACACGAATTTGTCAATCCGAACATTTGATACTGCGGATGATTGATTTAACAGAGAACATGACTGCCCGGATTATTAGGGATGTACTGCATCTGTTCAATTGGGAAAATAATACATTAAATGTGTGTATTTAACAAGTATTTATAATAACATACCGAACGTGACTTAAAGCTTGTTCTTAAGTTCGGTTGTATATCACATCACCATACTAGTTTTTACCCCGTAATCCTATGTTTCATGTAGGCGTATAGATAACGAGAGCATCTGACTTAGCGGAACAGTCTACAGCGCCTCGGGGGAACAGTGGTATTCCGTGATAAGTTAATACAAACAAGTTTGCACTTACTCCTTGTTTCTTGGTTTCACGTATCTCGAGGCGAGAGATTCCATGTTAAACGCGATGCTTGAAACAACAACAACAACAACAACAACAACATCCTTCACACTTCAGGAGAAACAGGTAACAGTTTAATGATCATCTTAAGTGGCATATTCCCCTTGAGATAGGTAGTTCAGGATCCGTGTGACAATACCGATGTTCTCAACTTATCAGTTGTGAATGCGGCGATGCATATCGTTCACAGATCGATCAGTTTATAAAGTCTGTACACAAGAGTTTGGTAGCTCGACAATACCGCCACTAGTTTAAATGTTTGCTACTGGTATTACTTTGGTATTCATTAATGTTACTTTATTGCTGCTACTAGTACTGTGCGTCGTACTATGGAATCCTCCCAACACAACAACAGCTTATAGTTTACAGTTGAGTGCACATCTAATGCCCTTGCTGTTACATTCTCAATTAGACCCGTGAAGATCCAGGGTAGAATAGGTCTTCAGCAACCCATGCTAGCCGTAAAAGGCGACTAACGGGATCGGGTGGTCAGGCTCGCTGACTTGTTTGATGCATGTCATCGATCCCAATTGCGTGGATTGATGCTCATGAAAACGGTCACTGGATTGTCTGGTCCAGACTCGATTATTTACAGACCGCCGTCATATAGCTGGAATATTGCTGAGTGCGGCGTTAAACAACAAACCAACCAACCAATCAACATTCTCAACTATATAGATTAACCTATTGAGGTACATTAATGACAAACTATATGGCACATGTTAATCATCAGATTCGACTAATTGTTTCTGAGTAAACACATAAATATCCACAGTATATTTTGTCAAGCCCCTATCTGAGTTTGATTAGATAGGTGTCCCAATCCTCTCAACGTAATTGTTTCATGTCAATTATAACAAATCCTTATTTAAAATAAGCATGGTTTCCACTTCTGCTCAGTATATCATTTCCTTATCACAATGAATGGTTATTGTCATACACATCCAACAGATACTACGATTGTTAACCTCGACTCATTCTTTCTCAGTGTATCCTTACTCTCAAGGGTACTGTTACAAAAGGTAAATTTCCTTTGTTGTTTTATCTAAGTGTTTGGGAATTGCGGTGTAGGGATTTTGGTATTTGGAGGTTTGAGAAGACTAGTACTATAACAAGGTGAGGTGAGGTGAAATAGGTTTTAACATCGCGTTCAAGAATACATACCGACAGACACATTTCTAATTCAGTATTCGAGACCAACGGCCAATGTCACAATATCATATGTTATGGATTTATCAACAAGCTGTATACAAAATTTCAAAACAATTAAGGCTTAGTTGTGATACCAACAAAACTATAAAAGCGGTTCACACAGCGAGTGGCATGTTCGTTTTAACACTCCAAAACCATATTGGCCTAAGATATGTCTAATAATACAAGATACCCATATTGTTTGACCAGGCTCATCAAGTGACATACGCATGACATAGCACCGATAGGGCAATCTATGTACATATAATCCATTATTCTAAACCAATTATAGGTTTTAACACATGAGCATTGTAAGGGAACGCTTTCACATTTAGCCAGTGCCCTCACATTACTAAGATATTTATTGAACTTAACAAATGTTGAAGATTATTCTGTACCCTTTCGATGATCGTACAATGTTTGGTGCCCCATAGCTCTGCAGCATACCGTGGTATTAAGGTAATCCTAGTTCGAATATCTCACATGCATCTGTACAATAAAAGCGAGAAAAACCCTTTCCATATTCATAAGAAATCTCTGCCAAAAACGGTTGAACGATTCCGACTAGACCATAAGCATGTGTTTATGAATCACTATCAAATAGTGATGATACCAGGAGTTGGCTAAAAGGTGAGCGTATCCTGAACCATCGGGGCACATACACAGGAAAGTCAACTGAAAAAAACCCCGGGAACATATGGTAAAAGTCAAAATAGGGAATTGCATCGGACGGACATAATTTTTGTCACTGATGCGACAAATTTGGAAATGTCATCCATATGTCTAACATAAAAGCTTTTGAAAGCCTTACTGAGGCCTTGAATGTTGAACCTTGTAACATTGGTACCTTGAACATACAACTTCTGAGCAAGAGTTGTATAACGCTCTTTGAAATTCTGGTAGAAAGAGCATGCTCGATTGTACCTCGAAGGTTGTGAATGTAAACACCATAGGCTGGAGCTGCAGGTATATTGCTCGACATAAAGGGTATGTTGAATATTGGAAAGTTGAAGTTGAGTCTTTTGCATAGATCTCAATATGAAGCGGTGTCACAGGTCTCCTTTATTTTCTACTTCAGGTGGGTAAATCAGTGGAAGGCAATTAGCTATTTGATAGTTTTAAACGATATCAGATCATCGATATACCTGAAGCGTAAGTTGAACTTCTTGGCCAAATTACTTTGTTTCGACTTTGCCAATCCGAGCAGAAAGTCTGTTTCATATGAATAAAGAAACAGATCAGCAAGAAGGGGAGCGCAATTGGTGCCTATAGGGATGCCCACTTCTTGTCCAAATTTTTACATATAAATTGAATTAAACAAGAAAAATAACTATACTTAGGTTTTTTATGACTAACACTACAGCCGTAAGGGTCTGTGCAGACAAATGGCCCTCTAACCATGGCAGGGTTGAAGTATAAAGAATATCCAGATATCTATTAGACTTTACACCATCAATTCTCTATCCCCGACAGTACCACTTTTCATAATGACCAAGTCGAACCCCTCTGCAACAAACCATTATTTTAATGTGTTTTTTAAAATTTACTTTCATTCATGTGTTAGCACAAAACTGCTTATCTTCCTCGTATTTGTATAAGGTATCAGATACACCTGTTTCATCCTCAGCATAAAATAGTGCTACAATATTGGGACACTCGGGGAAATACATATACCATTCTGTTCAAATAATGTGGCTAAATGGTTAATGAAATTCAGAAATATTACTGGGCTTAAAAAGTAACTTTGAGTGATACACTTGAAATACGCAGTTAACTCATCACATTTTGTCTCACAAGCAGATATTGAAGAACACATTGATACAATTTACTTCGAATTTACCTATAATTGCAAAATGTCACAAACTCTAGTCGTCATGAATCACACATTCATACGCAGCTATTGTCTATAACAAACCATATGAAAATGTCAATCTTAAAACGTTATACTTCTGTCTCGTTGAAAACCCCGTGTTATGTACTGGTATTCAACCCTTCGAAACCTGGTGACGTGAACATAAAAAGGTTCTCGTCTTCAATTTGACCATGGTTACAAACTCTACCACTTTTTTCCTCTCTGGGCTCCTTGTCATTTCTACCTGATGCAATCCTATGTTGGTAAGAACGATATATAAAACGGACCAAAGCACTTCTAAGTTTATTTATTACATCCTGAGAAAACACTTCACTGTAGTTAGTATGTTGTTATAAAGAAGTAATGTATAGATTGGTGACATCATAAATAAGACATAAAGTTAAATCGTAAACTATCCTTTACAACAAAGCAGCAATATGATGATGATTCGGCTCAACATCTCGAACATTAATTTTACACTTATCGGTAATATTTCCAGTGTTCACATAGATCGGTGTTGTTCATGTTGTTAATTATACATACTGGTTGGTTTCAGTTTCCAAGCTACGAGTATCATTGTTTATACATTTGTTGTAGTGTCGCGCAGAGAATTGTTACTATTCCCAGCTTCCTTCGCAGTAAGAAACGCATCGTTAGATACTTAGTTGACAGCTGTGTCGCACTGACCGTCAGTACTACTGTCGGTGTTGAGAGTAGATTGTTTGGTATTCGCTGTTCCTGCGACACTGTATAGGTTCGATTTACTGTCTTTAGTTACTTTCTTCTTGCAGCACATCTTCCTCCAGCTGTCTCGAACCTCCTTGTTACGAGCTATGAAGAGGATGAAGATGAGGAAGCCCTGTATGGAGTTTGTGATGGTGAAGATGTACTGGAACACCACCCTGGCATCCGCAATGGCCATGTAGCCGAACACCCAGCTCAAACCTGAAATTGTGAAATAGCAATGGGTGAACAGTTCATTGATGAAAGAATCAGAAGACTAGAAGAATACCTCGTTCTGTTCAGTTTATTTTTGACATGGACAGTGACATGTGTTTAGAGGTCAGTGATAAATGTTGACTTCATTACATCCGATAATTGCCAATATCCGACTTTGTTAGCCGTTAGGAGTTGGTGTGTATGGCATGTCACCACAGTTGCTTTAAAACGAATACCAGTTTCCTTGCTATAAACACATACACGATGTCTGGAAGGTGAACAATAACATTACCACCCAATATGCAGCATCTAACGTCATCTTATACCACATACATATATTAGATCTGTATATCACTTTATATATACTCGGAGGGGCGGTCGGGTAGCCTAGTGGTTAAAGCGTTCGCTCGTCACGCCGAAGGCCCAGGTTCGATTCCCGACATGGGTACAATGTGTGAAGTCCATTTCTGGTGTCCCCCGCCGTGATATTGCTGGAATATTGCTAAAAGCGGCGTAAAACCCCACTCACTCTATCACTCACTCACTTATATATACTCGGGGCAATAACGAGTAATACTATTAGGCCCCGAGCAACCTATGCTTGTCGTAAGAGGCGGCTAAATTGATCAGGTTATTCTGAGGAATGGATATGCTGATATATGTTATTCCAATACATTAAAGGCCATAGGCCCGTTGCAACAGAGGTAACTATAAGGAGACTCATAACACACATCTAAATGGTTTACAGTGAATACATTTGTAGATGACACTGAAACAGTATACGTGTTTGAAATTCCGTGCTGTGTATTCAACCCTTCAAAGCCCGGTAACATTAAGAGATTTAAACAACATGGTTTTCCTACGCGGGGACTTGGCTGATTGCATGTTTTTGATTTGCGTGGATCAATACTCAGGATGTTAATCACTGGATTGTTTGGCCCAGACAGCAGTCACATAGTTGCAATATTTCTCTGCGGGGCTTTAAAGGTGAATGAAAGAGTTTATTCCGTAAAGGGGCGACCGGCCCATTATACAAGGTACATTGGATTGATCAGTTCACCTATACAGAGCGCTGACTATTACATTAGACGACCGAGTCACAAAGCGCCCGCAAGCCATGAACAAGTGGTCAACACTCATCGGATGCACAAAATGTCACTGAGGCCGATCATAACCAACGAATGGCCCGTGGAACGGGTCCCAACACATGTTACACACACTGACAACAATCAGTCTCACATTGTTACAATGGCATAGTACTACAATCAGTCTCACATTGTTACAATGGCATAGTACTACAATCAGTCTCACATTGTGACAATGGCATAGTACTACAATCAGTCCCACATTGTTACAGTGGCATAGTACTACAATCAGTATCATACTGTTACAGTGGCATAGTACTACAATCAGTCTCACATTGTTACAGTGACATAGTACTGCAATCAGTCTCACATTGTTACAGTGGCATAGTACTACTATCAGTCTCACATTGTTACAATGGCATAGTACTACAATCAGTCTCACATTGTTACAGTGGCATAGTACTACAATCAGTCTCACATTGTTACAGTGGCATAGTACTACAATCAGTCTCACCTTGTTACAGTGGCATAGTACTACAATCAGTCTCACCTTGTTACAGTGGCATAGTACTACAATCAGTATCAGACTGTTACAGTGGCATAGTACTACAATCAGTCTCACATTGTTACAATGGCATAGTACTACAATCAGTATCATACTGTTACAGTGGCATAGTACTACAATCAATCTCACATTGTTGCAGTGGCATAGTACTACAATCAGTCTCACATTGTTACAATGGCATAGTACTACAATCGGTCTCACCTTGTTACAGTGGCATAGTACTACAATCAGTATCATACTGTTACAGTGGCATAGTACTACAATCAGTCTCACACTGCTACAGTGGCATAGTACTACAATCAGTCTCACATTGTTACAATGGCATAGTACTACAATCAGTCTCACACTGCTACAGTGGCATAGTACTACAATCAGTCTCACATTGTTACAATGGCATAGTACTACAATCAGTCTCACACTGCTACAGTGGCATAGTACTACAATCAGTCTCACATTGTCACAGTGGCATAGTACTACTATCAGTCTCACATTGTTACAATGGCATAGTACTACAATCAGTCTCACATTGTTACAGTGGCATAGTACTACAATCAGTCTCACATTGTTACAATGGCATAGTACTACAATCAGTCTCACACTGCTACAGTGGCATAGTACTACTATCAGTCTCACATTGTTACAATGGCATAGTACTACAATCAGTCTCACATTGTTACAGTGGCATAGTACTACAATCAGTCTGATATTGTTACAGTGGCATAGAACTGGCACATCTTGAGAGAAAGAAATATATACTTTGCAAATCTTCTTATAACATAGAGGTTGCCGCTATATAATTGTTTTAGTTTATTAAGAGTTAGACATATGTAATAAAATTTAGGAAGTACATGTTCCCTCAAATAAGAGTAGAAGGGGCACTCGAGACAAAAGTGGAATTCAGTTTCTATATATGGCACAAATACGGGGCTTTAAATAAGAACAAAACTTGACATGATGCACATACCACATCTGGTTGGGGTGTATCTGCTTAGTCTTTGAGGTGCAGTTTACTTACCTAGAAGTACAAAACAAAGGCACGAAGCTCGGACGTTCACTATCATTCTGTCACGATCTGCTTGGGTGCTTCTGACAGCGGCTGACGACTTCCTGCAGATGTTGACCACCACCATGATGTAGAGGACGATGTTGCTGATGATGATGAGGCCAACGGGGAGGGAGAAGCCGTAGTAGAAAGGAGTTAAAGACATCCAGCAACTGAAAATAAATTTACATTTATATTTCACTCGTTTTGTAAAAGCATTCATTTGAACAATGGTCGTTCAGTATGTTACATATTCTGTACATATTGGACATCTATTGGGAATACACTTATGTTAAGTGAGTGAAGTTGGGTGCAATGAAGTTTTCCAGTTCCAGTGATGGGTAAATAATCACGGTTGTTGCAAATCTTAGATTCGAACCACGACCAGCGGATCCTGGCACGCCAAAGGAACACAACTCAGAGTTTTCACCCATAGTCCAGGCATCTCAAGCAATCTGCCTGTGAAATGATATTATGCAGGACCGTAGTTGAGTTTTTCTCAGTTGATAGAATACTCTTTTTAAGCAACCGACGAAATTACTCACTAGTTTTCGCCTCCTCTGTACAGACTAGGATCAATGGCCAGGATGATAACAGGGGGGAGAAGTGGTATACCTAGAAGCAAGATTACAATCATGCTTATGTCAGGTGTGACAGCTCCAGTCGTCAAGCATTGTGAATCGTCCATTTGATACTAGCAAGGATCTCTGGAAAATGTCAGATTATCCGGACATGTGTGTGCAGTTTTCACTCTTCTTTGTCCGTCAACATATGGATGCTTACGTAACTTTGAACTAGTATACAAGAAATGTTTTTCTTTAGTTCATACGGTGACGGCTGTCAAGATATACCGTGCTCGCACCTTTCTCGCAAACAATTAAAACTCATTAACTCGAAGTCTTAGGGATATGGAACGTGTATCGAATAAGATGAAGTTCGCGACAAGCGATGTATTTTGACCCCTGAGCGGATAAATATTCTTCTGGGAACAGACATGTCAGTTTGCTAAATCTTGAACGACATGTCGAGGTAAATGAGTTCCATTTAAGGAGCTGGAATATAAACCACGTCATCATAAGGAGATGTGGTAAAGAGTAAAAAAAATTAATGTGGACCCTTACGCATTAAAATCAGATATTACTATGATGCGATACTTCTATGCGTTAAGACCTAACAAACTCGGCGTATGAGTTAGCGTCAGGTGACCTTTCTAATCAGCCAATCAACATCGAGGTTAATTCTTGTTACGAGAGAGAGTGAAGTGATCAGAAAACTACATCTGAATTTGTATCGCGAAAACGAGCATGAAAGGGTTGTCTGAATCCAAACTAATAATGGCCGCGCTTTTACATTGATGTGGATATGTTAACACCCTGCCATTTCTGGCATCTGCACCTAATAGCGTGTAGTGTCAAGGGTATATATTTGTGTTGTTAAGATCAGTTTGGAAATTTCACAAATCAAATCACTTTGCCCATACTTACCCCACGCAGGCAGGGCTGTCTTCAGCATGTACTTGGAGATATAGGTGCCAAGCACTTTGACAAATTGAAAGTAGTGAAGCACAGCCTCCATCAGCATCCACATGAACGACACAAGTATCAGATAGTGCAGCAGCACGGCGACCGCGATGCACCCAATATAGTCCTGGGTCTGATTTATTCCGGCCAGGAACACAATCCACGAGAAGAGTTCGGCCAGAGCCAGGTTGAACAGCGTCTGTTGTACACGGTTGCGACGTAACTTCCTGTTGGACCCAAAACGTAAGTACATTAGTACATTGTTCAAAAATATATAGTTATCAATCACGAACATTCAAATTGAAGTTTAAATTTTCAAAAACACTCAAACTATGACGCTCACCTGAATATTATAAATGTGAGGACTGTCAACGACAGGCCAAGTATTGAGAGACTGAGTCCAATGATTGTGATGATGCTGAGAGCCAGGGAGTGTGTGAGGGTGTCTTGTCCGTAGAAGTCCTGGAATTGTACACAGAGGAACTATAACTGACATCATACATTGCTTCTTTGCTACAAAGGTAATCGTAGGTATTTATTATGCTATTGTGGTGTAAATGTATTAGAGTTGAACGTAAAGTAGTCTGCGACAACTAGTGAGTCGGTCTTTAAAACTAATGTGTTCACAAGCAAACACATCGACATACCCTGATATTATATATCAATATGGCATATTTTCTAGTGACGCTGCAGCTCTGAACGAAGGATCATAAAAAGTATGAATCTGGGATTCAAACCCACAACCAGGAGGAGGAGCTTGGATCAAAAGAGGGACGCAACTCTGCAAAGCGAATGGTGGTTTCAAGGCCATTGATTGGACTGCTCATAGTTTTAATTAAATCAATATCTGATCTCCATTCAAAATGAAAGCATGGCTACCTCGTAGTCAGTATACAGTAAACTGCATAGTATCTCAGCTAGTGGGCTAGCACTGCGAAATGAGAACCACGAGGTCACTTTAAAAGACTATGTCATATGTCGTGTTATTATATATCTCGCCTCATTGCATGGAATATACTAACATGGTTGACCTTATATGGATACACTTGGTCACGACAGGTATGTTACATGGAATATACTAACATGGTTGACCTTATACCGATACACTTGGTCAGGTATGTTACATTGAATATACCAACATGGTTGACCTTATACCGATACACTTGGTCAGGTATGTTACAGAAATGAACAACAAAGAAACCTACCAGCAACACTGCAAAGTTCGTAAGATGTTCACAAACACAGACGTCACGGCCATATTCTTCTCGCACATAACGACAACCGTCTGTCGACCAGGATCCGCGGTCGTCATTTCCGGTGAAATTCCAATATCCACAGGTAGTTAGATTACTGCGTTTGTCTGTTGGGAGGATCTGTACCATTGTGAAGAAAAATATCAGAAAACAATGTATCCATTAAATATCAAAACAATAAATTAAAATATGAAATCAATAATCAGTTAAAGTTGTTATTATTGTGTCAATGTAGTTACATTTGGAGCTTAATATTCCCATACATGTACCTTTGTATGATATAACAAGTTGTGATATGGTAAAATAGAAATTATGAAATTACAGGGTATGGTATTGACGTGAGGTGATTTGGTGAGATATGAACATAAATTGTATAAAATTGTATATTCTTCAAATTATACTATAGGCCTCTGGCCTCTTCAGTACGTGAAATAAAGATTGATTGACATGTACCTTTGCCAGCGGTGACCAGGTGACTATTGTGCCTTATCAGTAACAGGATCCACTGATCGAGAGTTCGAATCGCGGTTTCGTCCCGATCATACTTCTCTGTTTGAATACACTTCTGATCAAGGCATCCATCAAACTAGTAAAGATCTATGACCTGCGTCACTTTGGTATTTCCGCCAACGTGAAGCTGGCACGCCGTGGTAGAACTGAAATACTGTGAAACCCATCTCATTCACTCAGCCATACCTTATTGGGCAGGAACACAGCGGTGACCTGTGAGTCTGTCAGATCCGTGATGGGACGCCCGTCAACGAGTATTTTCGCTGCGATGATCTTGCTGTTGAGTTGATACTGACGTTCGTCACCAGATGATGATTCGCTGACTCCAAACAATCTAGTGTTTTGATATACATTCACTGAAACGCGAACGCCCTCGGAAGCTGAAAATAACAATAAACACTTTATTTGTAAAATTGACGACAATGAACAATTATAAATCAACTTAGTGTTAGATTCCATTGTAAAGTTGGCGAGTGAATGAGAAACCAGAACTTATGTGTAACAGCTTCTGGTTTATTGCAGTCAGCGAAGTGTCATCGGATTCTTACACCGTTATCCACTCCAGTGATATCCATAAAGTGTATGTTGTATTATAGTGAGTGAGTGAGTTGGGTTTAACGCCACTTTTAACAATATTCCAGGTATATCACGGCGTGTCAGCTTAATGTGTGAGAAAAGCCCGAAGTGATGCAGGTCTCAGACGTTTACCACTTCGGTGAAACCCACGAGCACGGGTATGGTGCTGACAAACCTAGCAACAAAATCGGAGTGAACCGGGATTCGAACCCACAATCATAGGTTTCTAGTGTGCCCAAGGGACACGAATCGCAGACGCTCTACCACTAAACAATGGAATACACGGAGTAGGTGAGTGCCAGTGTCAGTATGCGCCTCGATGTCGATTTGAACAGTATTTCAGTTATCACGGTGTGTCGGCTTATTATTTGCGAAGTGATGCCTTTTTGTAGTCCAATGTGGTGCTAACAATCCTCGAAACAAAGTTGGGTAAACACAGTGAGGTAGCTCAGTGGTAAAAGCGTTCGCTCGTCACGCCGAAGGCCCGGCTTCGATTCCCGACATGGGTACAATGTGTGAAGCCCATTTCTGGTGTCCCCCGAAGTGATAATGCTGAAATATTGCTAAATGCGGCGTAAAAACATACTCACTCACTCAGTAGAAACACAGTCAGGGAGCTACAATTGTAATAATGAAGCTGATCGTCACTATCTCGTCATCAGTTACATATCCAATTCTAAATGGCTCATGCTACTCAAAGATCTTGTTTGTTGCACGCACTGATGTGACCGTACATAAGCCGTTCTCAGTGAAGCCGAGACATCAACTTGATCCTTGAAATCTGTATCAAAATGGTATATTCGATACATAACCCGGACCACCAACCTACCTACATCTTCTTGTCATGATCCGTCATCGGAAAAAGAATATCAAGAAATCCGTATTGAATTACGCAAGTTAATCTTGCCGTTACAACATGGTAATAAAAAAATTTCATTGTACATTTGTACTTATGCTAGTAATCTTTCACGTTAATTTTATTAAAAATTTCCTTTAATCACGTTTACATGAGCTCAGGGGAAATCGTGTATCCCTCCGACAACTTTCGTTTACATTGTTCCATAGGGTCTGCTTTATCACATACCGCGACAGCACCAAATCACATTTTTCAACAACCATTGTCATATTACCGCGTGTGACGCCTTGAAATTAACCAAAGTAATATGTCAGCGGCCTGTAAATAATGGAGTCTGAACAACGTCCCACGCGTTCCGGTACGATGTGACACGCAATCAACAAGTCACTGAGCCTGACCAACCGATTCTCTATTTGCCTACTTAGGACAAGCACAGGTGGCCGGTGACCAATTCTGACCAGACGTCCTCACGGGCTGTCATTATATCATCTAGAATTATGTAATTCATTATTGTTTCATCTTGAATTTAAGTTGATATAAGCATTGATTTGTGTCGATAGCAATATCACCTTGGAAAGATCTCAGGAATTCTTTCTTGAAAAAGATACTGGCGTATGTGTTGGGATTCAACTCGGAACTTGCGAACATGGGTTCCAGGCTATCATCCTTCAGCGTTGTGGCATTGTCTACGAGCTGCTGACCAATTCTTAGATACAGTTCAGGTACTCGTGTTATATCCCATGCCTCTGTACCAAAAGTGTCTGAAACAACTTTTTGGTGGCCCGCCTGTTGGATCTTCAATTTCGCCGTCGCCAAGTCTGTTGCCTTTAAAACCCTGGTGAAACATCATTTAAGGTTGATTGTTGCGGCTTCAACAGGTCAATTTCTATCCCACTTACAAATCAGTTGAGGGGGTATATCAAACCCAGAGTATATTGATGAGTGCGGCAAAACTAGAGTAAATGAGAAATACTCAGAACTGTATGGTAAAAGAAAAAATCTTCGTATAGAAAAAGGTACCTGATCATACTGTGTTTAATGTGTCGAGTAATCAAACCTGTTTGCAACTTTGCCTATTGTTTGTGAATCCACCAGGACCTTGTCAGTTGTTTCCAAAACTTTCTCGTATACTTCGAGAAAGTTTTTAGCAGCCTGAAATCAGCACAATATCTTCATCAGTCAGTAATAATATTTCAAATCACATTGGTTCCAATTTTGTGGAACCATTAAGAGAAGAGTTGTTTTCATTTTAAGAGGATAACTACCATCAGGTGTTTTAATATTTTCAGTTATGAAGTGTTTGATGCCCGGGAATTACGTATGAACCCCGCGTGTTTAACACAGCATAGTGCGGTCACAGTCTCTTTAAAGTATATACTTGTATATATATATTTCATACTTAATGAGTACGGTAAGTAAGTAAGGTGGCATCAATTTCGCCAGCACGGATAAAATATTATCTGGATTTCAAATCCAATTTACCAACGTTTCTCAACCCAAAACATGATTACAGCTGATACTCGTCTTACAGCTGTAGGTTCACCTACATTTGTGGTGATGTCCGATACTTGCACACTGTTCTCCATGATGTTTGTGACATACAACAAGTCAATCACGGTTAAGGTCGCATTCTGGATTATGGTGGAAGCATTCCGAAGGACTTCTTCGACATTACCATCATTAACCGCAACCTGGGTCAAAGCAAGACAGAATCAAGATTGAAAAATAATAACGAAATAAACAACACAAAAATACTTGATCACCAATCTGGTTAGTTTAAAACATGTGGGGAAAGTATTATTTAAATAAAATTGATTTAAAGAACTATTAAGACTGAATAAAAAATTAAACGCTATCAGGGTACAATGAAACGAAATCGGCCATCCCATCCCTCTTATATGAAAGTAAATGGAATGCTGGATGCCTTTTGGTCCCTGTAGATGAGGCATCACATTTGGAATACCTCTGACACTGTCTTCAGTGAAGGTGATATTGCTGAGTCAGGTAGATCCGGGACGTCACAGGGGGCGTTGAGCTGAAACTCTCCCCAATAGGCACCGTACAGTTTGTCCCCCTTGCACTCCATTACACCAAACGGCCGATTATCTGTTCGATAAGTGATGTTAAATGTTGCTGAAGTTGGACCCTAAGCTTCGGGGAAAAATTCCTTTTGTTCAAATGAAATGAATAACGTCGATCGAGTGAGAGGTTGGGTTAAGTATAATAGTATTCCTGCTTCGTTTTTCAATGTTCTTTATGATTTAACGCGTAGGTTTCTTATATAATGTTCATAATATCATTACGACTTTTTAATAAATGATATTTATGAATGTATATTGTGTAGGCAAATGAAGAGTCAACAAAAGAATGGAACTAGTAATGCCACGCACACATTGCAGGATATTTATAATGTTAAGATGAATAATTTACCCCGTTCAGACAATGTTTTCTGTGCTTGTGGAAAACTACCTGACGGCGAGAAAAGGTCGTCCGAAAAATGTATTAATTACTACTACTACTACTACTACTACTACTACTACTACTTGTTTAATGTTAATCAAATATGATTGGGAGGTATCTCTGTATACCCTGGCGAGTATACATACTGACAAGACAGCGCTGTGGAGAGTAGAATGTCTGGCCCAGCTTTATCCGTGGGATCAGGAACTCCCGGCCTGTCTCCTCCACGACATGTTTGAAGTCAAAACAGTAATCTGAGGACACAGATCATGACGTCGCTTACCCATATTCATTGCTTACCCATATAGGGATAGGAAATCCACAGGAGATCCCTATTAAGAATATTGTTTTACGTGCTTATGGTTGTACCAGTATTTTCTCAATGGTGTATGGTTTTGCTGCAAACTTATTCTCAGGGGACTGGTATGATGCTCCATGTGTCACTCGTGAACTTTATCCATTGGGTGACTGAGTGCGTTTGGTATAACGTCGGTTTGAACAGTATTTAAGGCGTGCCAGTTTAATGTAGGGGGAACAACTGAACGGATGAAGTGGTCTTAGACGGTTGCAACTTTTGTGAAACCAATTAACATGGTGTTTGAGAAACGAAGAAACATAATCAAGGCGAATGCAATCATTGATTCCTTGCACGCCAAAGTTACGCAACTCTGCACCGCTATTTGGCCATCCGTACGCCGTATTAAACATTGAAATGACTGCGGTTGTCATTATTTGATAACAATAGACCCGTGGTGAATACCATTAAGTTGAGTTGGGTTGAAACAACAGGTAAATGAATTAATGTATTACCAATACTTCTGAGTTGGAGAGTGTTGGGCTGGAAATACTTCATGGCGTTATTAATTCTAAATCCGGTCTGTAAGTACTCTTTCGTCATTTTCAAAACATCTTTCGGATCAATGAAGTCGTCTGTCATGATTGAAGAGTGGTATGACATGAAATCCATGATTGCACCTCTATTTCTGAAAAGTAAAAGAGAAAATTAATAATTCTCATTAGCAGTATAGTTCAAGGTATCACCTTACGGCAGGTACACATAATGTTAATCAGTTTCCCGATGTATTATGTTTGTATATGTAAATAGCCAGTATCGTAACAGACTACATGCACTGTACATTCTACAATACAGTACCCAGTACATTATGCTGGCATACTGGTTTGGGAATAATAATATATGCATTTGTATAGCGAGGCATTCACTGTACATAAGTGCTCTGTGCGCTGCAATGAAACTTTGAGTCAGTGAGAGTGTTTTTTTAATAAACTGCTTTGTACAAGTGCGGCTTCAAATTCATCGACATTTGCACAACTGAGTAGTATTACAAGTATTGTAATAAAGCTAAAATAACCTACATGGTTCCACTTGTAAACAATGCAACAACCACTGTACGTGATGTTAGGTCTTATTGATGTGTTTTTGAAAATGGACCCTGAATCTCACACACGTATATCAACATTGAGACTGAGCAGATGTAAACGTAATTAGGAATCTGGTTCCTTGACTTGGTTATGCAATGTGGAAACCTTGCACCTCTTATCTGAATCTGAGCCTGCATATGAACGAGGAAGGCCGCCTCACTGGACTGGTGGCTAGGGCCGCGTTAGATCCCTAGAACGCGTTAAGGAAAAGACATTAAAGATGCTACATGTTGTTACCCTGCCTGATGTTTGGCATTTAGGGGATAAAACTAGGACTGATTGACAGCGTGTCAATATCAGGTGTCTGCGTGGAGTATCCATATTAAACTGCGGCATTTTATCTCAGTGACCACTCACTATAAGACCGACATTAGTGTGGACTAGCATAAGCAGCCACACACAAACTCGTGCAAACACGTCCCTGCGCAAGTACAATATTATAAAGGGGGACGATGAACTCCATTTCACTTAACCTCACACCAGTAACCGTCTCTGGAATTTCATTCGTCTTATTCACAAAACCATATCTCAGCAGATATATAAACGTAGGATCCTTGATTCTTCTTCTGAATCCCAGTCCATATAAAAATGTACAAAAACTGGTTTCTCTTACCTAAACCTCAGTGGATGTATGAAGGTAGGGAGAATGCCCTTTGTGGTGCTATTATAAGCTTTCACAATCGTGTCTATAGCCACAGTGACGGTCCCGAAGAGGTTGAACCTGCTATAAGTGCTTGTCAAGATCTTTTGCGGCTGCTCGAGCTCAATACTTCCGGCATGCAGTTCCTCATCTGCAAGAAATACACAAAAGAACCGAAAAGGTGATTTGCATATCTGACTCGGAGCTCGTCAGTAGTGTCCACGCAATTACGAGTGAAGGTCGAAGTAGTGTGTTAACAAAAGCATGTATGCAGAAGAAATGTTTGTTGAACTGAAACACCGATCTCTGTAGTATTGGTCTTTTTGTCAGTTACACACAATAGACAAGAACAGAACTTGAAAACAAATTAAAACCAGTTTCGTGTTCATATCAATGTTCAATTCTGTCATAAGCTTTGATACGCCAACTTTGAGCACCACTATCCCGCACGCCTACACCATTCCTTCTTGCTCAAATGTTGTTTGATCAGGGTTACAAACATTTAAAGCCTTAGCAGGACAGGTTACATTATGTTGCTGGCTGTTGATGTGAAAACTTGACTTAGCTTTGCATGTGTTTGTGATGGGTGCAGGATACGCTCAACTTTTCGGGAACATTAACTTTGATATCGTCACTAATTTCATAAACTCATGCTTATGTTGCAGTCGGAATCGTACAACGTTCTCTGCTTTTAGCATGTATTTCATTTCCATAAGGAAATGTTTTTGTCACTTTGATTTGCTTTATTTAAGATTTGTTGTTGATTTTTGTCTCACTCAGTATTCCATCTATTAGACGGCGGTCTGTAAATAAACGAGTCTGAAAACATAGATTGAATAAATAACAAAAAGCTTAGGCCAGTGACAACCTTTTGCATTTGTTAATGAAATGTATCCACTTTTTTGTTCAACAGTACAAAGCCATGTATGTATTTTGATAGATACCCTGGAATATGTTTTCGTCCTTAGAGTTGGATTTTGCTTAGGGAAAGCGTCCGTAAAATGTCGATGTCAGGCTTGATGTTAAGGACACATTATCGACGCTTTCTTGCCGTGTTCGTGATCGCAGTGTGCTAGTGTTTCATTGAACCCGACGGCGTGGTTCATTGCTCAACAACCAATGGTGGACCTGGTCCAGCCTCGATATTTCCAGGCCGCCGTGGTATAGGTTAAATATTGCTGATTGTGGAGCAATACAATCTTACTCTCTCACTCGGTGTGGAGAGACAGTTACACAAACTGAAAAAAAATCATCGAGGCCTAATGCTTCTCCTTTTTTATATGCAAACTTCGAATAAAAATACCTTATTTGTATTAAGCGACAGTGTGGGTGTGACCCCCCCCCCCCCCCCCCCCCCCCACACACACACACACACACACACACACCCTTAAGTAATGTTCCAGCGGGGAACACAAGAAATGGGCTTCACACATTGTATCCATGTTAGTTAAATGTATCAATGTATGTGGTGTAAAGGGTTGCATGAATACACACTAAAGATAGAATGAAAGATGACGTGGATTTGAAGATGATTAAGTGAGAAGAGATTCTTACCAATAAGTCGTAGAAAGATGCTGTTTGAACGTTCCAACCTCTTCTTGTTCCTGTTGTTGGTTTCACACCAGTAGTATCCCACCATTGTTATAGGCGCCTCTCGAACTCCCAACGTTACGTTCAGATAAACTCCGTCTCTGTTTGTTGAATACATCCATATGGGCATCACACGGCCATTGCGGTACCATGCCACTTTATCAATTGCAGAATTAAACCCCTTGAAACTACAGTTCAATCGGGCGAATTGGCCAGACTCAGACGGTTTGGGTAGAGAAATCTCAACATCGCCAGACTTTCCAATCGGACGTGCAGGGAACCTTGTTATTGCCGTTGCAGTAATGTCAATCTTTTCTGAAATACGACAATATTTATACAGTTTTGTGCGCTGAAGCAATAAGTGTAATGAATAAATAAGAAAACGCCGCCTGTTTTTGTTTTCCATCTGAAGTTCTTATTGTTGGGCAATGCTAAGTACAGTCCCGGGTCCGTATTTAAAGGCTCATTTGCTCTCCGTAGTTGCACTTCTTGGCGTAACCCATCCCGACGACCAGCAATACCGCATGTAATTTTGCACATTTGATTTGTTGTTTGTTTATTGCTTAACGCCGCACTCAGAATTATTCCAGCTATATGACGGCGGTCTGTAAATAACCGAGTCTGGACCAGACATTCCAGTCATTGACATCATGAACATCGATTCACACAATTGGGATACGATGACATGCATCAACCAAGTCAGCAGGTCGCCTGGCAAGAATGGATTCCTGAAGACCTATACTAACCAGGATGTCACGGGCTTTGCACTTATAAAACTTATTCATGTCATTATATTTTATATAAATTGTCAATTAAGTTTGGAGTTGTTTGAAAGTCGAAAAAAAATCATAACTTAAAATTCGACATGATTAGACTCATTTTTAAGGTAATGAGAAAATACAATATTTTTTGCATGTGGCCGTTGAAAGTGACGTTTTCTTACATCGAAATGCCCCCACCCCCCAAACTCCCGCGTCACATACTAGAAGTTAGATCGGATTGCGTGGATCTCTCGTCACACTCTCCGTCACTGGTCTGCCTGGTCACTACTTGCTTATTTACACGCCGTGGTGATACTGCTAGAACAAGGCGACGTGATACAATAGTCACTCTTTCTGTCTTACTACCAGTCATGATTCCAAACGTGGTCGATCGGTTTAGGGATTAGTAGTGGAAGGAGTTAAAACATGACAACAAGATGTCAAACTTGTGTGTGATGTGTGCTCTGTAAGTTACCTTCATATAAAGCCGGTTTTTCACAAACATAGTTCAGTGTTGCGTTGCAGTTCCAGTGATAAGACATGTCGGTCAAGCGGCTGTCGATGACGTTGCATGAAGTACCAGCATCTACCCATGTTGGCCCACTTATTGGGTTTTCCGTCTCTTCTGCAAAAAGTTACACGGTGAGGATCATCCGTAAATGTAGTATTATGTGGTCATTTTTGTGGACATGCTTTTTTCTTTTACCCAACACGTTACTTTCAGATTATCTCACATGTAGAGAGATTTCATTTTGTAAACATGAAAAAATAAACATTAATTAAACTTCCAGAATTTTTCGAGCATTTGGGGGAACGGACTTTATTCTTCAGAACTTCGTGTCATCAACTACTAATAAAGAATGGAAGATGGAATAATTTATCAACCAACAAACGGTTCTGTAAGTATGGATGATCAATATCCTATAGACGATGTATACGATTTTTTGTTTCCATTTAATTTTTTCAACACAAGAATTCATACACATTTGTAAAATGAACTACGTGTACTAAATTCAGTGGATGATGAATTGTTACAAATACTCTATTAAACTCAAGAACAGCCTCCGTGATCTAACACTTCTTCCCGGTGAGAGGAAGGTCCGTGATTTGTTCCCAGACAGCGTCATACCAAAATACGTTAAAGGTATTTGTTGTGACCCTGCCTGGCGCATTAAGGGGCATTGGCTGGCTCAGTATACTGTGTCTGAGTTGGATATTCATGTTAAACTGCGTCATATAAGTACAATAATCTTGTACGCAACGTTAAATCCTATTTCACTTCATTTGTTAACCTCATCCCACAATTTACGAGTGGAATAAATGTTTGGCATCTCTTTTGGAAGTCGAACCGACCTTGGTCTCGTCAAGGGAAACTTAACGTCTTGCGGCTTCGCGATAGGGTACAGCGTCAGGGATATAAATGTATTTGTTTTAAAGTGTGCCACGGGGCACACGCAATGATGTTAAGATTGGCCTTTGGAATTTGTTTGTTCCAACAAGAAAACAGAAAGATCCATCTTCATATGAACAAGAGTTAGATAAGTTGCGGGTGTAATCTGGAAGTGTGCTTCGTGTCCTTTCTTTGAGAATGATAACATCCTATTCAGTTTCTGAATACCGAGGTTTACTTTATTCATATTCTAGGCATTAAGCATGTTTGTATATTCATTCTCAATATTTGAACGGAGGTCTTTTGCTTGACATTTATCACTGGTAATATACAGTAATATATGCATAATATATGTTTAGTAATATACAGCATTTATAGGTGTATGTGTTTTTAAATTTCTCGGTATGATTTTAACCGAGCCATTAGCACCCTAATAAAGGACGTCCTACTCCCTGACCAGGATCGCCACAGATCACAGATCATCTTGGCTGTCAAGATCGAACTTTGGCAATGCGGCACCGGCAGCCAGAGCTCTATAACATATACCAACTACGCCAGGAACTTTAATGTCACATAAAATGGTCGAAGACACCGTTCACGTTAATACCCCTACACAAGGAAGAAAGGTACCCGTGTTACCGAAAGTTCTAAGTTGTGTGAGTCCCTGGGAGACCACGTTCAGATGGAACAATAAGTCTACTCGGGCCAGTTTTCCACCTCCTTGTGTGCATAGATTCTCTGCGTCCTCAAACGTAGCAACACCCGACTCCTTGTAGCATTGCTGAAGTCGTGGGGAGCCGAAATATCCACTTGGACACGTGGAAACTGGATGAACAAAAGCATATGCGTACATTACATAGCAGCGTTAACAGTACAGATACATTATATGCATTACATCAAACATCTTCCCGTGGCAAGGGAGTTCACTTATATTTTGGCTGGACTAACAAAGTCTATGGATAGTCCAATCGAAATCGTATAACGAAATCGACATCCGGTACAGATTTGGGTCGATTGCAGGATTTGCAGAACCTGTGTACCGTCAACTGGGCATCAACAAATATTTTACAAGTAGCTCAAGTTATTGATGCACTTCGCGAGGTAAGACCCGTTTTATTACAATAAAGATCTTTATTATCACTCACATAGTGTTGACTGAGCGACGCGTTTTGGTTGAAGCAAAATGCAAGTGATATGATAGGTGGAATCTGATCAACAGGACGGAAAGAGACGGGACATAACACGTACTAGCCACTGGTGGCGCTACGAACGAGCCGAGACGATGACGAATTGTGCTAAAGTGTAGCAGCATGTGTCTTAGGAGATGGATACGGTGCAATATAAATATGTATTTACACATGTTTAACTTCTTCAGTTCGATTCTTTTACCGATAGCTCTGTCGAGACTGCCCTTTTCGTAACCAGTCGACATCTCACAATTCTTACCCAATGCTATTACTTGGGAAAGGGTTTTTTCCCTTTTAACAAAAAACGGAAAACATAAAAACATATTCTCAAAAGTGATGTTGTGACTTTTAATGAGGAAATTATGGCCACACTGATTATTGATGATCAACAACCTGTTTGCCACTTTCTTTTTCATATATACTTCCAAGATATCGTTATCGATATCTGATCCATATTCCTGCGTTTTTTAGTGAATGAATTCGTTTGGTTGCTCTTTACTTCATTCAAGGCGAAGGTAGTATGATAGAAATCGAAATCGGATCAATACACCGGTAAATATTCGGATGAAATTTAGGATGTAAATACTTATTGAGTTTTTATTGTAGTGAGTTTTCAAGCAATATATAAAGACGGGACACACGATTGTTTTTGGCACTTTACAACTGTACGTTAATCGGTAAACTAAACCAGGTGTGATGAGTGAGTTCGATTTTCCCCGCTTAAAGCATTATTCCAACATCATCATGTTGAGTGCACACCAAGAATGAGCTTCACACATTGTAAAGATTCTGGAGAATCGAACCCGGGCCTGCGTCGTGACGAGTGAACACTGGGACCCCTAAGCTACCCCACCCAGCCACCCAGCCACCCACCCCACTAGTCAACATCCCTAGTTTTATTGATGATTTACGTTTTACTGTGACGATTATTTGTAACACAATTCTCTCAGTGGAAACATATAAACCGTACCTCTCTGAAGATTGGGTTTTAACAGTTGTTCGGTTGCACAGACGTATGGTAGGCGCACCGCGTCACAGTCGGTGAGCGATATTGGTGTATAATCCGATTCTTGAGGAAAAATATTCTCTCGCTTGGGTGTTCCTGAAATAAGGACAATGCATACACTTCATCATCCAGAGAATATATAAAAAAATCATCCCGAGAATTTTAAATCCGATAAGCGGATCCTGGCACGACTAAGGGGCGCAACCGTCGACAAGAAATTGCGGACCCTTAGATAAAACAGACTTTTTTCTTTGAGAAACAGTAATTGTTACATACCAAAAATAAAGAGATTTAGTCAAATAATATTACTGCCATGGATGAAATTAAATCACACGGAAACACAATGTATGAAGGTAATATGCAGAACAAAACTCCAAATGAAGAGCGCTCTTGCCATATGCATATGAGTCATGTCACCATGGGGGGGGGGGGGGGGGGGGGGGGGTTGAGTTCAGAGGCAATATTCACAACGTCTGCATCGAGGAAATAAATAAATAACTAAATAAATCGGATTAAGCATATAGTATTTCCATCCTAAGTACATGTACTGTGTAGTTGGGTTGGGGTGTAGTTCTTATGGCCTGTAGCTCCACCAGAGTCAGACCATTATGAGATAGAGTTGGGATTACATAATCAGTGTAGTTATTTCGTGTAGTAGTTAGTGTTTCCTGTAGTTGGTACAATGGTAAGCCGCAGCGAGTGTGTCCACCTCGTGCACTGATGCAGGCCTGGCCCGTTCGCTTCACCAAGTCCACAACACATTGAAAAAGAGCCTGGGGGTTGGCATTCCGGTAGGGTAGGACATGCGTACACTTTTACCGAGCACCACGTGTCATCACTCATTTTCAGTGGTCCATTCATATTATTTTCACCGCTAATTTGCCTTTTGTGTCTAATGGAATCTGTTTCGGTGGGTAATCTAGAATAGTCTCTTGCATTGACAATTTATATTTATCTGAGAAAGATAAGCCGGAGATCCTGTGACGTTGTTGGGGGATTTTAAAGACGTCGCAAATGGCGTTCCATTTCCTCACAAACATGTTCGACTGGTGACAGATCTAGGTCACATGTGAACTTTGTTCAGAGTCAGATAGTGTTGCACAGCTCCAGGACCATGTGGCCTGGCGTTATCGTTCTACAATGTCTCTGCAAAAGCGGTAAAGCAACCGTTTGTGAAACCCCTTCCTGGTTTTAACGCAACATTCAAATTTCCATCAATCACCAACATCTGAGTCCTTTTCCTGGGGCCGTGTTGTCCACCGCAATTGTTGTCGGCACTGCTGGAGACGTCGACAATGATGTTGTGATGTCAGGATTGGCTCCTGGCTGGGCGTCTCGTGTAGATGCCGTAGATGCGTCGACGTCGTCGGCATAAGTTGGACTATTTAGCTTCATATAGAGCGTATTAGACTCAGAATGTTCGTGTTACATAAATATACTCCTGGTCACAGGCTCCTGGCACCACTAAGGGACACAACTCCATAAGCGAATTGCAGTGGCTTAGATAACTGGGCTACCAGTGTCCCTAAACCGCTCATAGATTGTTCTTTGAATCTTCCAATAAATATTATAAAATGAAGATTTTATCTTCTAATGTTATGTGTTATATAGTCATGAACTGGTCATATATATCGGTCAATTATGAATCAAATGATGAGGCTGACTTATGAATATCCGTACCAGGGAAAGGTGTTGATGAACAGAGAAGTCTGTCTCCTGGCTGTCCTTCGTCCGGCTGTCCTTCAGCCCAGTGTATACTGATGCAAAAGAAGGGGGACAACAATGTTTAATATTCATTTATGTTAGCACTAAAGTTACATTTTTCAAGTTGTATTTATTGACGTTAATGTTTCTCTACTTAAAGGAGTTTCATTTTCTGAAGTTAAAATTACAGGCAAATCGAAAAAAATGAATTGCGTCTACAAACCTCGTTTCAACGAAATAAGGGTCCTCAAGTGTATCCATTCTGAGTCCATCACGTATGTATATGCCTGTCCATGTTCGATTGATACCTGCAAACAACAAACTGCATTATTTGTTGATTGAATTTTATGTAATTCAGTTTTATGTGTATTAATTTTGTGCCGCCGTGGTCTAATGGTAGAGCGTCCGCCCGGAGAGCGGAAGGTCCGGGGTTCGATCCCTAGCCGCGTCATACTAAAAGACGTTAAAAAATGGTACTTGTTGTTACCCTGTCTGGCGCTCGGCATTAAGGGGCTAAAACAAGGACTGGTCGGCTCGGAGTCAGTATACTGTGTCTGAGTGGGGTATTCATGTTAAACTGTTAAAAATGGTATCTCAGTATGCTAGCACTATAAATCGGCATCAGTCCGGACTAGTACAAGCAGACAGATACACACACACACACATACACGTGCATGCACGTCGCTATATCAGTGCAATAATCTTGGACGCGACGTTAAACCACATTCCACCTCACCTATGTGTATTAATTAAAGACCACATCTATAAACGAGAACCTCTTTAATAATGTCAATTACACCACTGTATAAATCGGCAATGTCTTTTATCAAAGTCGCACATGTATGCAATGTCTGATTAGGCATTTATTTAATCCATTTGATATTGTCTAAACCAGCTTATCTGCAACCCGACCATCTGACAACATTAGTCTGTTCTTCGACACGCTGTCCAGGTTGGCCTTTTTAGCAAACACTGTCTGGGTTAACCCGTCTGTAATACGCCCTAGTCCATCAATCTAAATCAGCCTTCGTGTAACCTAGCACTGAATAAAAGGCCGGATTTAGTACCCGGTTAAGAGAAGGTCAGTGAAACATAAATCGTCAACGAGGGTATGTGTGTTATTCTTTAAGTTTTGGTACCCATTTCAGACAAAGTCAAGGTGTTGTATTTTGTGACATGTGTGACATCGTCCTTGTGAATTAAGAGTAACCAGTTACTGCCATAATAAAACACATCATAACTTTTAAGAAAAACAAGATTTGGCCCTTTAAATAACATTAACATACTCACCATTCGTGTTTAGGTATGCAGATATCGCGTCCCAAGGTCTCCCCGTGTGCAGATCATTGAAGCTGTACAAAACACCAAGGTCACTATGACATTTCGTCCAGGCGTCCGTCCACGTAGTCGGAGTGCCGATGTAGAAGCAGCGATTATCGTAGTGCGGTAGCTGAATATATTCCGGGGGACACTTATCATCTAAGGATAGGGAAAGAATAGTCGAAGGTCACAATGCGTGCAGGAGAAGTAGGTTCTTATTGCGTGGAACGTGTGGTAGAAATAGTTTTAAGCCACAAGACGCTATGTAGATTTGCGCCCCTTAGCTGTACCCGGATCCGAGAATCCAACATTCGCCTTGATTACCATACACGTTCTTGTGGGTTTCACTAAACCGTTTACAACCTACTTCACTCTGCTTTCCTTCCACATTAAGATGGTACGCTGTGATACTACTCCACTGGTGTTAACAGCAACGAACCAACCAAATCTGCTTGCACCTTATCCTAAAATATGTTTCAGGGTGGAACTTTTCATTGGAATGTTCTTTCAGAAAATATTATTCCTGGATAGTGTTGTCCCATGGGGAATGACAATGGTGTAGGGAAGAAGACAAAAGCAACGTTTTGCCTACACGAAAGTCCGGAAGTTAGCTTCGCTTACGAACACACTCCTTACGAGAGTGTCAGTGGGTTTGGTTTAACGCCATTTTTAACAGTATTTCAGTTCTATCAAGGCGTGTCAGCTTGATGTGAGAGGAAAACCCGACGTTATGCTGGGATTAAACGTTTGTGTTGACGACTCGGGGAACCAACGGTCATAGGTGTCCGGCACACTTAATGAACGCCACTCTGCACAGCGCATTTTGTGACGTCCGAGGCTGGAAAGCATGCATGGAGACTACAACACGATGTAGCCGTACATTACCCCGAAAAAGTGTAGTATTTGCCAAAGTGTTTTGTCTTTTGTTTGTTGTTGTTGTTGTTTTTGTTTAACGCCACTGTCATCAATATTCCTGCTGTATGACGGTGGCCTGTATGTCATACTATCAACAACTCCCCGAACATGGCCGCCAGAGCCATTAAAGCCGCCTCTCACGACAAGACTAGGTTGCTTGGCATCAATTCAATTGTTCCAAGACAATTTCTAAATATTATATATTTAGTTAAACAATACCGTCCACATCGAGAGCCAGGCAGACAGACATCACCAGGAACAGATGAAGCGTTGGCGGGCTTGGAAAGAAAACCATTGTCAGCTGAAATTAACGAACCGTAGAAAATTGAAAAACAAAAATACCTTAACATCGACGCTTGTATAAATTCCAGGTGATCAGATCACTCGGCTCAGTGCCCCATTTAGTCGTACAAGACAACATTTTTATGTCGACTCAGATGTGATGGTGTATAAAAAATCAAGCAATTGCAAAGATTTGGTTTACACACAAGTTGTCTGTAGCTTCTCCGTGAAGACTTAAACGACAACAGTGTTATCATGTTACTGCAGACACTTTGTATTCTGAACATCGATAAAATAGATTGATAATGATCGCGGTCCACTCTATTAGTGGGGCAGTTAAGGCTCAAATTGTGCACTTTGGGTTAAAAGCACCAAATTTGGCACACTTATACATTGAACCGTTCCGAACATTTTTGGATATGGATCCACCTCAGCAGAGCCCCCTGGTGGTAGACAATCCAAGATGGCCGCCAACATGGCTGAACTCTCTAATGGGATCAATATATACTCAATATATCATACTTATCTGATCAATTTATACATATATCCATACTAATGCATGCGGAATGAATTGCAGCAGAGCTGTATATAATTCAAATACAGTTTGCAGCGCCCCCTGGTGGTAGAAAATCCAAGATGGCCGCCAGCATGGCTGAAAGCTCTAATGATATCAGTCTATACTCAACACATCATAGTTATCTGGCCAATTTATACAAATTATCATTGTAATGTATTTAGGAGTAATCACAACAATCCCGTATATAATTTAAACCTAGTATGCAGCAACCCCTGGTGGGGATGAAAGTCCAAGATGGCCGCCGGCATGGTTGAAATCTCTAATGACTTTAGTTTATACTCATTTATCAAAATTTTCTGGTCAACTCAATTTATCACAGTATCTTTTTCAGGATCAATTGCAACAATGCTTTCTATAATTCAAACTGGTATGCAGCGCCCCCTGGTGATGACGAAAATCCAAGATGGTTGCAAAATGTTTTAGTTTTCAGAAATTGTCTATTTCTACAGCAGATATAGATATCATTTGATATCTTTGGACTAAGGATAAGTTGATAAGTTTTGATATGATGAAACATTTTAAATGACATTGTATCAATTAATATGTATTGTCTATGATCTATTCTCGGCATATTAATTTATAAATGGTCTACTGAGAAATGTTCCACCCAGTTTACATTAGATCACCCCAAAATCATTCATCTAGGAATGGATTCATATCTTAAAAACAAGAATGTATGTTAAAGTATTATTGACATTATTGCCATGAACCTATGAAATTAACTTACTTCCTACTTAAGTAGGACCAGGAATATCGGTTCAATGTATGTGTTTACGGTTCTATAATTCACTTACAGTGGACACTTTCCTTCAAAGTATCACATAGCACTGTACAGGCAGGCAGTGTAGAGTTTACAAAGGTTTGCAAGACATCTTGCAGGTGTAGTGTTAGTTTATAACACTTCTTTGTGCCTGACCAAGTGTTGTCCACTTGGGTATCTATATATTACTGCATGTCCTCTCCCAACCCCTGACTACAAGATTCTGCATTCTAGAACATTGGCATATGGGCAGTTGTTATTGGAGGCTATGTTTGTCTTGTTTTCCCAATACTTCCTTCACGTGATATGACCAGTTTTACTCATGGTCGGGCATTGTGTTAACACTATCTACATCCTGGGTGAAAGGTAATTTTAATTGAGGCACATAACAGGATGGGGGTACTTTAGTATATACCGGGCTGTTTGAAAATGGTTTTCCTTGTTTATGTGCTTTCTTCAGCCAAAAGAACATGTGATGTTCCTTCCTCTTCAGCTGTTGAACGCAATAGTGAAATGTTGGTACCATGAAGTGGATTTGTTGCTGAGCAGAAATTATGATAGATTTTATCTTTTGAGAATGTTGGTGGGTATACCACACCTTCGTCTTCATAAACACCACAAACTGTGCTATATCTTTACAAATACACCATATTTTGAAATGTGTCAATAAGATCACGTATTTTTGTTTAATACCAAGTAAACTGGAACTTGTATTTCTCGGTCTCAGTGGTGTCTTTGTGTTGATGAGCTGGTGCACCGAGGTTTCACGCTTTGAAGACAAGATGTTCTGAGATACAGTAAACTATGTTTATAACGAAGACGCTTATAACGAACTGGCGGAACTGGTTTTTTGGTCCAGGACATTTGCTGTATATATGTTTATAACTACGGTTACAACGAACTAAAATAAGTGGTCCCTTTGAGTTCGTTATAACCGTAGTTTACCGTAGTTATTATCATACCTGGTCCTACAAATTTCATACTGACTAGAGATTTCAAAGAGGCAGGTACATACTGTTTATGGCAGTCAGAAGGAAATGTTCCTCTGAAAGTTTGTTTCAACCTTAAATCACGTCTGTGGATAAGTGTTGTTCGTTTAGTTAGCCTTAATGATTGCGAATCAAAAAGGCATGTTTCAGTGGTGGTCAAATACCTTTATCACATTCCAAGTTCAGTTACCGAATTTTAACCAAGTTCATGCAGTCAAATATATTCCCCAGATCTGCCTTACGGAATACAGATCTTGCTTCAAATGAATGAATTTTAGTACCAAAAGCTTATACATTCAGTAAAGCATTACTTGGAAATGTTTTAAAGCCATATTTGATTGAAATGATTGCAATGAGCAAATGATACTGATATTGTGGACAAACATTTGACATTTTTTGAAGATTAAGTCATTTTGACGGCCATCTTGGATTTTTTTCGCCACCAGTGGGCGCTGCATATTAGATTTGAATTATATACAACATTGACGCAATTAATTTTATATAAATGACTAGAATTGACAAAATAATGATGATATATTGAATATGAATTGACGCCATAAGAGATTTTAACCATTTTGGCGGCCATCTTCGATTTTCTACAACCAGGTGGCGGTGCTGAAGTGGATCCATATCCAGAAATATTCGGAATGTTTCAATGTATAAGTGTGCCAAGTTTGGTGCTTTCAACCCAAAGTGCACAATTTTGACTAAAATCCAGCCTTAACCGCCCGACAATCTTACCAACAGGTGAGTGTACCATCTAAAATACCTAAAATAAATTGAATTGGATATCTAAACCATATTACCGAAACACAAAGCCACAACAAAGGAAAGTCAACCGCAATTATTGGTAAAACACAAGCCAAAACAAGAAACACAGATACAAACATAAATATTTAAGACACAAAACCTATTCACGACCTACTTTTGGCATAAACAAATTAATAAAATGATGTAGTTAAAGCGGTTATGACAAGTGTAACGAATAACCTCAGTGTCTCGTCCGGTACTGCATGCAATTTGCTGTTTGTCGACCATTCGCTATTCCTGGATACCGGTTTGTCTATCATCCAGCCCGACACCCTGAGACACGGTGATAACAACACCGACAGTGGCAGCGCGTATCAGAGCGGGGAGCACAGTCATTCTTTACAAAACAAGGCCCTGAACAACCCGTGGTGGCTATTTATGACAACTATTCACACGCTCTCCATTATTACCCACGGTATGCACCAGGATGTTGACCTTGCTACGTATAGAAATGGATGTTTCAAATGACACTCTAGGAATACTGTAGTACATCCTGTTCTTGTATAATTCTATCAGTGATGCTTTTCCTTAGTGATCATTTGAATACGATCGTGTTGAAGATAATAGGAAATGCACTCCGTGTTATTCCTGTCTCATAGTGTTACGTTCATGTAAAGGTTTCAATTATTTACTCTTCCTGGTGAATATTTATCTCATTTTCAGCAGAATGTTCAGTCTCATAAAATATGCGATGTAGTTTCTTTTAAATGGATTTTGGACGGCCAAAATATTTGTTTATTTTTTGTAGAGATCATTAGCTCTGATAGAACCGGGAGAAATTAATTTACGGATTAATTTCAGATCCGTAAGCTTCAAATGCATCAACGAATACAATGGCTCATTTTTATGTAACTATTGTTATTTTTTAAACCTGCATAACACCAAAACCCGTTTATTCGGACACCTTATGATCTGAGCGATTGTAAGGACGTAACTGGGTCAACAATTTCGGGGCATTAACGGGAATTTCCACATAGAAACATAGAACATATTGTTGACTTGAAACCAAACAAGCATCTCAATTTGCTCAGAATATCAGAAAAGTACAAAGGTTGTACCTTCCACTGATGTTTCTGGGATTTCCAACGTCCGTGACAGGTAAACGGAACAAAAAGCGCCATTATTTCGGCGTAGCATTCACACAGTAGCGTAAAACTGAGTATTATAACACCTGTCTCTTAATGAGTACAATCAGTGTTAGCATTTCGAAAAGTAAACTATAACCCTGGCCTGATGGTTACTGTTATTCATACGTCTGAATCAGGTACAACCAAAGCTTTGAAGACATACATATTAACTACCGAGAGCATTGCTTACTGGCTTACAGATGTTTCTATAGATGCCATTAAGGTCACACTGTACCATGAATATCTTCCATATAAGGCAGGGACATTGCCACACAGGTACCAAAGCGCCATTATAACAGTTCACACCCGAGTTGGCAACCTTCAGTGATGATTCAGATGGCATGAAAAGCATAAAACACGCCCACCAGGTTTTGATCGAAAATGTAAACACGAGGGAGAGGGAAAAGCCAGCGGACCGCTATGGCATTCAATGTTCCCTGAATATTTTGCAAAATCAATACTCATATTGTTGTGTGTCCTTTTGTTCTTTACATGAGGATGAATATAACGTCTGGTGACAACTATCAATAAATAAAAGCGACACAACCCATTCAATAATATATCATAAGACATATTTACCAAAAGTACAGTTCAGTGTACTATTCTGACTATATTGTAAGCATGTGTTCACTATGCAAGAATCATTATGAAAGAATGATGGTACCAGGTGTTCGCGAAAAGGCGTGCTTATCCTGACCCTCCCTATGCTACCGTCACAAACACGTGCAAAGGCAAGTCAAATGTTCACTTGATCAAACTTGGAAACATATGATATAAGTGAAAATAGTGAATTGAATCGGACATAAATTTGGGCACTGATGATTTGGAAAACTATTTCATTTACATCCATTTACAAAGGATCGGCGGCAGTAAGGAATATGTACACTAAACAATCGATCCTAGGAAATCCTTGGAATCCTTGTAAGCTCTAGGTACGATTTGTTAGTTCTTAAGTACCAATTTAATACCTTCTAAATTACGTCAAGAGGGGACGAAGAAGAGAATAACATATCTGTGATCCGGAACACACATGTGAAACACACCTCGCTCGATACGTTCACCCGTCACTTTAATGCGTAGTTAACAGGTGAGAAGCACATATACCTTGGTCACACTCCATTGCGTATACTGGGTATACCAACCAGTGACACTTGATCTAGTTTCCTGAAATACTTCTGTTCACCTTAGCTTAAATCCTATTAAACAGGACACATTTTGGCTGAAATATAAGCAAGTATGAAAAAGACAACTAATATTACCTGACAGGCGAGTATACCCTGGACTAGACTCTTCCAAGGTGTGATTCTCTCTGGGGCGGTAACCCCGTGTACTGGCTCAATGAGCAGGTGAAGCGTGACTACTGAATACATGTCGTCGTGAAACCTTCAGCTGAACCAGATAGTCGCCCGGCGTCCTAAACGTGTACAACAGGTGACGGGGAATGCGGTAGAGAAGAAGAAAACACTGTGTGGGTGAAGAAAATGGTGAGAAGAACATAAGACCGAGGTGAAGAAACAAATGATGAAACCTTTCAAAACATGATTGTATTTACAATGACGACACCAGGCGTTAAGGAAACTCAATAACATGCACACTATCAACGGTGTATGCACTTCGCCTCGTCATGTTCCATCGGAAACACAAAAGGTGTATAGTAAACTCTAAGCGAGAGTCTTGAAAACAACATATTAATGATATGTCCAGAGAGTCAGTATGTTCCTCCTTCTACACGTTACCCTTGTGTATATGTTGAGTTGACAATACGCGGAAAAGGGACCATGCTTCCGGTATAAATAATCTCGGTTATGGCGTTCTACCTGTACATGCACTCGTTCCTGAGCTTGCTTCATAAACTGCTAATCAAAAACATCTCAGATACACGAGTCATTCTTGTGGGATGTAGGAACAGTACGGAGACATTGTTATCGATACTATAAATTGATGACCGGGAATTACATGACAAAATAGCCCTCCCACGCATATGTGAAGCCCTCAAAAGAATAAGGAATTAAACTTTACCTTAGATATTTTGTAAAACTGAAGTACCCTTAATCCTGTTTCGCATAAATGTAAGCATGTCCTAGTTATGTTATTTTATGCTCTATGTATGTGTGTGTGTGGGTGCGTGCGTGCGTGCGTGTGTGTGTGTGCGTGCGTGCGTGCGTGCGTGTGTGCGTGTGTGCGTGTGTATGTAATGAAATCTGACTTTGGAGGAAGGTTGGTGTCGCCGTAAAAATAGCTTTCAAAACATAATTTGTTTTATTGTTAGGGGTAAATGTTCCAAAGACGTCAGTGAATAGTGTACATCATTGACAAGACCATGTAAAAGATTTCATATGATATAGTGCATGACCATGTTGAACAACGTTATTACATCTTGATTTTGAAAACAGGTCGAAATGGTGGCCATCTTGAAATTTAAATGCTCATACAAAAACTTTTGTCTTTATGATGTTACTATTCTGTTGTTTTTAAGCATTGTTGCAATTACCCTACCCTTCCAAAACATGACATATTCTACTACCATAACTCAACAAGAAATTGTCGTCAATATACAATATCACAGCCGCTATGTCATACATTTTGTTTTCTGTATAGGATAGCCCCATGGTCCAGGCCAGCTTTGATACACAGTTATAGTGGTGTTTTTGTCAGATTCATTATTCTTGTTTAATCTACTCAGAGGATTTGAAAATTTAGTAAACAACCATGTTCCATTCCGTCAAAACATCTGATTTTTCAACTTTGTATACCACTATTCCAAACATAAGGAAAAACTCCACTCCTTGATCCATGGGGCATATGTAACAAATCGTGGTGTAAACAGATACAGTTACGTATCTACATTCAGAGGTTCAGGACAATTTGTGACAAATTAAAGCAAATGCCATCTGAGGTTAACTGAGAAAACAGAAATGATGGACTTCCCCATTGATAACATCTACGTACAATTTAGGGGTAAGACATTTAGACAAGAACTAGACATCCCCATGAGCACCAGCTGTGCTCCCTTCTTGCTGATCTGCATAGGAATCGGAATTTCTGTTCGGATTGGCAAAGTCAAAAGAAGGTAATTTGGCGAAGAGGTTTAACTTAAGCTTCAGGTATATCGTTGGTCTGATATCGTTCAATAACAATCAAATAACCTTTCCACTGATTTACCCACCTGAACTAAACATATAGAAGATCGGAGAGACCGCCTCATATTTCATATTTCATATGCATAAGGATTCAGGGTGACAAACCACTCTCCACAAGACTGTATGACAAGAGGGGTGACTCCAACTGTCCAATAGTCATATTTCCCTCCATGCCAAGCAATATTCCTGCAGCTCCAGCCGTTGGTGTACATTTCACAACTTTTGAGATACAATCTTTCTACCTAGATTTCAGAGGTTGTTTGATCAAGGTTACAACAGTCAAGGCCTCAGTAAAGCTTTCAAAACGTTTTATGGTAGAAATGTGGAGGACATTTCCAAATGTGACGCATCAGTAACAAAACTGATACCGATGCAATTCCCTATTTTGACTTTTGACCATATGCCCCTCCAGTGGCATCCATCACAAACACATACAAAGGCAAGCCAAGTGTTCACCTGGAAAAAAAACATGGGGCCATATGGTCAAAAGTCAAAATAAGGAATTGCATTGGAATCAGTTTTGTTACTGGTGCGTCACATTTGTATAACGACATAAATTCAATGGAAAAAATAGCCTGCCGTAAATGACGAAAACGTTCAAAGGAAAGGGGGCATAACTCCGCTATGCTTAGCACTAGTTTATTGTAACTCAGGTCACTTGGTGAGAATTAGCTGTGGGTAAGGACAATGTATTTTCGTGGTGTTTTGTTTACGAGGAACCAAACTATTCTAACACAAATATCGATATTGAAACTGTATACGTTTAAGCATAAAAAAACCCATCAGAAATGATGAAATTATACTTCATAAAAAATGAGTGATAGCGAAATGGATGGCCCTATGTAAACCATAAATTAGTCCTTAGATTCCAACATTCTCCTGATTGTGCAAGTGTAATTTGACTAATGTTTCACCTATATAATTGGATCACTAGCAGTATCACTTGTCCAAAATATAGAAATATCGTATGCGACACTATAAACTTATCAATTTCATATGTAAACATTGTTCAAACAAACAGGATATTATTAAAGGTTAATACATGTTGTTGCCTATATCTACTTATGATATCCTATTGAACATTGATTAATATTCAAAGTGAAATTAAATGTGTGAAAAAATGTACACAAGACATGCACGATCTACATCATATGAAACTGTAAATAGCAGGACACAATAATCGTGTGTATTTTCATTCAAGGACCTTCACCTCAAAGAAATTACCAAATATGTACAACATATGTTGACGTATGACATCACTGCCGGTGACCGACTTTTACAAAATGGCGTGTTGACTGTCAACAGTACGCGGGATATTACAAGGGGACTTTCGTTGATTCAGGGTTCGTATATACATAAATGTGACATGTAAGTAATCAGACCCATTCTGACAATCTGTGTACTGTTATTTGTTGTTATATTTTTCATAGAAACCAACGGAAATAGTCAGAAATTGCGATAAACACCGTTGTCGTTGTGCGTGATTTTGCGTCAGTCATGGCGTCACACGGGACAGGAACTTCGTCAAGTTCTGTTGAAAATATCAAATCATTGCAATGTATATATTGTTAATTCCCTAATTCTCCCTACGATTCTCTTCCCGTGTATATTCTGAAAATGCTGAGCCAATGTACTCAACGAATAGACGAATGGCTTTGTTTACATTTCCAACAAGTGCACTTTTTTCAACGTTCGTTTTCACACCTCATTTATTTTGCTTCATTACATCTAGACAATTTGTATTGGTGACAAAGACCGTTTGGCATTTGATTCTAAAATGTATGAGGAATTCAAGGATGTAGGTATCGCAGCTTATTTTGAAATATACGTGATGGTATTTGCGTCTCATTACCGGTGTACGTATAACGTGATTTTGTAAACACTATCCAATATGGCTGACACAAAACGACTGAGCAACTGAAGGTGAAAAGCCCCAGTAGCAACAAACTGAAGGAATATCAAAACTTGAATGATAGGTGGGAGACTGTGGGAACGCTGAGTGGGGTAGAATATATGCCAGTTCATCACCGGTTAGACCAACGATGAAAAAAATGGAAGAACGACGAAATCTATATCTCTCAAAGAGCTCTTCGTCGTTGTACAGATCAAGAGGGTTGAATCGGTCTCGAAATGTCCGATGAATTGCTATTTTGTCCTTTTTAGGCCTCAGGCGACGCATGAGGCGAACAACCTCCGCCATCTTTCTTGCTACAAATTTTGTCTAAGTCTACTCAGGGACAGTCTTAGGACGATCAAATTTTGTCTTAGGCTAAGATATTCTCATAGATTGTGCTTCGTGATCCCCGATTAAGACCAAATTTGGTCTCAGTTTGTTTTCCTGTTCCCGGGGCCTGGTTTCATGACTATTTGATAGTGATTCATAAACACATTCTCATGATATAGTCGGAATCGAACAGAGATTTCTATTGGATACGCAATGGGTTTTGTCGCTTTATATTATTAATTATCTGTGATTTAGAATAATGAAATAAAATGTTGCCAATTTCATATAACCTAACATATTACCTGCAATTCAAGACATAATTTGGATGGTTTAATGACTATTAAAAGACTTGCAGCGAATTGTGTCAAATTATGTCCTTCTATCTATGCAAGTTTGACCTGATGAAAACTCTCGCACACACTTGCAAGCTTACAACCCAATGAAATTTTGGTACCTCCAATAGAAAAGGTTGTAGGTATACAGGAATAAGCGGGAACGATAATCTTGTTTTTGACCCCTGCCAACCGACTATTTCACAACAGGGCTAAGTTTACATTTTCACACTATTTTTCTCGGCCATCGTGTTGTAAATCATACAGGCTACATAATACTATTTAAAAAATCTCGTAGTATTTTTTTAATGATAAGTACAATTCAAAGCTTCACATTTTATACACAACCAATAACAAAATCCTCTCCCAATTGTTATTTCGTTCTCATCGACAGTTTATAAGGCCATGACATCCATGAAAACTGTATGGGAATCAGCATCTCAATCATGGCACGGCTTCGTCAGACGTTTGAAAGGTCGATATGCAGAAAACTGTACCACTTCGAGTAACAAATTATGGATGCAACTGACAAGAAAAGCACAACTTAAAAAATACCAAGACAGGGCACTGAGCGAAGCGTCCTATAAATCACAATGTGATCATCGAACGCATAAATTTCAGTGTTACTCTTTAAGATCCTTCAAGCAAAAAGGGCTGTTATCGGTATTAATATATGAAAAGGGGAGATTCTCCGTAGCCATCAAGCACAACGCGTCGCTTTGAGTACAACGTCAGCATCATGTTCGTCGGTCGTGGATACTCCAACACACGATCACATCCCGGAGGCTAGACGGTTAAATTAGGTTATTTTGCGACTTGAATTACTGGAAGTGGGACAAATTAAGATACTCCAAAATATACAATTTATGATATTTGCTGATTATGCGTTTTATTGAAAGTTTTCAACGTGCATGAATTTCGTATCAAAGTTTTTTTTCATGTAATATGTCATAGATCTAGATCTATGCCTCAGTAAAATATGCCGCGTGGCCATATCGTGGTGGTCAATGATGGGTGATGATGTCATGGCTTGTTATACATGGCGGGTTTTCGAGTTTTCATTTTGGCTCATTTGATCAGGAATCGATCCTGATGTAAACAAACTAGAGTTGCTCCCCGCTTTGACCTATTATTGGGCAAGAACATTTCCGGGTTAGACAATCACGTGCGCTTTCGTAAATTGTTGATTTCATATATGATTTTCCACACAACTAATCAAATTTGTACATGGTGACATCTGCTGACAATATATGAAAAACTGTCAGTATTGGACAAATAGTATATATAGAACGGGGAGAAGTGCACGCCATGTAAAGATTTCTATTTGAGATCAACAGAAACTATGACTTGGCACATCTAGTAAATTAAGATAAATATGAATTACAAAGAATCGTACAGTACATTCTGCATAACGGCTCTGGTAAATATACGTGTATAATTACAAGTAAAATCTTTATTGACATCCACCCCAAAAATAAGTATCTTTATATATTTTTGTCAGGTAATTCTCCCAAAATTGACTGTTTACAGCACCACCCAATCAATTTGTGTACCCCTATATCTTGATTAGACTTGCACTCATATATTTACCAGTGCACAACTGTTACAATAACAGTGTTATATCACAATTCAATTGACAAATTCTCACATGAACAGTTTGAGATAAATGTATTGTTGTTGATTTCCTAAGCGTCATACCCCCAAAAATTAGTGGCAGAATGGAATATAAAGGTTTGCGTAAGGGAAGTAGTATAAGCGAATATCAAGATGGAGGCAGTGCCGAGACTGCCGATGTTATCCTTCGAGTTAAAACATAGTCCAGAATACGTAGAATTTGGACCATCACTTAAACAGGTAAATTTCCATTTGTGAAAAAACAGTGCATACAATATCTTTTCGATGTATTGTCATTTGTGCCACGATCACTTTATCAGTCGGCCTGCATTGGTAATCAAAACACTGATTGACATTTCCGCATTCATTTTGACAATCGCACGTTTGTTTTGTTACTGTTTTTGTTTGGATATGGAAACTTTGGACATCGTGTGATCCACACTAGTTACACATAATTGTGATGTTGTGTTCTTACATTATGAAATAGGATTGAAAAGATTAGATGATCACTTATTTTAGGCCCCGAAGATGACGTGACATAAAATAACCTTTAGAACCGTAGATGACACATGTCAGTATGATTGTATTCCCGTGTTATGGGTTTTCGGACGATTAAGACACATTAATAGTTTTCTCTTTAATCACGTTAACAACTGTAAAAAGATTCTTTCACGTATAAACATGTTAAAAGACCATTTTCTCTTAAAAACAAGCCATCATGTATTTACAAAAAAATGTCAATGTGATGCTACTTCACCCGTTATGGATGTTATGGACGAGTAATCACTATAAACATGGCCGTCCGAAAACATATAACGTAAAAAAAATCTGTGATCCGACGATATGTAAAGTATGACCCAATATTATTGCGGGCTCTACATTATCACGGTATCGATATATCTCGTAATCCACACACCCCTGTCGACTGTCGACTTTGGGAAATCTAAGCATGATATTTCATAGCTTGATCGAATACTGGACTTGTTGTGGTATACACGTTTTTGAAGTGGAATTACTCCTACCTCTATTTGAAATTGGTTAGTAAAGAACCAGTATATTTTGATGATGTCCCTTGACTGAAACCTAGGTTGTGTGCATACCAATTATGCATAATCCAAAACAGGAAGTGATGTAAACCACATAATCCACACGTATAACACACCACAAAATAGTGATACCCCGATAATTAAGAGTTGCCCGCCTTTGAGCATGTTGAGTGAGGTACTTTGTCTACCAAACTCTGTAAAGAAAATCATCATCGATCAATCCTAACTGATGTGTCATAAAAGGTGAACAAAGAACAAGGACCATTTTGCGTATGAAATATTTAATAGGTCAGTAAGTGTTCACCATTAGGAGCCATTGTAAATTAACTAACGCGATAATATAGCGTACCATCCTACACAAGGATATGCTTTCTATAGTTCTCGGTAACATTTTGGTACAGGGTGCCGCTCATACCATGAATACAGCGGCTGCCAATTATTCAGCATTCTAGACTGCAGGATGTGGCTTTTGCTTCACAGATCGTGCGTGCCTCTTCAATCCATAGGGTTGGTTGTGTTAGGGTTGGAGTAAGTTGCCGACAACTCTATTCTTAGTCCTTGGATCCTCTTACCGATCAAACACTAAATGATCATTAGGGTTAGGTACCACTTTTTTATCCTTAGAGTTAGTTTCGTTAGGGTTATGGAAGGTTACCCCAGCTCTAGCCTTAGCCCTTGGATCCCCTTTGAGGTGTGGTGTGGGGTAGCTTATCCAATGTATTGTTATTTGAGGAAAATCCATACAACGTTTACCATGATTCTGGTTTCGCGGAAGAAATGGCTACTGCATTATGCATTGTGATGAACAATAAGGATCTGATCATTAGGTAAATAACACTGATTATTTGTGATAGCACCCATAGACCTGTGGTGATGTGTTGGCAAAATAGATTAACTCATCATGCTCATTAGTCCAGCTTAGCATCAAGCTAGCAACGTGAGTATGATCCTCTATGTGGCGCTAAATTGAAATGCAAAAGAGTGAGCCCAGTTAAGTGCACTCCTCCCTAGTTCTATTGTTGCTAAGACTTCAGGTTATAGTGCTAATTGGATCCCGGCTGCCGATTGTGGCCCCCTCTTCCCTGAGTGTGCCTCTTGGATCCTTAAAGTTGGTTGTGTTCATGTTTGAGTATGTTTGGTTTTGTTATCTTCAACTTTATCCTTAACCCTTGCATGTCCTTTCTGATCAAGCACCCCTAAATGATAATTTGGGTTGGGCAGCCCTTGCCAATCAAACACCCCTGTTCTATCCTTAGGATTAGACACCCATTTACAATCCTTTGGGTTAGTTGAGAGTCTTAGTTAGCTATCTGAACTCTTGTAATCTTGGTCAAGTTCCAATTTTCACTGAGAAAGTTGGCTACTGATCAGTGTTCCTGCTGGCATTTGAATAGCACTGACACTCTAAAAATTCCAGTCCCCTCCAATTTTTGTCTTTGAACAAACAACTAAAAAAAATGAAATTTACCAGGTTTCATTTCTTTCAATATCATGTGCAACATTTCATTTTGGGTTGGGACTAAGTCTCTAAAAATAAATATTTAACCTCAAAGCAAAGTGAAAGTTTTTTTCTTCCAGACAACCGGAAACCATGAAGATCTAAGACAAGCTGACTTTGTTAGAAATATATACTTCATTGATTATTGAAAAAAAATATTTAACAAAGATTTATAGGGTATTTTATTTGTCGGTCCATAGAGACTGACAATCACATGAATTACCAGTCCAGGCCTAATGTTACTGGTAAAAAAACTGGTAATTACCAGTAAATGGGAACACTGACTGAGCATGCGCATGGACATGATGGAGTCAAACAAATGTGTGTAGAGCACAAGGTAGATGAGCACTAGTTACTTGTGATAGCACCTGGGGTTCCATGGTAAAGGGCCAATTGACCTTACATAGAATCAAACCCTCTTAAAATGCATTTCATAGTTTTGATATTTATCATGTTGATGTTTTCAGTACATTCGAGAGCACTATGGGGAGGACCCAGCTCTGTACAACAAGCCTTGCACTGACCTGGAACAGCTCAGACAGGTAGGACTGGGGCAGAGTATTATCCTTAGTAAGGGCTGGAAAAACATTCTGGCTGTTATGAATTAGTAAATATGATAATTTATACAAGTCATGTGAGTACAATATTAACAGTCATTATTTTATGTGTTTTACAAGTATATTAGGATTTTTAAAATTTTATCAAATGATTTTTGATAAGGCTTGGTTTAATTGTTCTTTTAATTATTAATTAATAATGTAGCCATTGTACCTAAATAACTTAGCATCTTTTAAGATGAGTCTTGTTTTCTTGTATGAAATATACACAGTGAGATTTACTGTTGGTGAATTCTCTTTCAGATTAAATCCTACTTGGGTCACTTATTGCTTATTGCATTTTCCTTGCTCAAGAAAATCTACATGACATAGTTGTAACCATTTTCCTTCGTTTTTGTATGATATACGACCACCCTTGCGGGGCCTCAACCTCCATGGCGCGTCACACCAGGGGGAGCAACTCTCACCCAAATCACTTTCCTTATGTCATCTGTATAAGACAGACGTGCTGTTTTTTCAAGAGACAAAAAGAGTATAAAAAACTATCGTTCGACAAGAACCATGGCTGACCAAACTGTATGTATGGTACATTTCTTTCATTGCAAAGGCTTAATACCTCGCATTGTAAAGTTATAGAGTTGTAATTATACGCCACGTGTACGGTACTTTTGAATTCAAATGGCCGTAATGGCGTCCATATTGTAGTTCCACGGTCCAGGGGTGGAAATTTAAAAAAAAACTTCAAGTTGAAAGACAATTTTCACTTGCCCTGATTTCATTTTCACTTGCCTGAATAATTTCAAAATAAAACTTCAAATCATCAATATGTGTTTATCTCTTTCAACACCATAGGCCGGTTTTCCGGCCAAGAAGCATCGAGTCCAAAGACACCGTAGACCGGTTTTCCGGCCAAGCCGTAGTCACGTCAAAATAGTATATATTTTTATGGACCTACCTGTAATATCATTCATTTATTAAATCTATCACATTTCACAATGTCTGAAATACGTATTCCATTTCAATTTATTATTTTTTATACAAATTAAAAAATTATTCACTATTTCCCGCAATGTTATTGAAAATAAAATTCTCGGACACACATTTCGACAACGGGTCCACATCGAACATGTCAAAGAGCAAAATAAAGACGTTTTAAACAAATCTTTAAATATATTATAAAAAGTAATAAATAAAATCAACAAAAAAAAATATCTAAAAGTAATCAAACTTACATCTAAGTTACTATTTCCATCTTTTCGTGCGATCGCGTGTAATGTAAGTCAAATGACATCTCGGCTTTCGTTGCCTTGAATTCTCGGCTCGGACACGATGTTTAATGCAAAAATATATGCATGAAAAATCTTTGTCACTGCTCCTAACCTAGCACGATACATTCACAAAGTTCCATATTTTTAATGTATATCATGATTTCCTGCTCAAAACGTTCAGAATAACACGATTTATCAAAAATCTTTCGCCAACTTCTGAAATTTATCAAACACAAGCTTGGTATCACACCTGTAATTTGATTGGCTGCCTGAGGTCACGTGCTCAAAATTGACCAATCACGAAACTTGTAGCAGATTTCCGCAAGAAAGTGTCATTAGAAACCAATTTTAATCCAATGAAATCGCTTGTTATAACTACGGAAAAAAACCAGGCGATGTTACGAAAGCGCGATTACGAAATTTCTCTCAACTCATTTATTGTACCAATTTACCAGTAGTTAGACCTGTAGACAATGATAGTAATTTCAAATATTACTTTCCTCCGGACAAGTTAAAGTAAGTGATTTTGTTGCCCGACCTCGTATTTCTACTTGCCCCGGGAGTCGGGAAATGGCAAATTTCCACCCCTGCGGTCTGATACATGTAACACCAAGGCCATTAGAAACATACAGCATTGGACTACAATTTTTTCCTTTACATAAACCCAAGGTGGTGCGTTAATTTATAACTACACTTACCTTTTTTACGGGTTTTACATCTTAGCGCGTAACACGCCCCTTTGGTGTTATAATTATACTACGACATTGGCTATTAGTATCCCGTTACAAATCGCATTTTACATTACGCCTTTGCTTCTAGTTTCACAATTTATGCATGTATCTTTCTGATCTTTATATTGCACTGATACACTTTAATACCCTTCCCACCCACCTAAAAAATTACGGTCTTTTTGACAGACTTTCAAACTGTGTACGGGTTGTTCTGCTTCCATTCCCCCCAAAGACCGGCACGAAAGCTGCCTGAAATGTCTGGCGGAGGACGGGCATGACGATGGGTCATGCCTGATATGCATTGCCTTTACCCCCGGGCCCAAAAGAAGAGACAAGTTGACTTGCTTCACTTTAAAGGTCTCTTAAAGGCGGGGGTAGATATCAGATCTGCTAAGACCAGTCTCCCCACCCCTCCCATCTAAAAAGGGTAAAAAGGGTAAAAAAGCTGCCGAGACTGTCTCCTCCGCTCCCTCCCCGGGGGCTGGGGGAGAAGGCTTGAGGGTCCCCGTAGTACGCACTGCACCCTCTCCTGCACTGTCTTTGGCAGACATTTCTGCGTTACTTAAGTGGATGATGGGGGAGGTGAAGTCTCAGCTCCGGCAGGAGCTGCGGGCTGACCCTTCCCCGTTGTCGGCGCCGGACGCGGCTTTGAGACAGGCCGAGACAGGCCACTTGGTCTCGGGGACGATCCGAGACCAGGCTTCAGCTCCGGCTTGAGGTTGCTCCCCAGCGGAGGGGTGGCAGGCACTGGCCTGTGCACTACCGACACACAATTTTCCCTAGCGGAGCCAGACACCTCTTCCGAGGCCGAGGCTTCCTCTAGTGGATTCCTAGCCCAGAGCCAGGTGGGTTCCCTTGAACCCTCGGGACCGGGACTCGGCTTCAGGCCGGGTGCAGCCCGAGGATGCGAGGGCCCAGGTCTTCGGGCGTCCCCTTCCGACTTTGTCTGCTTCATATCTCGGGGAAGAGTCGATTAACTTCGGCTCGGAATCGAGAGAAGAGGAGGGGGGGGAGGGGAAGGACTCAGAGACCTTGGGGACGTTTTCCTTTGCTTCCTCGTTGAGGCACGTGCGGGACAGGATTGTCCAGGGACTGCCTCAGGTGGCTGCACCAATGCCAGAGTCGGATCCAAATCCCTGGTGCATGAAGTCATCAACCCTCTTTTGTCGGGTGCCCGCAGGAAGTTCGACCTGCCCGAACTTATTATGCGGTACCCGCTTGCAGAGGATAGTGACTCTGAGGTACCTGTGGTGGATGAATGCGTTTGGACTTCCGTTACCCTGGGGGGGTCTTCGACCCCCAACTTGATTAAGGTCAAGCAGGGCCGGCAGTTGCCCCCCTTTCTGCGTGAGGTGCGGAGTTGAAGGCTGCTTACATATGCTTTGAGGAGCAATATCATAATGCTTGCCAACAGCTCCGTGTGTCCGTACACTCCGCGTATCTGTCAGCTGTACAGAGGGAGTTAGCGGGGGAGGGGCCGGCCGACTCTTTGGAGTTGGCCGCGCAACTAACGGAAGTTCACAGTCATCTTGCGCGGGACACTATTCGTAGCTGTGCCTCGCAGATGATGTGCGCTGTTATGGGCATGCGCAGGCTGTGGATGTCGGTATCTAAATAAAAAAAACTGCGTAAGCGGACCTCTCCATTTGACTCCTCCTACGCTGACGCGCCGGGTCAGAAGTCCACACCTGCTTGGAAGTAGCCGCTCCTCAGGTAAGGGTGCCGGGAGGAGCAAGAGAGGCAGGGGCTGGGGCAAGCAGCCTTTTTCGTGGGGCGAGGGACCCATCGGGTTCCCATAAGCGCCCGAAGAGCCCCGAGTGAACCCACAGTCGCAAGTTCTCGAACTGCCGAAAGCCGGGGGCCACTGCCTCAAGCCGGATGTCCCCGTAGGCGTCCGACTGGCTCTATTCCTGAAGGAATGGGAGACAGTTACATCCAATCCCTGGACCCTGTCCACTCTAAGGGCCATTTGCCTCGGTGGAAACATCATCCGCCCCCCTTCTCCGGGATAAAGCACACTCCGGTGCCTGCTACCCGAGAGAAGGCGGAATTCTTATGAAAGCTGCGATCGCACCGGTTCCCGAGGGACAGGAAAGCGAGGGCTTCTACTCGACATATTTCCTAGTCACCAAAAAAGACGGAGGGTTCAGACCTATTCTCAATCTGAGATGGCTGAACAAACTTATAGAGGTACCGTCCTTCAGGATGGAGACACTGAGCTCAGTGATCTCAGCTGTCGAGACCGGAGAATGGCTAACGTCAATAGACCTAAAAGACGCCTATCTCCACTTACCCATACACCCCGAGTTCAAGAAATACCTGAGGTTTTCTTTCGACAGGAGGTGTTATCAGTTCAGGGTTCTACCATTCGGCCCCGATGGTGTTCGCCAAGCTGATGTTGATTCCTGCCCAAATGGCCAGGCCGAAAGGTCGGTTCTGCCATCCGTACCTCGACGACTGGTTACTAAGAGCTCTATCGCAATCCCCGAGTCAGATAGCTACACAAGATAGACATTCTGATCAGTCTAGGGTGGATAGTCAATCTCAAGAAGTCAGATCTGAGCCCTACTCAGAATCTTGTCTTCCTAGGGGTGAATTTCAACACGGTGAGCGGACTTGTATCTCTGTCACAAGATCGCATTACCAAAGTCAGAAGTGTTACTTCCCAGTTCCTTCTGTCTGCAAGTCACACTGCTCGTACATGACTCCAGTTACTTGGCAACATGGCGGCGACAGTGGACGTGGTCTGGCGCTTGAGAATGAGACCCATTCAACAAGCACTCCGTCGACTTTGGGCGAACTCGGAAGATCTAGAGACTGCTCTCGAGACTCCGTAGTGGCTCATTACACACCTTCAGTGGTGGACTGAGGTCGAGAATCTGTCCCGGGGGCTCCCCCTTGACACTGCCGTTACTTCTCTCACAGTTCAAACAGACACGTCACTCTCCGGCTGGGGAGGCGTTCTGAACGATCACACTGCCTCGGGACTATGGTCCCAGCATGAGATCAAACTGCATATCAATGTGCTAGAACTGAGACTCTTTGGTCAGTGCAGAGTTGGTTTCCAGTAATACTCAGGTTTCTGGCTCAGCCTCCTGTTCTATTACCTTTACGACTGGACCTCCTATCCCAGGATTCAGTGGGTGGTTTGGCCACATGGTCAGGAATCGCCTCCAGAAGAGTGGTATTCCTGCACAAGTTGCAGACACAATATTGGCTTCGCGGAGGGATTCGACAAATGTTCGGTACGAGGAAAGATGGGCCTGCTATGCGCGCTGGTGTGTCGATAGAGGCATTGCAGATCCCTTTTCTGCAGATCTCGTAGCCGTGCTTGAATTCCTCCAGTCGCGACTAGATGACGGCCTGGCCGCATCGACAGTCCAGGGGTACTCTACAGCTATCGCAGCTTTTCACGTCCCTGTCGACGGGGCACTTCTGGGTGCACACCCATTAGTGCAGCGCTTTTTAGCAGGTGTGGACAGGATCCGACCGCCTGTCTGACGGATCAGTCCCCCTTGGGACTTGTCGATCATTCTTGATTGGCTGTCCGGTCCTTCCTTTCGGGATCTGTCGTCTCGCTCTCTTCAGCTGTTGAGCTGGCATACGGCGTTCCTTGTGGCGGTAACGCCCGGCAGACGGCAGATGGGTAGGCGTCATTCATGCAATGTCAGCCGATCCCGAACTTACTGTCTTCCACCGGGACAGGGTCAGTATTCGCCTGCCGGACTCTTACCATCCTAAGGTCGCACATGCCTTCCACGTGACGGCTCCTATTGAGCTACCTGCTCTTTCACAGCCTTCTTCGTCGGGGACCACTGCAAGACATGCTCATGGATCCAACTGAGCATGTTCATCAAACATTACCAACTCGACAAACACTCAAGTGAGCGTGCTCGGTTTGGTCAGTCGGGGGGGGTGGGTGGGGGGGAGGGGTTGAGTTCTCAACTTATGACAAGCCGTAAAAACAGGCTTTATCATAATATATGGTCTCTAGCCCCCGCCTTTCGACGGTGGTGCCTCACGATAAGGTTGGTTCCATTTATTGAACTCTTTTTTATTCATTGAAATAATCAAAATACGATGTATTTATTTACGCTTGTTTCTGACGGATGCCACTTCCTAGATTATCTTTGGGAGTCTATCTTGATGCAATAAGTGCCCCAAGGAGGATTTAATCAGAAAGAGAATTTTACAAACCTGTAGAGGTTATGAATTCTCTGATGAAATCCTCCTTGGGGCACGGCCACCCACCTCCCCACATTCCGTCAGCATTAGACATATGGAAAGTGATATGGGTGAGAGTTGCTCCCCCTGGCGTGACGCGCCGTGGAGGGTGAGGCCCCGTAAGGGTGGTCGTATATCATACAAAAACGAAGTTTTTTGTGTGGTAACATTTTTTATTAAGGAAAATGGTTACAACTATGTCATGTAGATTTTCTTGAGCAAGGAAAATGTAATAAGCAAATAAGTGCCCCAAGGAGGATTTCATCAGAGAATTCATAACCTCTACAGGTTTGTAAAAGTTTACCTTGTGCCTTGATGTCATTTCAGGGTGCCATCCACGTGACACGGGACTTCATGGGCTGCAGCACCCTGAAGAAATACTATGCCCAGCTGCAGTTCCTGCAGGGAAGATTCCCCATGGGGGAAGGGGGAGAGGCGGCCATAGCCTTCACTTGGTGAGTAGCTGTCTGTATTAGGGAGGGGGATGTACGACTACCCCCAGCTCCTGCAGGGTAGATTCTCTATGAGGGAAAGGGGAGGGGCGGTCATAGCCTTCACTTGGTGAGTAGCTGTCTGTATTAGGTAGGGGGGAGGTAGTACTACCCCCGGCTCCTGCAGGGAAGATTCCCCATGGGGGAAGGGGGAGAGGCAGTCATAGCCTTCACTTGGTGAGTAGCTGTCTGTATTAGGGAGGGGGATGTACGACTACCCCCAGCTCCTGCAGGGTAGATTCTCTATGAGGGAAAGGGGAGGGGCGGTCATAGCCTTCACTTGGTGAGTAGCTGTCTGTATTAGGTAGGGGGGAGGTAGTACTACCCCCGGCTCCTGCAGGGAAGATTCCCCATGGGGGAAGGGGGAGAGGCAGTCATAGCCTTCACTTGGTGAGTAGCTGTCTGTATAGGGGAGGGGGGAGGTAGTACTACCACCAGCTCCTGCAGGGTAGATTCCCCATGGGGGAAGGGGGAGAGGCGGCCATAGCCTTCACTTGGTGAGTAGCTGTCTGTATAATGGAGGGGGGAGGTAGTACTACCACCAGCTCCTGCAGGGTAGATTCCCCATGGGGGAAGGGGGAGAGGCGGCCATAGCCTTCACTTGATGAGTAGCTGTCTTGTACCAAACTGATTGACTCCAACCCTCCTCTGTGTTCCAGGGAGGACATTCAGACAGGAAGGGAGTATATACTCGGTGACATTAAGTTCGAACAAGCCTGCATCTTGTACAATATCGGCGCCCTGCATTCCATCCTGGGAGCAGTTGATACAAGGCATAGTGCCGAGGTAAGATCTGATGACATCACATTTTCGGTCACACCAGAACAACCTTCCATCCGACCAATCAGAGCTTCACTTTTGAAATCACGATCATGCAACCTTACATGGTCCATTCTGAACAACAGTTCCAGGCTGTGCGACTGATTTCATCAAAATTGTCATCAATCTCTCACTTCAATGGGTTAAACATTTGGAACAGAAGAGACTTTCAATAGTCATGATCATAATGATAGCCTCTGGGAATTACTGCCATACAATCTCGACCATCTATTAGACTTTCCAGAATTTTCTTTTGTTCAGTTGAATCGAGAACTTTGTCAAAATATATGGAATGGAAATCTCTGTTTTGAAACTATTGACATAAAGCTTGAGAAAGCCACTTTCTTGTTGGCTAATATCGACTTCCTGTTGGCCATTTTGTTCATCAGTCAAAGTTTGCGAAGGTCGACCTGTAATGGGATGTCCTCCAATCCCATGTAGAGGTAGTGATCACTAAGATCTGTTTTAATAAGAATGCATACCCACCCCTCACATACCCAAACCAATCAGTTCCATACCCAAACCCACATACCCAAACCCTCTCCTCACATGGCATTCTCATCATGCAACAACCAAACTTCACAACTAACAGCTACAATTTTATAGTATCTGGCTGCACCTGGGTAGTGAGACCAAAATTCTCATAATTCTATCAACATCAATTACTTGACCCACCCATCCCATACCCGCACCTCCCTCAAATACACAAAGACACCCCTAATACCGAATACCCAAACCCAGCCATCCCCAGGGATCATTTTGGGCCATGCCCTTGCTCCAAACATGCTCTGAAATATGAAGTGGCACATTCAAATTAGCAATACCAGCCCATCTGGCTGCCCAGAAGGACACAAGAAATGTTATAATCCGGGTCTTCAAACTTCATAAATTGTACTTGGTTTGCTTATCTCAATTCACAGTTGTTTACAAAGGAGGTAGCTTCGGTTATCTGCTCCTACAGTCCGAAAGAATAAAAAGGCATTCTGAAGGCTTTGCTAGTGGTCGTTTTCTCTGTGTTATATAGATTCGGAAATAGTTCAAACTTGGCTTCTCCGCATAGCGATGGCTTCCGGCTATGGAACATGTGCAACACATATGGAATATGGCGCCGAAGAAAGTTGAAAAACTGTTGACTGTTAAAAGGATATCCTTGTGATTGCACAAGTTCTTTTTGTGAAACTTTGCCAAAAAACATACACAGAAGTGTACAACTTAGCTTGTTAGTGCATGTGCAATATACCTCAAAACTAAGATTTCGTTGCTCATGGGAGGTTCTGAATATTTACTTGCGTGTGACAATAGCTGATCAGTCCGATAACAGTCTATGACAACACAGCCTTGTAATTAGAAATTGATTTGGATTTTCACCATGGGTGTATATATATCATGAAAAGAAGGTATCAAGGTTTGGTTGGTGTTTCAACATGTCTTCATAACATGACAATCCCAACACTTCACGATTTCCTTAATATTTATTGTTCCGCAAACTCATCAGAAAAAACCCACCCCTCACATTCCCCAACCCTCCCTCACATGCCTAACCCATCCCTCATATACCCAACCCCCCCCCTCACATACCCAAACCCCCCCTCACATACCCAAATCCCCCCTCACATTCCCAAACCCACCCCTCACATTCCCAAACCCTCCCTCACATTCCCCAACCCTCCCTCACATGCCTAACCCATCCCTCACATTCCCAGACCCTCCCTCACATTCCCCAACCCTCCCTCACATGCCTAACCCATCCCTCACATACCCAAACCCCCCCTCACATACCCAAACCCCCCCTCACATTCCCGAACCCCCCCTCACATTCCCAGACCCTCCCTCACATGCCTAACCCATCCCTCACATACCCAAACTCACCCCTCACATTCCCAAACCCTCCCTCACATTTCTAACCCTCCCCTCACATACCCAAACCCCCCCTCACATACCCAAACCCCCCTCACATTCCCCCCCCCCCCCACATACCCAACCCCCCCCTCACATACCCAAACCCCCCCTCACATTCCCAAACCCCCCCTCACATTCCCAAACCCCCCCTCACATTCCCAAACCCCCCCTCACATACCAAAACCCCCCTCACATACCCAAACCCCCCTCACATACCCAAACCCCCCCTCACATTCCCAAACCCCCCCTCACATTCCCAAGCTCCCTCACATACCCAAAACCCCCCTCACATACCCAAACCCCCCCTCACATACCCAAACCCCCCCTCACATACCCAAACCCTCCCTCACATACCCAAACCCCCCCTCACATTCCCCAACCCCCCCTCACATACCCAAACCCCCCCTCACATACCCAACCCCCCCCTCACATACCCAAACCCCCCCTCACATACTCAAACCCCCCTCACATTCCCAAACCCCCCCTCACATGTCTAGCCCTCCCCTCACATTTCTAAACCCACCCCTTACATTCCCCAACCCTCCCTCACATTCCCCAACCCCCCTCACATACCCAAACCCTCCCTCACATACCCAAACCCCACCTCACATACCCAAACCCCCCTCACATTCCCAACCCCCCCCTCACATTCCCAAACACCCCCTCACATACCCAAAACCCCCCTCACATACCCAAACCCCCCCTCGGATTCCCAAACCCCCCCTCACATACCCAAACCCCCCCTCACATTCCCAAACCCCCCCTCACATACCCAAACCCTCCCTCACATACCCAAACCCCCCCTCACATTCCCAAACCCCCCCTCACATACCCAAACCCCCCCTCACATACCCACCCCACCCCCCCTCGGATTTCCAAACCCTCCCTCACATGTCTAACCCTCCCCTCACATTTCCAAACCCACCCCTTACATTCCCCAACCCTCCCTCACATTCCCCAACCCTCCCTCACATTCCCAAACCCTCCCTCACATGCCTAACCCATCCCTCACATACCCAAACCCACCCCTCACATTCCCCAACCCTCCCTCACATTCCCAAACCCTCCCTCACATTCCCAAACCCTCCCTCACATGCCTAACCTATCTCTCACATTCCCAAATCCACCCCTCACATTCCCAAACCCTCCCTCACATGCCTAACCCATCTCTCACATTCCCAAACCCTCCCTCACATTCCCCAAACCCTCCCTCACATTCCCCAAACCCTCCCTCACATGCCTAACCCATCTCTCACATTCCCAAACCCTCCCTCACATGCCTAACCCATCTCTCACATTCCCAAACCCTCCCTCACATTCCCAAACCCTCCCTCACATTCCCCAAACCCTCCCTCACATGCCTAACCCATCTCTCACATACCCAAACCCATCCGTCACATACCCAAACCCACCCCTCACATTCCCAAACCCACCCATTCCATACCAGATCCATAACCAACCTTTCACATTCCCAAACCAATATAATTAACTGAGATGCCTAAGTCCTTTATGTGAACAGATAATTTGAGCATGTTGAGGTGGTCTTTTTATACTTTTGTTAGCACGTGAAACATTTTTAACATGTTTATTGTCAAAGCTTTCTTTTTGTAAGTTTACAAATCAAAATCTTTTCAGGGTATGAAAGTGTCATGCACACATTTCCAGTGTGCAGCGTGGGCATTTGAACATCTTCGAGACTATTTCGGGAGTTCGGCAATGAGCACAGACATGTCACATGAGCTGCTTACATTTCATGTCAGTCTCATGCTGGTAAGTTGTCATGATGAACACACCAGGATCTGCACAGCTAGCACCCAGGCTAGGAAACACACAATCAAATAGGGCTTTCTTCTGTGATATGGTGCATAATATTAGGACAAAACTGTGTACTAACCATGCTAGCACTCCTTTCACAGAACTCAGAAAGTTAAACAATTGATTTTAATCTTACAATCAGACAAGTAGCTAAATCGTTGTCACAGTGCGTGATAAAGTGTCTGACTCTCAAGTGTTACTTTATGACTCTTTAAGTTAAGAATTTTCAGGTTTTCAAAATATGTTGTCACCCTTGCTTTGGATTGTGCTATAGTTAAATTTACATATTTATTAAACAATCTTAAAAAACCTACAGGCTCAAGGTCAAGAATGTATTCTGGAGAAGTCGATGATTGACAGTCGGAAGAACACCATCACAGCCAAGGTGTCTGCCCAGGTGGTAGACTTCTACAGGACAGCCATCAAGAATCTCGAGACATGCAACCAAGAGGGCATCGTTAGCTCCAGGTGCTACAAGGTGAGCTGAGGGTGTTACAAGCTGACCTTCAGGGGCACAGTTGTCTGATGGGAAAGAAACTTTTGATCTCTCTACTCTGACCTCAGTTGCAGTCTGACAGGGTAGTGTACATCATGTTTACTCCATCAGTGGCTCAGGGTACTGTATATCATATATACTCCATCAGAGTTGGTGTGTGTTGTGTCTGACTGACTGGGATGATCTTGACCATGAGTGTTTCTCTGTCCCAGGACTGGGGAAAGTGTATGGAGTTTTAGTGTGTTGTGTCTGACTGACTGGGATGATCTTGACCATGAGTGTTTCTCTGTCCCAGGACTGGTGTATGGAGTTGTAGTGTGTTGTGTCTGACTGACTGGGATGATCTTGACCATGAGTGTTTCTCTGTCCCAGGACTGGTGTATGGAGTTGTAGTGTGTTGTGTCTGACTGACTGGGATGATCTTGACCATGAGTGTTTCTCTGTCCCAGGACTGGTGTATGGAGTTGTAGTGTGTTGTGTCTGACTGACTGGGATGATCTTGACCATGAATGTTTCTCTGTCCCAGGACTGGTGTATGGAGTTGTAGTGTGTTGTGTCTGGCTGACTGGGATGATCTTGACCATGAGTGTTTCTCTGTCCCAGGACTGGTGTATGGAGTTGTAGTGTGTTGTGTCTGACTGACTGGGATGATCTTGACCATGAGTGTTTCTCTGTCCCAGGACTGGTGTATGGAGTTGTAGTGTGTTGTGTCTGACTGACTGGGATGATCTTGACCATGAGTGTTTCTCTGTCCCAGGACTGGTGTATGGAGTTGTAGTGTGTTGTGTCTGACTGACTGGGATGATCTTGACCATGAATGTTTCTCTGTCAGGACTGGAGGAAGCGTATGGAGTTAAAGGTGTGTTTCTACCAGTGCATCACGTTCTACTACATGGGGCGGCAGTCAGAGGACCAGCAGAAAATGGGAGAGAGACTGGCGTACTTCCAGGCCAGTCACGACAAACTCAACGAGAGCATGAAACTAGCCAAGGTCAGGGTCATTCAAGATTCTGAAAATCTTCCAACAACAGTCAGTAGACAATGGGAGGGCTTCAAAAATTTCATAAAACCAACTTGTCCTGCAGGGCAAGTAGATGATATTTGTACTTGTCCTGCAATATTTACACTTGCCCTGTTAAATTTCATCAAGTTTTATGTTCTCAGTTGTAACTTATGGCAAACTGTACAAAATCCCCGCCATCTACATTCATCTCCATTCATTCAAACTCGCACAACCGTGCATCTTGCACAGTTTGTTTTCTTTTTTTGTTACAGTCATACTGTTTTTGATAGTTTCCTTTTTTCGGCCTGTTTGTTAATTAAATCATGTTTTTGTTGTTAAGCCCACCAACACAGATCCAATACTTTCGTATATCATTCATTTCACAAAATCAATCATCAGCTGTTCACTATCACATTGACATTTGAGTGTAAGTAACGAGTTGCTGTGGAAATATTGAAATAAGACGGGTAATCATATTTACTCCTTCTGTCCTGGCTTTGGGTGTTATTGTTTGTCTGTTTGCTGTATTTGTGTAAATGTTTGATCTTTGTACTGTAAATGGCTCTGATTGAAGTCTAGAAAACATGGTGTGAATGTGGTCTTTTTTATTTTTTATTTATATGTTTATATTCTTGGAAAACTAATCAGAAGTATATGATAATAGTGTAGTTATAATATAATATCTGATCTTGTACTTGTAAGACTACCTTCTAATGCTGACATATCGATGCCTTGTGTTCACAGAATGAGGTTCCTGAAGTCCAAGATGCTCTGAAATTTGCTCAAGATGTAGTTGGAGGAAAGTAAGTAACCGGTAACAATAGTAACATACAGAGATTGTCTACACAGAGAGGGTCTTGGTGGCCAAGTAGCCCCAGGATACACAACAGGATGAATCACGATTGACAGTCTTTCCCTAATTCTTTGTCTATGAACGTTATAAACATCTTATCAGTGCTTGGCATCCTCACCTTGGTGATAACTGTCTATGATAACTGAGATTCTGTTTAAAGCTGTGTTTAAAACCCAATTTCAACTAATTAAATTGATTCAGGACTTTGGTTTGTGTTATAAACTGGAAGATGGGGACAATCTCACAGGATTGACCATGAGTAACATTTAATATGAACTGTATTATCAAAACAAAGTTCCAAGGATGTTTTTTAATTTTGTCAATCAGTGTTAATGTATTGATGGGTAGGAGTTGACCAGTTAGTGATCAGGAAACCAATCAGGAAAGCAATCATAATTTAGAAAAATATATCTGTATTTACATGTGAATTGGATGTTGTTCTACTTTTCAGATTCAACTCGGCCAAAAAAGACAATGATTTTGTGTACCATGAAAAAGTTCCTGCATTAGACAGTCTGCCAGAAATAAAAGGTAAGTGAATTTGTTTGTAAACATGTTGAATAGGCTTTGTTTGGAACATGCTCCTCAACACAATGAACATGGTTGAAAGTATTTTGTTTTAGCTATGAAAAATTAGCTTCAAGAACCAAAGTTTTCCATTTCAAGATTATGCATTGTTTGTCTTTAAGACATTTGATTCAGTTTCTGTGCTTCATTTGTCTTGAGGACATTTGATTCAGTTTCTGTGCATCATTTGTCTTGAGGATATTTGATTCAGTTTCTATGCATCATTTGTCTTGAGGACATTTGATTCAGTTTCTATGCATCATTTGTCTTGAGGACATTTGATTCAGTTTCTATGCATCATTTGTCTTGAGGACATTTGGTACAGTTTCTATGCATTGTTTGTCTTGAGGACATTTGGTACAGTTTCTATGCATTGTTTGTCTTGAGGACATTTGATTCAGTTTCTATGCATTGTTTGTCTTGAGGACATTTGGTACAGTTTCTATGCATTGTTTGTCTTGAGGACATTTGGTACAGTTTCTATGCATTGTTTGTCTTGAGGACATTTGGTACAGTTTCTATGCATTGTTTGTCTTGAGGACATTTGGTACAGTTTTTATGCATCGTTTGTCTTGAGGACATTTGATTCAGTTTCTATGCATCTTTTGTCTTGAGGATATTTGATTCAGTTTCTATGCATCATTTGTCTTGAGGACATTTGATTCAGTTTCTATGCATCATTTGTCTTGAGGACATTTGATTCAGTTTCTATGCATTGTTTGTCTTGAGGACATTTGGTACAGTTTCTATGCATTGTTTGTCTTGAGGACATTTGGTAGTTTCTATGCATTGTTTGTCTTGAGGACATTTGATTCAGTTTTTATGCATTGTTTGTCTTGAGGACATTTGGTACAGTTTCTATGCATTGTTTGTATTGAGGACATTTGGTACAGTTTCTATGCATTGTTTGTCTTGAGGACATTTGGTACAGTTTCTATGCATTGTTTGTCTTGAGGACATTTGGTACAGTTTCTATGCATTGTTTGTCTTGAGGACATTTGGTACAGTTTTTATGCATCGTTTGTCTTGAGGACATTTGGTTCAGTTTCTATGCATCTTTTGTCTTGAGGACATTTGGTACAGTTTCTATGCATTGTTTGTCTTGAGGACATTTGATTCAGTTTCTGTGCATCATTTGTCTTGAGGATATTTGATTCAGTTTCTATGCATCATTTGTCTTGAGGACATTTGATTCAGTTTCTATGCATCATTTGTCTTGAGGACATTTGATTCAGTTTCTATGCATCATTTGTCTTGAGGACATTTGGTACAGTTTCTATGCATTGTTTGTCTTGAGGACATTTGGTACAGTTTCTATGCATTGTTTGTCTTGAGGACATTTGATTCAGTTTCTATGCATTGTTTGTCTTGAGGACATTTGGTACAGTTTCTATGCATTGTTTGTCTTGAGGACATTTGGTACAGTTTCTATGCATTGTTTGTCTTGAGGACATTTGGTACAGTTTCTATGCATCTTTTGTCTTGAGGATATTTGATTCAGTTTCTATGCATCATTTGTCTTGAGGACATTTGATTCAGTTTCTATGCATCATTTGTCTTGAGGACATTTGATTCAGTTTCTATGCATCGTTTGTCTTGAGGACATTTGGTACAGTTTCTATGCATTGTTTGTCTTGAGGACATTTGGTAGTTTCTATGCATTGTTTGTCTTGAGGACATTTGATTCAGTTTTTATGCATTGTTTGTCTTGAGGACATTTGGTACAGTTTCTATGCATTGTTTGTATTGAGGACATTTGGTACAGTTTCTATGCATTGTTTGTCTTGAGGACATTTGGTACAGTTTCTATGCATTGTTTGTCTTGAGGACATTTGGTACAGTTTCTATGCATTGTTTGTCTTGAGGACATTTGGTACAGTTTTTATGCATCGTTTGTCTTGAGGACATTTGGTTCAGTTTCTATGCATCTTTTGTCTTGAGGACATTTGGTACAGTTTCTATGCATTGTTTGTCTTGAGGACATTTGGTACAGTTTCTATGCATTGTTTGTCTTGAGGACATTTGGTACAGTTTCTATGCATTGTTTGTCTTGAGGACATTTGGTACAGTTTTTATGCATCGTTTGTCTTGAGGACATTTGATTCAGTTTCTATGCATCTTTTGTCTAGAGGACATTTGGTACAGTTTCTATGCATTGTTTGTCTTGAGGACATTTGGTACAGTTTCTATGCATTGTTTGTCTTGAGGACATTTGGTACAGTTTCTATGCATTGTTTGTCTTGAGGACATTTGGTACAGTTTTTATGCATCGTTTGTCTTGAGGACATTTGATTCAGTTTCTATGCACCTTTTGTCTTGAGGACATTTGGTACAGTTTCTATGCATTGTTTGTCTTGAGGACATTTGGTACAGTTTCTATGCATTGTTTGTCTTGAGGACATTTGGTACAGTTTCTATGCATTGTTTGTCTTGAGGACATTTGGTACAGTTTCAAGACAGTGGTACTTCATAGTTTCCAAATTTCCATATTTCCAGGGGCGTCACTGGTGAAGGGGATCCCATTCAACCCAACAGATCCAGAGATTTCTGGTCCGGATATTTTCCAAAAACTTGTGCCAATGGAAGCGCATGAAGCATCATCAGTGTACAGGTAATGCAGATGGAATTGTATAGTGTCTGCAGCAGATCCCAGATAGTCTGAGAGTTGACTCAAATGGGATCCGCATGGTCACAATTGTCTGCGGTGTATGAAAGTAGTTTGGTGTCACTGCCACAAGCACCAACTCTCAGCTGTCCTCATGACAACAGTGACAACCATTGCTTTGATCAGTCCGGTTTGATAGGTGATGTGAGGTGAAATGGGGTTTAACGTTGCATTCAAGATTATTGCACTCCAGTAGCGATGTCTGGTGTGGTGTGGTGTGGTGTGGTGTGGTGTGTAGCATGGCGTAGCGTGGCGTGGCGTGGCGTGGCGTGGCGTGGCGTGGCGTGATGTGTCTGTGTCATGAAATGGGGTTTAACGTTGCATTCAAGATTATTGCACTCCTGTAGCGATGTGTGGTGTGGTGTGGTGTGGTGTGGTGCGGTGCGGTGTGTCTGTGTCTGTGTCTGTGTCTGTCTGTGTCTGTCAGTGTCTGTCTGCTGGTACTAGTCTGGACTTATGACAATTTTATAGTGCTAGCTCACTGAGATACCATGCTGCAGTTTAACTGTATGCCCCACTCAGGAACAGTATACTGACTCCAAGCCTACCAGTCCTTTTTTCAGCCCCTTAATGCCGAGTGCCAGGCAGGGTAACAACAAGTACCATCTTTTAACATAGCATAATATGATGACCGCTTTAAAATACATGTTATTCTGAGCTCAACAGAAATTATCTGTAAACTTTGTTTTGAAGACAGAAGAAAACAATTTGGATATTTATATAAATTGCCCACTGCCACCAGGTTTTGTTGTGTCATGTGATTGTCACAGTGTCATTATGGATTCCTGCCTGTGAGGCCAAGGTCCTAGTGAGTCCAGCCGATGTCACTAGCTATATCTTAAGTACATTTGCAAACTCAATCGCCATGCTCATAATATAAGTATGTGAAAGTTGAAAAAGTAATTGTGTATGTTGAATTAAACTGTTGTGTCTTGGTATACATACTTTACATGGTATACATGGCTGACGTTGATGTAACAGTCTGTGCATGTTGTTGTGTTTCAGTGAGGAGAAGGCGAAACTTTTGAGGAAGGTCAGTGGAGAGGTGGAGGAGAAATCCATGGAACTTGAGTAAGAAAACTTTGGAAAACATTGCAAACTCTAATTGGTCAAGCACTCACCTTAGGGTATTATCATGCAGGAATTATTTGTTTAGTGTATAATTTGATTTTTTAGAAATATTGTTTTAATGTCTCGCTTAATCATGTTAAGAGTGGTAGTGCAGGATAATATGAGCATGCTGGTTTCTTGCAGACAATACATGTCGTCACTGCAACTTGACCCCCACAAGTTGATGCCGAGGATGGAGCCCCTGCCACAAGAACTACTGGAGAAATGTGCAGCCATGAGTGTCAAAACTGGCGCCATCCAAAGCCTGATAGAGTCCATGGCAGGTCAGGTTATGCCACACTATTAAATCTATATCGCGGTGGTCTGTAAATTAGCTCATCTGGTCAATAGCATGAACAGCAATCCAGACAACAGGCTACGATGATGACTAGGTCATACTTTGTCCAGAAATCTGTGAACTATAATCTCCTCTTCACAAATAGGACCACCTCTGTGGTCTAGTGGATGCAACATCTGCCCGGAGAGTGGTGGTTTGATCCGCTGGCTGCGTCAAACCAAAATAGGTTAAAAGATAGTACTTGTTGTTACCCTGCTAGCATTACAGGTATAAAACAAAGACTGGTCAGCTCGGTGTTCATATACTGTGTTTGAGAGGGGTGTCCATGTTAAACTGCAGCATGGTAACTCAGTTTGTTAGCACAATAAAACACTGTGTAGATGTGTGCCTTGTGTTGCAGCTGTTGCTGGTACTGCTACTGAGGTGGAGCTCAACTTGAAAGAAATCTTTGGTTTGTTGGATGAGGAGAGGAAACAGGATGAACACTTCCAGGTGAGTGTTCAAGAATCTGTGGCCACTTGGGGGATGACATGGAGAAATGTTTGCAAATCATGCAAGAGAAATAAAACCAGTGTGAGCACTCAGTTCTGTGGCCTATTCAACAACCAATCAGAAATCACTTACAGATCAAATGATGTTTGCATTACTATAGAAATATTGAATTAATTTTAAACGATAAATATCAATGGACAGACAGCCGCATGTGACTTAATGGCTAGAACTCTCATTGGCAACACCATTTTACTCTCTGTATCAAGTATTTGTCATGAAACTATCAATTGTTAAATTTTATAGATTGCCTTTGCGAATGACTTTGCAAACTTTATGAATATAAAATTAATATCAAATGGTGCAGGATTTCCAATTATCAGTGAGATAAGGCGGGTCTTGTGGTCAAGTGTTTTTAAATAACAGTCAGTGTTGTGATGGCATCAAGGGACCAAGATGCTGTATACATATGCCACAGAAGTTTAGATATTAGGCATGTATTACTTTTCCTGAAATAGATGTTTTCTGATGAGAATAATCTTTTTGTTACAGAAAACATTTGGCAGCCGAGCCCCCAATATTGTGTTGTCTGAGATCCGCAAAGACACGGAGATGCAGCGTGAGAAACACAAACAGGGCAGCCAGTCGAATGAAAACCTCCACAAGGCCATGAATGTCCACATTGCCAACCTCCGCCTGCTGGCCGGAGCACCAGATGACCTCCAGGCCACACTGCCCAAACAAGAGTTGACCAACTGTAAGTGCAGTGAGTCCATGGAGGCTGTGACATGTTTCTGTTACAATGGAATCTCATAAACATTCAGTTTAGTTTGGGGTCATTATTTCAACATTTGAAAGTGTCAATTTCATGTCGCCATGAAGTATTGCTGACTGTGGCAGAAGACAATATTCAGTCACTCACGTAATACGGATTATTGATGTAGTACGATGCTTCATCCATTTGGATATTTATCACCTTTTCTGGACTTGTGGATGTGATCAGAATGTGGATCAACAGACATAGGCACAGGAATCCGAAGTTGGAATTAATAATAATGGCTTATGAGTGAAAACCTGCTAACCATCCTTAACATCCATCACCTGTTTCAGCACCAGAGGATGAAGCCCTTGTACAGGAACTTCAGCGGCTTCTGTCAAAGGTTGATGAGATGAAAAAACAACGTCAGAATTTGATGGAAGAGCTTCGTACACAGGTCCAGAATGATGACATCACAAACGTACTGGTCACTCAAGATAGTGGCAGTAAAGATGTAAGTTTTTGAACATAGGGTAGCCATGTGTTACTTTCTGGCCTGATCTTCTTTTTACTTCTGGGTCTCCAGGATAGCTATGGGTTAACATGGTTGGTGCTGATTACTGCAGGGGATCCTGGTTAGCTGTGTGTTAGTTCTGATTACGACAAGGGATCCTGGTTAGCTGTGTGTTAGTTCTGATTACTACATGGGATCCTGGTTAGCTGTGTGTTAGTTCTGATTGCTGCAAGTGTTCCAGGGTAGCTTTATGTTAGTTCTGATTACATCAAGTGTTCCAGGGTAGCTTTATGTTAGTTCTGATTACTGCAAGGGTTCCAGGGTAGCTGTGTTTTAGTTCTGATTACATAAAGTGTTCCAGGGTAGCGGTGTGTTAGTTCTGATTACTGCAAGGGTTCCAGGGTAGCTTTATTTTAGTTCTGATTACATCAAGTGTTCCAGGGTAGCTTTGTGTTAGTTCTGATTACTGCAAGTGTTCCAGGGTAGCTTTATCTTAGTTCTGATTACATAAAGTGTTCCAGGGTAGCTTTGTGTTAGTTCTGATTGCTGCAAGTGTTCGAGGGTAGCTTTATGTTAGTTCTGATTACATCAAGTGTTCCAGGGTAGCTTTGTGTTAGTTCTGATTACTGCAAGTGTTCCAGGGTAGCTATATGTTAGTTCTGATTACATCAAGTGTTCCAGGGTAGCTTTGTGTTAGTTCTGATTGATGCAAGTGTTCCAGGGTAGCTTTATGTTAGTTCTGATTACATCAAGTGTTCCAGGGTAGCTTTGTGTTAGTTCTGTGATTACTGCAAGTGTTCCAGGGTAGCTGTGTTTTAGTTCTGATTACTGCAAGTGTTCCAGGGTAGCTTTGTGTTAGTTCTGATTACTGCAAGGGATCCTGGTTAGCTGTGTGTTAGTTCTGATAACAACAAGTGTTCCAGGGTAGCTGTGTGTTATTTCTGATTACTACAAGGGATCCTGGTTAGCTGTGTGTTAGTTCTGATTACTACAAGTGTTCCAGGGTAGCTGTGTGTTATTTCTGATTACTACAAGGGATCCTGGTTAGCTGTGTGTTAGTTCTGATTACTACATGGGATCCTGGTTAGCTGTGTGTTAGTTCTGATTACTACAAGGGATCCTGGTTAGCTGTGTGTTAGTTCTGATTACTACAAGTGTTCCAGGGTAGCTGTGTGTTATTTCTGATTACTACAAGGGATCCTGGTTAGCTGTGTGTTAGTTCTGATTACTACATGGGATCCTGGTTAGCTGTGTGTTAGTTCTGATTGCTGCAAGTGTTCCAGGGTAGCTTTATGTTAGTTCTGATTACATCAAGTGTTCCAGGGTAGCTTTATGTTATTTCTGATTACTGCAAGTGTTCCAGGGTAGCTGTGTTTTAGTTCTGATTACATAAAGTGTTCCAGGGTAGCGGTGTGTTAGTTCTGATTACTGCAAGGGTTCCAGGGTAGCTTTATTTTAGTTCTGATTACATCAAGTGTTCCAGGGTAGCTTTGTGTTAGTTCTGATTACTGCAAGTGTTCCAGGGTAGCTTTATCTTAGTTCTGATTACATAAAGTGTTCCAGGGTAGCTTTGTGTTAGTTCTGATTGATGCAAGTGTTCGAGGGTAGCTTTATGTTAGTTCTGATTACATCAAGTGTTCCAGGGTAGCTTTGTGTTATTTCTGATTACTGCAAGTGTTCCAGGGTAGCTATATGTTAGTTCTGATTACATCAAGTGTTCCAGGGTAGCTTTGTGTTAGTTCTGATTGATGCAAGTGTTCCAGGGTAGCTTTATGTTAGTTCTGATTACATCAAGTGTTCCAGGGTAGCTTTGTGTTAGTTCTGTGATTACTGCAAGTGTTCCAGGGTAGCTGTGTGTTATTTCTGATTACTACAAGGGATCCTGGTTAGCTGTGTGTTAGTTCTGATTACTACAAGTGTTCCAGGCTAGCTGTGTGTTATTTCTGATTACTACAAGGGATCCTGGTTAGCTGTGTGTTAGTTCTGATTACTACAAGTGTTCCAGGGTAGCTGTGTGTTAGTTCTGATTACTGCAAGGGATCCTGGTTAGCTGTGTGTTAGTTCTGATTACTGCAAGGGTTCCAGGGTAGCTGTGTATTAGTTCCGATTACAACAAATGTTCCAGGGTAGCTGTGTGTTATTTCTGATTACTGCAAGGGTTCCAGGGTAGTTTTATGTTAGTTCTGATTACTACAAGTGTTCCAGGCTAGCTGTGTGTTATTTCTGATTACTACAAGGGATCCTGGTTAGCTGTGTGTTAGTTCTGATTACTACAAGTGTTCCAGGGTAGCTGTGTGTTAGTTCTGATTACTGCAAGGGATCCTGGTTAGCTGTGTGTTAGTTCTGATTACTGCAAGGGTTCCAGGGTAGCTGTGTTTTACTTCCGATTACAACAAATGTTCCAGGGTAGCTGTGTGCTATTTCTTATTACTGCAAGGGATCCAGTGTAGCTGTGTGTTAGTTCTGAAGGGAATAATGTATAAATGAGTGAAGAGAGGGTAAGTTATTTCCCTACTTACAATTTGATTGGAATTGTGAAGAATAAAAAGAAACTACTGATACATACCTGGCAAAAATCAAATACTGGCTTCTTGCTGCAGAGCATCTTTGAGGAGCAGTTGAAGAAACATGACAAGCTGGTGATCCTTATGCAACAGAACCTCGGGGCCCAGGACAACATCCTCCGAGCCCTCACCGATACCAACGCTAGATACGCCACTATCAGGAAGGCCACTAGTGAATCTATTGCCAGGTAAGTCTATCATGACACCAAATAAGCCACCATCAAAAATCCACTGAACATTGGTTGTGATCCTTTGTCTGGTAGACACCATTCACTGAAGTGATCATTGTCTTTAGCATGCATCGTTTCGGGTGTCCTTCCCACAGACATGTGATGACATGGTTAATATTATGTTCAAGGCTGTGTTGGGCCCAGCTCCATCTAATCCACCTAATTGCATACTGCTGACTGGCAGTCACTCATCCCAGCACCTCAGTTAAGGCCATAATGACCTATGCTGTCTCTACAGACGGGATGCCCGGATCAGTGAACTCATCAAGTCCTATGAGGTGTATGAGGATCTGATGGGGAAGTCTCAGAAAGGTCTGGAGTATTACAAGAAACTGGAGGAAACAGTCGGTCGAATTCTGACTCGGTGTCGATCTGTGTGCAAGGTTCAGCAGGAGGAGAGAGATCAGATCACTAAGAGGTTTGCTGCCAAAGGTCTGTAGTATGAGTCTTTGTTGAAAGAACCATTCAAATGAGGAGTGTGTGTATTCATACCCAAATGATGTGGATCATATCTTTGGCTCAAGGTTTCACAGACCCAGATGGAGCTGAAGTATTGCTGTCTGTGGAGTACAACTGTGTGCACTTATCATATATATTCATGCTCATAATGTGACCACTTTATTTGATCATGAGCATGTAGTGTAGCCTGGTTCAGATATAAAAGAAAATGTATTGATATAGAATCAATAGATGTTAAGAAGTCATTATGTTTGGCTTTGAAACAATAAATCTTTAGAATGAGTTTACATTATATCTATGAATTGTATCAACCCCTTATATATATCAATAAAGATTATTTAACAGCTGCTACAGTCGTTATTGGCAATATGGTCTAATACTGGCACTCAACTTGTCTAGAACTACAGTTAAATCAACATTTGATGACAAAACAAGGATTCAGTGTATATTTCTTTTTAGGATGTATATTTTATGTGTCTTGAAACTATGTTGTCTTTCCCAGAGGCACCCTCAAGGCCAGCAGCACCAAAACCAGCTTCAGCTCAAGCTCCTGGCCCAGCTCCCATCCCAGCAATACCTGGTGAAACAACCTTGCCTTCATTTGAAGGTCCCAAACTCCGAGATTATCTCCCATTCATGAAACCAGCAACATTTGGACCCAAATCTACAGACCGAGGTCCTCCAGACTCTCCAGGAGATCATGTCCCAGGTGGATCTCTACCATCCAGCCTGTCCGGATCTCCAGTACACCAGAGAGGGGGATCTCCTCGGAGTAGTCCTGCAAGACAAGTTCCTACTGGTGGAGGTCCAGCAGGAATAGACTACTCCAGTCTTCATCCAGAAGTGGCGGCCCAGCTATCGAAACTTCCCGCAGGCTTCTTCAACAAGCTGAAAGATGGAGGTGGTATTGATGCTTCTGATGGTCTTCGAAGCCAGCAGCAACCCAGTGTCCCTAGTGTCCCCAGTGTTCCTGATACTGGCATAGACCCCAACCTCCCTCCTGAGATTCAGGCCCAGTTGGCCAAGCTTCCTAAAGGGTTCTTCAGTCAGATGAAGGGCAGTCATGGTTCTGGAGGTGTTAGTGATAACCAGCCTTCTTCCCTCCCACACCTACCGGTGTCTGGGTATGGAGCAGCAGGAAACATGGGTCAGAATTATCATGGTTCTTTGCCCAACATGACTCAGCTTCCCCAGCATCCAACAAGAAGGTTTGATAGCACTAGCACTGTGTCATCCGTGGAAACACCAGTTATCTCCCCTACAAAAGGCCCACAAGGTGATCCCAATGTTCACCAACACAGCCATCATGGTGGACAAGGGGGAGAGTTTTCTGTAGGACAAGCTCAAGGACAGCCTCACCATCACATGATAGCACACTATCAAAATCGAAACTTGCAAAGTGAGTATTCTGCAGACCAGATGTTGCCATCTGTTGGCTGTGAACCAAGTGCTATGTCACATCACAATATTGGACAGGTGGGTCAATCAAGGAACACAGCACAACCAGTTTCCCAATCACATCCAGGAATGCAGCATCAGGCACAGCATCATGGCCTCCCACAGCAACAATCTCAACAGCCTGTGGCTCCTCAACAGCAGCCACAGCAGCCTAATGTTTTACAGAGGCCACCCCCAGCCTCTACTCCTCAGCCTAGTCAGTATTCAGCCTCAGTTCCACAGAGCGGTCCACTGCAAACACCATCACAATATCAATATCAGCAGCTACCTGGGACCCAGTTTCAACAAGGCTATCAACAGTTCCAGCAGCCAGCTGCAAGTCAATACTATCAGACACCTGGACAAGGAACAGCCAACCGTAGTCAAACAGGGACCATTCCTACTAACCAGGCTGCTCCATCACAAACTGGATATGGTAGTCAGCAGTATCCTGCTTCATCCCAGGCTCATTATGGATCCCAAGTCAGTGGTGGTCAGACTTCACAAACACCTGGGGGTCAGTCCTTTCCTCCAAACCAAACATACCCAGTTAATCAAACCCAGCCTGGTTCTCAACTCGGGATGCAGGCACCCATGGCACAAGGTCCAGCAAATGTTGGACCTTCACAAACAGTATTAGCACAGCAGTATCAAATGCCTAGTGTGCCACAGCAATCAAATGTACAGCCTGGTCAAAGTAATGTGCAATCTTGGCAGGGCCAACCAGGCCAACCACCTGTATCACAGACACAGACACAGCCTAATGTTAATTATGCTGGACAGATGCCAAATACTCCACAAGCCAAATGGCCACAGAGTCAAGGTCAGATGCAACAGCAACAGCAACCTGTTGCAGCCCAGCAGCAAATTTATCAACATTACCCAGGACAGGCTTCTACCCCTTATACCCAGGCAGGGTACAACATGCAACAGCAACAGCCAACTATTGCCAGTTCACAAACATTCGTTCCACCTCAGCAACCTGGAGTTGCAGCCACTTCTGGGTATTACTCTCAGCAGCAGCAGAAGCAGCCTATGAACACTTATAATCCATCATTCCAAACCCAGCAAACCCAACAGACAAGAATGCCATCACAGACACAGGTGTATCCTCAGTCTACAAATCAAGCCGCACAGCAGTACCAAACTCAACCAAGAGGTCCTCAACCTGTTCCTATTAGGCCTCAAGCCAACTACCCAAATGTCCAACCAGCTCAGTCTGCATTAGGACAAGTCCAACCTCAGAGTCAAGGCTACCGAATGCAGCCATCAGTAAATCAGCAACCCCAGCAACAGATGAATCAACAGATGCGTTTCCAGCAGCCACAGACTTCTGTTGGTCAGTATCAGTATAACCAACAAGGACAGACTTTACCCAACACATATTCCTCCCAGCAGGGTGTACCTGGGCAACAAGCTCCACAGATGAGCCAAGGATCATACCCTCAGCAACAACCAGTGAGACCTTCTGGAGGCTACACTCAACCAGCTACCCAGCCTCCAATGACCTACCCAGTGGGCCAGGGAGCACCAGCTCCTCAAGGCTTCAACCAACAGATTATTCCACAGACAGGACAAACCAACCAAATGTCCAGAGCACAACCACAACAGCCAATGCAATACCAGCCTGTTCTTCAACCAACACAAGCAGCAGTTCTGCCCAATCAAGTAGCAGGCAGTTCCCAGCCAGCTCCTCAGTCTCCTGTAACGTCTCATCCTGTTCCCCTGCATCCTACTCAACCTCCTCAAGGTGCTCCTGCTCAAACTCCTTCCCTCCATCCTGGTCAGCAACAGAACCAAGGTCTAGTCAATCCTCCAAACCTGTCCAGACAGAGCTCATCTCTGGATGAGATCCTCTCGTCCAGTCCAGAGAGTGCCAAAGACTCCTCTATTCCTGCCCCTGTGATTGCTCCCAAAGTGTTGACTGCCCAGGAGATTCAGCAGCAGAAGGAAGAAGCTAGGAAAAATAAAGACATTTTCGAGCCTCCTAAAGAGCCTTATTCTTCTGGTTGTGAACTCAATAAGTTTGTGTCGGATGTGGAAGCATTTGGAAAACTTGTTGATGAACTTACGATGGCAAATGTGATGGGTCAAACCAAACTGGATTCCATATGGAAGGTAACTGATTTTGTTTTATCAAAATGTTTTCTTTTCCTCCACATTAATCAATTAAATTCAGTATTCCTGAATTTATGCATGTTGATTGTTTGTAAAGATAGTTTAGTCATTGGGTTTAGGGTTTCTTTGATTTATTTATACTGTATATTATTATCATTTAATAATCCTGTGAATCCTTAATGTATGACAGTTCCTTATCTCTCATTCACTTTGCCATGCACACTTGCTTTGTCTTTATGCAATGTCAAGGTTCTTGTCAATTCTGCTGGAATTCTATTTATTATTTTGTGTTCTCATGTTTTAGGAGCTGTCAGACCACCAGGAACAAGAAGGCAAAAAACATTCCATCGCAATAGCTCGATGTTACCCCATGAAAAATAGAGACCCAGATATTATGCCATGTAAGTAGAGGCCTGTCAGTAGACTGCACATTGGTTATTTTACCATTTTCCAGATTATGAACATAACGTTCATTAAATGGCTATATTGGGATGATGATCATGGATCTGTATCTGTAATTTGCCAGTTATAAATGTTTTCATGAAGGTGTTTTTCATCTTCTTCTTTAAAACAGAAGTGGTTATTCGTGATGACTGTTGTGAAAAGCCTAACAGATGATCGCTATTTGTCGAAATGAAACAGTCTAAAAAAAAAACTCCACTATTTTTTATGTCTGCAAGCCTAGTGCTTTCTTACGTTACTGCAGACGACGAGTGAAAGTTGAATGCAGACATGACTGACATGTGTGAGAGTACAGGTGAACCAAAGCCACAAAATACCTAACAATACATCAACGCGAGGTATTCCCAATAACTGGCCTCTTCCAAAGTACAAGTCATGGTTAATATGTGACAGGGATAAACATTTGATTTTCGCAATATTTGCAAAGAGAATGGTCAACCAGTTCAACCATACTTGAAACACATTTAAATACTAGTGAAATATAAATACTTTACGTGTTCGATATGCACGTTTCACAAAAACAGGTGAATCTCCATACTATACAACATAACATTTATGTCATTCAAATTTTTTATCTGATGGATTACCTTCCTTTTGTTTTAATTATTGGGTAATATAAACAAGGCACACCTGAAAAACAAGTCCAGTGACCTTGGGAACATCTGATTTTTTTCTACTGTCGAGCCCTGATTGTATATCAAGGTACATTGAAATGGTTGGGGCTCTTACATGGATTTTTTTCCATGAAACTTTAATCTTTTAATCTGGGTCTTCTGTTTGTGTAACCGAGTATCACTAATTTCAGATGATGACACAAGAGTGATGCTCTCAACCCTGAAGGATGACTACATAAACGCCAGCTGGCTGAATGTAAGTCCACAATGGACAGTGTACAAACAAGTCTTGCATTGGTGTCATGGATTCCCGTCCTGCTTCTGTTGATAAATAAGTTTCTATGCTGTGTTTCAAAACACTGCCTGTACCAACTCCCAAGTCCATAAATGGCATGAGTTGGACTGGATAGTCTTGATAACTCTGTGTATTATCGATGGTCTTCAGTGTTTTATGGTATACTGTAAATCTGGAAATTAATGCGTCTCCAATTTAATACCAATGCAGACCCCCAGACAAAAATGTGACTCAAGTCAATGCGACTCCCCCAACCCCATCCCCTGTGGAATAAAACATATCCTTACCTTAATCCAATCAAACAGCAAGCACCGCTTATTAGCACTGAGGAAAGTGCTTCCGTAATAACAATAAACAGTGTTTTCCTAAAAACAACACACAGTTTATATGTTTATTCTGTTAACTGGCATTATGGAAGTTCATAGGCAATAAAACAATTGAACTGATTCACTGATTGGAGTGGTCAATGATGCCTAATTTGACATGAATGGGTAGAACTCTTGACCCCAGCAGTGATAACTCACCATATGCCTATTGTGTAATTCCTATTCTTTAAAGGTCATTGTTATGTATTTGTTACAACTGCTGCTCAATAAACCGTGTTTGTGTTTATATTCAAGTTGGTATTTCCACTATCAAAAGTGTGCAATGAGGCCGTCTTATTGCTGATAGTCATTTTGGAGACATAAATGTGAAGTTTCATTTATGCGAACAAAGACCACTCACACTTTTAACATTTTATTCACACTTGCGTTAATCTCAAGATTTACATTATTCTATTTGTAATTCACTCAGCCAGGGATTTCCCTGGGTCAATCTGTAAGTCCTGGGACTCTCAGGAACAGGGGATGACCATGTGACCTACTTCACATCTATAGGCTCGGTACACTTCCAGAAATTATTTATGTCATAACATGGGACATGCTCCGAGGCCCTGTTCTTATTATTCATGGTGATTTTCTTGATGGAAAGAAACCTTGATTATTGAGAGGAGATAAGCAAAAATGGGAAGTTTAAACTTCAGCTATATTTCTTATCAGATTTGTAATGTTGAAATTTATAATGGATTGAATTTAGCATTTGAATAACTTTTAATGATTCCAACAGCCATGCCTTTTCGCATCACTAAAAGGTCAAAGGGCAGATTGAATGCATCCATTCTCAAGTTTTATGTGTATTGGATGGTGTATTTTGTATCCAGTAATACTCTGCATAGTTAATGTAAGTGGTTCACAGAGGGTTGTTCACATAGAAGGTGTCCACATTGTGCAAATTATTTTGAAGGTTAATCTCTACTTGTGTTTGCTTTTGTTGAACACATTGTTAACATTATTACAAAACTTACTTGGCTTTTCTAAGGACCTGGCTCCATCTTGTCCCAAGTTCATCGCCACTCAGGCCCCGATTCCAGTGACTGTCAATGACTTCTGGGTGATGGTGTACGAGCAGGGCATCGAGGTCGTCGTGATGATCACCAGTGAATATGAGACTGGGAAAGTGAGTCATTAAGTCCTAACCTACTGGTAGCTGCTCAGAGCTGTTTGATTGTAATGCTTGACTCTACAGGACAGTTGATGTCATTGATCCTGACCACTGGACCTTTGTTCAGTCAGCTATTAACAAATGCAAAACTGTTCTTTATCCTACTTAATGCTATAGAGCCTGACAACATGAACATTTTCGGGCAGCTCTTGGAACACCTCTGTGGTTTAGTGGTAGAGCGTCCACTTGGAGAGCAGAAGATCCAGGATTTCATCTGAGGCCACGTTAAAAGATGGTAGTTGTTGTTACCCTGCCTGGTGCTCAGCATAAGGGGCGAAAACAAGGACTGGTTGTCTCAGAGTCTGTATACTGTCTCTCTCTCATACGCACACACACACACACACACACACACACACACACACACACACACACACACATGTACGTGCATGCACATCATTATATAAGTGTAATAATCTTGAACTCAACGTTAAACCCCATTACACCTCGGGCAGCTCTTACAAGGCATGTGATACTGTAATCCACGTGGGGATATTGTATCACCTGTATGCTCATTAGATGTCCAAGGTCCATATTTGCTGTGATGTAGAATTTGATACACTTTGTTTCGGAGAAGATTATACCACAATAGGACGTGTCAGACACAATACCAGAATACTTTACACATCTATATATCAGTATGTAGCTTTGGGTCTATAAGCTGCTTCAGGAGAAGATTATACCACAATAGGACGTGTCAGACACAATACCAGAATACTTTACACATCTATATATCAGAATGTAGCTTTGGGTCTATAAGCTGCTTCAGGAGAAGATTTTACCACAATAGGACGTGTCAGACACAATACCAGAATACTTTAAAGAAATATGTCTCAGAATGTAGCTATGGGTCTTTTAGAATATATTGAATTATGTCTCTTCTCAGAAATTCCCCTGCTACTGGCCGACGGAGAAAGGCAAGCAGGTGGAACACGGCCATGTGATACTCAACATGCAGAGCGTCAAGTACAGGGAGTTCTGGACTGAGAGAATCATCCACATCAAACATTCCGAGGTAGGACCGACATCTTAGAGGGATAGTTGTTCTCAGTGAGTGAGTTTGGGTGGATGGGTAGGTGGGCGAGTGGATGGGTTTTAAGTGAAGAGTGAGTGTCAACCATGTTTTTGAACTGAGTATCAGTTCTAGTGAGTGAGCAGTGTTTGAAATGTAACATGAAAGTGAAGGGGTCCTTGTCACACCTCTAATGTTGAATGTTAGAGATCGAAGTTTCCATAGAAAATACCATGGGAGCAGATCTGAAAGACCTCAGGCCCCACCAAACACTGGTGAGAGATTATCAGCCTGGAATAAATGCCTATGAATAAATGCCGGTGTTAGTATGATAGTAACCATAGTAACCAACACTGGTAACAAAAATGTTGAATTACAGAAAATACCACTGGAAATGTTCAGGAACTTGTTGAAATATTTAGGGAAATGTTGTCAGGTGAAGAAATTCTTACAAGACAGTTATGATTATTATACTTACTATAGGCATGTGATTCTACAGTTGGTGCTGTGCATACTGACGTAATATATGATGTGTGTACTGTACATCTCATTCTGACATGCTGTTCCTCCACAGACTAAACAAGGGCGCACTGTGGTACACCTGCAATACAAGAACTGGCCGGTCAGGTGAGTGACTCGAGGCAGTACTATGTCTGTGTGTTATCATGTAGAACAGCTCAAGATAATCAGAAATGTATCGAATGTCCTAGAATTCAAGGTGACTCCCCAGTTAAAGTTTTCAGTGAATTTTGAGGCACTTCAGAAAGTGATTGTAAGGCTACGAGTGTCTCAGCACTTGTGCATTCACATCGACTTGTGACAGTCATAATGCTAATGCATAGGCCCTGGCATATAACCAGGTACTACCTGCCTCAGTTCTAGGTTATTTCTGGGAGCTCTGATGTGCTGGTGTGTATTAGTGAAGTGCCTACAAACTGCTCAGCTTATTACATCATAATGATTACATATTGGCAACAGATTTTCTAAAAAACTTCAAAAAAATTCTCAGGTCCCAGTTTCTGTTGTGTGTGTTCCCATTCAAGACTTACCCTTTCAAACATCACAAAATGTATAGCAGTTTGAAAGTTTGGAGTCCTAGCCTCAACTTGTCTTTCGGTGGTATGTTCAGTAGATTAGTGTGCTGGCATATATGTGTACTAGACCCAATCTTCACAGTGGTAGTATCAGTCTCTGCCAAATTATGTTTGCTAAAAATTAGAGATAAGTAAACATAAACAAAGAAGGACCTCAGTGATAAGGGGAAGACATGTTCATGTCAGGTTTCCTTTCAAATCAGAAGAGAGTCTACCATGCACCTTACGTTGAGAAAAAGAGTGAACTTAGGACTTTTCAGAGTTAAAACTTGTTCTTGTCGAGAATGATTGACACATCAGTGATAGTTTCTGACTTTGCACAGGTCACAATTTCCACATACTTAACAGTCACTACTTCATCTGTGCCTGTTTTACAGTGGCTTTCCTGATGATGTGTCACACATTGTCAAGTTCATCGAAGAAGTCCACAGTTTCTACCGACAACAACGGAGCTTAATGAAACCTGTCATGGTGCATTGTGGGTAAGTTTAGGCAACTTTACTGGTCCCCAATTATGTATGTCCGTATTACAAGTTTCACAAGTAGAATTTGTAATACAGATGATATTATAAACAATTGTTTGTAGGCAAAGCTAACCTGCGCAATATGTTTCCCTTCTAAATCTCGCAAAAGAGATGTAGCAAGGACCAGTCAGAGAACTATATGCTATTTTGTACAGATAGTAAACATGAGACATGAAAGTTCTTTCACTTCGTAGAGATTAGGTAACTTGGTGCTTGATTGTGGTCATTTGTTTTAGTGCATGTTACATGTTGCCAAGAAATATTTAACTGTCTGTTGATGTCTCTATTTAAGAGTTGACCTTCACTTTGTGTGAGTTCATTGGAGTATGAACCTTCTTAGAGTGAGGGCCAAACAGTATGAACCTCGGAGCTTGCTCTAAGGATGTAGGCTAAGATCTAAACAAAATTTTATTTATTACGTGTGACTTCATGTTTACACTGACAGCCATACAACAACCAGCTATATCACAGAGTAAAATAGTTCCTCAAAAAGAGAGGTGACATGGGCGTATAGATGCACAACTTGCTCTTCAGAAACATCTTACGCAGCACATGTATTCAAATCATATCCTCATTAGATGAGAAAGGTCTGTAAAGAACTACCTCAGTAAGTCAGTCACAATGACAGGGCGTCGTAATACATTTACATCAAGTACAAGACGTCAAAATGGCCGAAACGATAACTGGACGGGAGAGATTTCCGAAGTTGTCAATGAACCTGTGGCGGTTACATGTGTTAGTCATCATTGATCAACTGGCCGATCATTGAAAGGTGAATAAAGATGCGTCAAACAGACACTAAGGTAAATTCATAGATTGCTGGAGACGGTCAATGTCAGCCAAGGCACAGATTGAGTCGATACTACGATAGTTTAGATATGCATTTCCTCGTTTGTTCATTAGGATAGGCCGCAGCGAGGATATTCGTGAACAATCATGCAGTCACACTCTCTGACATTTCTCACTGTATACTGAAACGCTGAGACCAAGAATAAAGGTTCTAAATGATAAGAAAGAACTCTTATGTATGTTTTTGTGGTAGGGAATTCCCAGGTGTTTCCCCAGGAATGTGGAAGTAGTTCGTCAGAGTTGACGTCATTTCAAGAACACGATCTCGTGAAAAACGTATGAACGTCAAATTGTGTCGTTCATACACTTATGAACGTCAATTTAGCTGTCATGTGACCGACCTCTCATCCAATGGAAAAGCCGTATATCGTGTTAACTTCAAATTAAAAAATTATTGTATAATCTGTCCAAAAGTAATGGGCTCAAACAAATATTTTGGACTGGTGAGTTCTTGATCTGTTTTATTGTTTTCTATTCAGGAACGGCATTGGTCGGAGTGGTGCCTTCCTGCTTATATACACTGGCATGCAGGAGATTCTCCATGGCAACGGTTTACTTGACATTCTGGTGATGGCAGGTCGGCTGTTGCAGAAGCGTAAGAGTATGATACAAAACAAGGAGCAGGTCAAGTTTGCCTATGACAGCATCCTCTTCTTTGCAGAGGAATTTCTCAGAAAGAGTAAGTTCAATGTCTTTCTGCAGTACTTCAAATAGCTTCTGATAGTCAGTCCCACATGGAATTCCATGATAGAAGTGGTACCCTGTGGGGATTTTGGGACAGAATTGGTCCCCAATAAGGATTCTGTCATAGAATTGATCGTCCATTGGGATTCTGGGATACAATTGGTCCCCACTTAGGAATCTGTCATAGAATTGATCGTCCATGGGGATTCTGGGATAGAATTGGTCCTCCGTGGAGATTCCAGTGAAGAATTTGTTCTCCAGGTATCTATTCTGGTTGTTATTGTACCCCAGCAATGGAGATCATTGCTCATGATATCAATCACTACTGTTTAGTCCAGACTCATTTATTTACATACAGGCCACTGGCATATACCTGGAATATTGCTGAGTGCAGCATTAAACAACAAACTAATGAGATAGTCATAGGGCCATTGACTCATGAAAATCCAACATAGATTCATCACCGATAATATTTTTGTGATACCTGACCAATCTGGTAATGGGTTCCTTTATCCAGCAGCAATGAAATCAATCTGAAACTTGTGCTGCTGTTTGTAAACACTTGCAACTTAACATTATACTGACAAATATAATATTATGTAGCAGTTTCATATACATCAGTGTCAGTTAAAAGTCATGTGATTGGTGTTGATAAAGAAATGTTTGTTTTCAGAGGACATTTTGGTGAAAACGCCACACTTCAGTGGACGGAAGAAGTCAACAGATTCCCATGTCTACCACCCGGACAAAGATGACATTGTTCTGGGATCTGTCAATCTTGAAATTATCAAGAAAAATGTTGGCAAACTTGGTGAAAAACACAGCAGTGATGTGCATGTTGCTTCCTCAAATGGAGACGTACAACAAGGGCAGACAATTTTTGAAGCAAGTATTTCAAGGGAGGATAACTCCATTGGATGTTTGCCAGACTTAATCCAACAACCTTCAAGAAATGAAAATGTGGGCGTTTCAGGTCAGGGGCTAGGTCAGAGCATGGCACAGACAGATATTTCGAGCGGAAGTGGCAGTCCGCAGGTACGAAGCCGATCAGGTTCTAATACATCCATCAAGAGCGGAAGTTCTGTCAGTACGACATCTTTGAAGGGCTCCCCACAGCATAAGGCCGAAGGCAAACCTGTTCCAAATTCTCTCGTCGATTTACAGAACCCTAGCACATTCACCCTTGGGACTGCAACACCAGAGAAGAAGAAAATAACGAAGGCAAGTTTTGCTGGAAAGCCAGCAGGAATAAAGGAAAATTTGAACAGACCTGATGATCCGTTAAGTTCACTGGATCCCTTGTGGACAATTGCGAAAGAAAAATAATGTGTTCTGGACTGGAAGTGTCCGTGTGTGACCTTGACATTGTGATGAATGCATCGTGATATTGGCCAGTGTTTGAAATGAAGGATGAAAGTTAAGGTGTCCTAATCACGTTTAGAATGGCTCCTTAGATTCGGATGTTGTATCAAAGCACCTCAAGGACACAAGACCCACTAAGTGTCTGACACTGTAGTCATGGCAACATTTCATGAGATTTGCATTTATGGCTATTTTTTCAGAGTGTGAAGAAGAGGTGTCATCTTTATAAGGATATACTGACATAATGCTTTTACTGCCTTCACAAGCAAATCAGGACCTTCTTTGTCAAAAGGTGCAAGCAAACTAGTGCATAGTCTTTCTGGTGCTAGACAAATATTGCTGTTTCATTTGAGAGTCTGCATTTTTCATGATATCTTGAAAGAGGTGACTAACAGGATTGGGTGGTCAGGCTCGCTGACTTGGTTGATGCATGTCATCAATCCCAATTGCGTGGATTGATGCTCATGATGTCAATCACTGGATTGTCTGGTCCAGACTCGATTATTTACAGACCGCCGTCATATAGCTGGAATATTGCTGAGTGCAGCATTAAACAACAAACAAACATTATATCTCTCCATTCTGTTATGATAAATATGTACTCATATCTTTGTTTTCGACTCTAAATATATGCAACACTAAAAATAGCAATGCAATCAAATTACACTCTTGAGCGAGACAAATTCTGTGCTGAGTTACTTATAGAGTTGGAGATAGTGACATCACTTCCTGAACCAAACTTTGGTGGTGATTGTTTCCAGGGAATGGATTATAATAGAATAGAGATATGATACACTGGTTAATGCTGGCTCTTTAGGTGGGAATAATGAAGGTTCGTTGTGCATTGTGTAATATGTCATGAAATGTTGCTTGGCAGACGTGTGACCTTGAAGGGTTATTCAGTAAACATGGCGACCACAAAGAGGAGATCAACAATAACAATTGAAATTCTGTATTACTCAGACCTCAAAGTTGTCTACAGATTTCTGGCAACTTTGGTTTTGCTTTATATTTTAAGCATTGAATTGATTATATTCATATCTAATCTAAAAGTACTTACCATGCTTACTCCAAAACATGTTTGGTGTCTGACTGTAATTACGATTTGTCAGACGTCTGAAGTGCGTTAAATATAGTCAATATTTATTGTTATAATAGAAAGAAATTCTATATATCATGGTTGTGGCAGGACTTATTACAGATGATGTATCAGACTCTTAGAAAGGCATATATTTTATGGTCTGTCTTTCAGAGTATGTCGATGTTAACATTGAACTAGCCCGTGGGTTATTACAGAGCTTGGTTAATGTAACATACTAGATTTATGGGGAAAAACAAGTGTTCAAACTTTTTACTTGTCAAAGTGGCAGACAAGGGCAGTGTCTAACCATGTATTTCCAGACCCATGTATTTACAGTTTCCCAGACTGAACTTGTGAATGTCTGGTGAGATCTTTCTGACAACTGCGTCAGTATGTTTGATACAGTTGCTGAAAGTGATCCGTTTGTGATGTTCTGTGTCAGTGTCCTGTTTTGACAAATGGTTATGATTGGTTAGGGAGGTCAATGTTGTAAAACGATTGACCATTGTGTCAAAATGTCACATCAGGATGTTGTAGAATTATGCTTTACTGTATGAGGTGGGACGTGCCTTTGTTAGTGTAAACTAATAAGTAATAGCCTTACCTCGACCCAGGCTCTGTAAGTACAATCCCTAATTATTGGAATTTTAGGGTCAGTTTTCACAAAAACTGATAAAAAAGTAATAATACCTTTGTTGTTGGTAGAATAAAGGGTGTCATATTACAAGTTGGCATACATGGTATATGTGGTATTATTAAGACATTTAAGAAATGGTTAACAGATCTTCCATCACCTAGTAATCTGCATTCAGCATTTAGCTTTTCTTACTTACTTTATTTCTCAAGTAGTTTATTTGTTTCTGGAATCAGCCAAGTAATATTCATTTGACACATCAGGGAAAACATCTGGTATTGTATCAGGAGTTTGTACATTAAATAAACATTTTAAGGGCCAATTACTTATAAAAATGAAACTTAAGTCTACCACAGTATCTCAGAACAAACATCATAGCTATGACAGTTGATGTTTCTGTGTTGTGATTAGTCATCAATGTTAATTAAATTGTGAGCTTAGAAATCAGGAGTAAATTGGCCATCAGTAGTGTCCTCAAGGGCTGGGCATTGATCAGTAAGCAGTAATGTGCAGGTTCAATGGTGCTATGTCTCATGGAATTTGTGTTTTACCAAACAGATTGAATGGACTACTGTGTCTAAGTTATAAATAACAATGCAGTTTTAAACACCTGTTTTTATTTTTCATATTTTTACAACAGGCAATACATCTCTATTTCACATTAAACAGTACTTCATGGTACATTAAAATAAACATTAGACTGATTGTGTTTTAGTGGTTTTACACTAGTCATTAAACCCTTCTTGGACTGTCTATCAAGTGGAGGTCTTATATCTGATAGATTCTGATGATTGTAAAGAATTCACTTTAATATATTATTCATTACATAGTGTTTCATTGTGACTCTTGACCCTTTATGATATGTATCATCAGCTTTGAGGGTGTAACCACATGCTCACACCATACTTACCACCCCAAGGACTGATAGCATTTATTAAGGATACAACAACTTATTTGTTTCAGCTTTCCACCAAATGTTTTGCCAAAGTCGGGTAAAAACAGATGAGAGTTTGTAATGTTTTTAGAATTATTATATCAACTGAACCTACTAACTGCAGTTAAACACTGTTGTGTCGAACTTTGATGTGTCAAACTTAAGGTTTTCTTGAAGTAAAAGATTGGTCCCTACATATTCCTTCTTTGTTCATCTTTTTCAGTTGTGTCAATCCTCAGATAACTCGAAGTATTTAACGTCCCTTCAACTTCGACACAACGTTGTTTGACTAACCTGCTCCTGATTTTAGAGACCTATTGTACAGATTGTATCTTTCAAAACTGGGTGAAACTTTAGAATACGTTTTGCAGAAACAAATTTATTTTATTATGTACTACAAACACAGAAAATCACAGTTTAACGTGTTTGATTGAATTCCAGGGTTTAAACAAATTAGCCTCCCCCCTGTACTACATAATGACAGTGTGGTGTACCGTTCCAACCACTCAGGACAATGTGTCTTTGTTACACCATGTACTAGGGTAATAGCTGCAAATGTTGGAAGATCACGCAGGCTTCAAAAGTGTTGAGACAAATGTTTGAGGAAATCCTACAAAATATGAAGCCAATAATTGTTACTGAGAATCATCCCACCAACACCTTATGTACATGGTAGGGATGTCTTTTTATTGTGATGTCGCTCTATGTTTTAATGTCAATGCTGTAACGATACAAATATTGATATTAATATTAAATTAACCTATATAAACATTTCTGTGGCATTGAATTATTACAATTACTGTGATTTAAGATGGAAAATTCAAATTTAAACATTTCATGGATGAACCTAGTTCATATTAATTCCAGCTCTACATAGGTCATTTTTATCCATACACATACAGAATAATTAGTTTGATAACTGATTGATATATTGTTATGTTGAGTCAATATGTCAATACTAATATTATTACTATTATTTAAATCAATGATACGCCTGGATTAGTATCACATATTTTGTTATAGGTATGTGATTTGTTCATATCATTGGTGTACACCCAAGCTTGAGTAATAGAAGAAATGTTTTTGATATATGTATAAGCCTTAGTAAGTCACATACATGTTTTTGTACACACACAAGCTTATGTAATGGCACACAAATGTAAATGATGTACTCAGAAGCTTAAGTCGTTCACATAAATGTGTTTGGTGTACATGTAAACTTGGGTAAACTCACACAGTGAAGCTTGAGCAGTATACTTTGAAATGTTAAATAGTGCACAATGGGACAAGCTTGGGACACCCATACATTGTCATGTCAGCAACACAGTCTCTCTCACAGAGCGTCATGTAAGCAGGATTTGTAATTTACAAGGTTTGGAAGACCTGTGCTGGATGCGTTTGTCTTCCACAGCATAAATGAATTCTCTGTGCAGATAATTGCAGGATGATGCACGCTTTCTCTGGATCAAATATGGATGGTATGTTGTGTAACATGTTTGTAAATGGTATGCTGGTTATTGATATGATATTCCTTTATGTTATGATCGAAGACTTGATAGCATAATTTCTTATTGTTAGAAATATGAATTGCAAGTCATGGGTTTGCATGGTGTATCTTCATTATTGTTTTCTTTTGATGATTTTCTTCAAAACAATTATTCTACCAGGGAGCGGGTCGCTAGTGGTCATCTTAAGCATCACAGTTTGTTGTGCAGAGCGATGTCCCTTAGACACACTAGGATCCTATGGTCATGGATTCATATCCAGGAGTCCCCTGATTATGAACCTTGGTTTGTCAGCACCATGTCTGTGCTTGTGGGTTTCACCAAAGTGGTAAACGTCATGGACCTGCATCAGTTTGAGTTTTCTCCCACTTCAGCTGACCTGTTGTGATAGAACTGAAACATTGGTCATTCATACAGGTGTGGGAAATATTCTCATTACATAAACTAAGTTTGATTATATTAATAGACACTGTCTTCATATACATGATCTTAGTTTGATGATATTTATAGACATCGTCTTCATTCAAAATGAATCTAACTGGCTCAATCTGGTCAACATGTGGATGCATTTCATTTATATTACTGTATTGTGTAATGGCAGGAAGTTTTTGTAATTACTGGCCAGATGAAAGTCACTTCAGGTGATATATCTATATGTTTCTCAAAAATGTACCTTTCCTCCATTAATGTGAAGTAATTCACTTCAAGGTAACTATCCATTGTTAATGATATGAATTAATTCTTACAAACACTTGTTAAAAACAAAATGCTAGCTCATACACAGGAAAGTTGTAATGTATTAGTTTAGCAGGTAGGAACCTGTTTTATATTTGCATGCTTTTTATTATGCTGTCCTTGGGGAGATGCCTTCAAACCCTAGTTGGATACAATTGTACTCTTACTGTAAGCAGGATAAAAGAACTTTCATTGAGGGAGTAGTTCGAAAGTTTGATGTTTGTTTTCAGACATTCACCCACCCAACCCCCATCCAACCCTTCCATCCCCAAAACACAAGTCATATAACAATTACATAGTTCTCAGACATACACCCACCTAACCCCCATCCAACCCTTCCATCCCAAAAACAGAAGTCATATAATCATTACATAGTTCTCAGACATGCATCCACCTAACCCCCATCCAACCCTTCCATCCCCAAAACACAAGTCATATAACCGTTACATAGTTCTCAGACATGCACCCACCTAACCCCCATCCAACCCTTCCATCCCCAAAACACAAGTCATATAACCGTTACATAGTTCTTAGACATGCACCCACCTAACCCCCATCCAACCTTTCCAACCCCAAAACACAAGTCATAGTACCATTGCATGGTTCTTTTATTAAGACATGACACAAAACATCAAGAAGCACATCCTTGTCCTCACATGTAGGGATGAGACTGCAATAAACTCTATACTGTAGTATCAATCTAACAGTAAAGAATAGTACCATTGCAGAAGTTAGGGAGCACCACCAACATTAAAACATCTTGCAAGTTGTTTTTTCAATGGAAACAATTATCATTGACTTTCATTCTGTGTAGCTTTCATAGTAATATTGTTCATTTTCTGGGCAAATATATCATGATTACAGCTGTTATTTATTTACTTATACTGTATGAAACCAGGAAAAATTGATTTTGTCAGATGGAAAACTTGCTGAACTTATAAAACCCCACACTCCCATATTCCCTCCAAAAGTTAAGGTATTACAATATTTCATCAAACTTTTGAACTGCTCCCTGAGATGTTTTTTCTTCTCATTTAGAATTCCTTTAGTGATTGTGATTCATGTCATTCAGCCAGGTCATGATTTCAGCGTTAACCCTGTTGAGTGAGGGTTATCAGCTTCACAAGAAACTAAGGACACTGTTTGCCTTGCTGGTTTTTAACAGCGACTAACTAAAAATGCATGCCATTTGATTTGTGGTTGGACTATGCTCCACATATTATTTTATTTGGTTTGTTTCTATGACATATATTATCATTTATTTTAATGATTTTGTTTGGTAAGTTATCATTTACTTGATAAGAAGTACGTGTTTATATTCAGAGTGTATTTGTGTTTATTCTACATGATCCTCAAGACAGTTGCATAGCTTCCAGTTATGCCAGATGTCAGATAGTTGACACTATTATTTTTGGCTAGAGAAAAATACAAATGCTGTCATGTTCAGTTATATATAGACATCCAATAAGACATTTCTTATGAAAATAATCCTTATGCTATTGACAACCTCAATTACCTTTTCTGTTTGCAGAAAATGTGATCAATATCTGTCCTGAAACATATTTGATGAAAATATGTGTAACACTGGTGCACTTTGTTGATGATCCTGTTTCACCCAGTATTGCTGCTATATCCGATATCCATGCTTCGATACACACACTTGTAATAATGTACATATCAAGCACAAGCTTGTATATTACACTGGTGGGAACTTCCACTCTACTGTGAAATCAATAATGCATGTATTCTTGTCAATATCAGTTGTTCATATCATGCTGGAATCTTGTGCTATACGCCCCTAATTGAAAATAAATGATTTATGGCACTATATATTCACTAGATAACGTGACTCAGCTGATTGATGCTGATATCAGCATGATATGAAATAGATAATGCTTAATCTGTACAATGTTGTATAAATACTTAATTTATTTGTTACTCTGTTGCATTTCACCCTGATGACATTGACAATAAACTGGAAAATCACAAGACAAACTTGTTCTATTGTTTTTAACTCAGAATTAGCTTCTTTGAGGAATAGGTCAATGGGTGATACTTATGTCAGAAAATAAAAGGTCTATAATCTGTCAGTATGCAACTATAGACCAGTTTTATACTTACAGATGTCAACTATAGATCAGTTTCATACTGACAGATGTCAACTATAGATCAGTTTTATACTGACAGATGTCAACTATAAACCAGTTTTATACTTACAGATGCCAACTATACACCAGTGTTATCCTGAGAGATGTCAACTATAGACCAGTTTTATATTGACAGATGTCAACTATAGACCAGTTTTATACTGACAGATGTCAACTATAGACCAGTTTTATACTGACAGATGTCAGCTATAGACCAGTTTTATACTGACAGATGTCAACTATAGACCAGTTTTATACTGACAGATGTCAACTATACACCAGTGTTATCCTGACAGATGTCAACTAAAGACCAGTTTTATACTGACAGATGTCAACTACAGACCAGTTTTATACTGACAAATGTCAACTATAGACCAGTGTTATCCTGACAGATGTCAACTATACATCAGTGTTATACTGACAGATGTCAACTATAGACCAGTTTTATACTGACAGATGTAAACTATACACAAGTGTTATACTGTCAGATGTCAACTATAGACCAGTGTTATACTCACAGATGTCAACTATACACCAGTTTTATACTGATAGGTGTCAACTATACACCAGTTTTATACTGATAGATGCCAACTATACACCAGTGTTATACTGTCAGATGTCAACTATAGACCAGTTTTATACTGACAGATGTCAACTATAGACCAGTTTTATACTGATAGATGTCAACTATACACCAGTGTTATACTGTCCGATGTTATCTATAGACCAGTTTTTTACTGACAGATGTCAACTATACATCGGTGTTATACTGACAGATGTCAACTATACATCGGTGTTATACTGACAGATGTCAAGTATACATCAGTGTTATACTGACAGATGTCAACTATAGACCAGTTTTATACTGACAGATGTCAACTATAGACCAGTTTTATACTGAAAGATTTCAACTATACACCAGTGTTATCCTGACAGATGTCAACTATACATCGGTGTTATACTGACAGATGTCAACTATACATCGGTGTTATACTGACAGATGTCAACTATAGACCAGTTTTATACTGACAGATGTCAACTATACACCAGTGTTATCCTGACAGATGTCAACTATACATCAGTGTTATACTGACAGATGTCAACTATAGACCAGTTTTATACTGTCCGATGTTATCTATAGACCAGTTTTATACTGACAGATGTCAACTATACACCAGTGTTATCCTGACAGATGTCAACTATACATCAGTGTTATACTGACAGATGTCAACTATAGACCAGTTTTATACTGACAAATGTCAACTATACACCAGTGTTATCCTGACAGATGTCAACTATAGACCAGTTTTATACTGACAGATGTCAACTATAGACCAGTTTTATACTGACAGATGTCAACTATACACCAGTGTTATCCTGACAGATGTCAACTATACATCAGTTTTATACTGACAGATGTCAACTATAGACCAGTTTTATACTGACAAATGTCAACTATACACCAGTGTTATCCTGACAGATGTCAACTATACATCAGTGTTATACTGACAGATGTCAACTATACATCGGTGTTATCCTGACAGATGTCAACTATAAACCAGTTTTATCCTGACAGATGGCAGAGGGGAGTGGGAATGAAATTTACACATTGAACAGTTACTAGCAGATACCAACATGTATAAAGGACGACAGAAGCTGTCGTAGAAATGGCGAGGAACGAATTTCTCTCAGCGAATTGAAATAGTGCCGTTAACAAGAATGGAGCTGAAGGTGATGCACATCGTGCTGTGTCACACAGACGTTATGTTCTGGAGCCTTCCACTGTTTATTTAATGTCATCGCTATAATACACGTCTTTTGTACCTACTTGATGTTTGTACGGCACAGATGTCATGCATGAATTGGATTATCAAAGGTTGAACATTCACACCAAACACAAACACGAGACCACCAGGGCCATTCAGTGTTAGGGCGAATGCATGCAAATACCCACTGTAATCTGCTCGAAATACGAACTCTCAACAAAGAAAAGCCATTGTGCCAACACCAAGACATGACCAATTCACAAACATTGTGACCCCGCTGGCAAGCCTCGCCATGGTGAATAGACCAATGTCATCTTCACCGCTCAGGCCAGGAAACTATTATTTAACAAATCCTATTAGGATCTATTAGTGTACAGCTTAGAAGTAAGGCTGTATTGACTGTACACCCATACACATTCAATAAACACGTTAAACAGGTTGCAGCTTGGGTGGCTACGCTTGTCACATTTAGCACGTGTACAATGGTCTAAATGAGGCTTCGAACCCATGTCACTCTTCTTAACTTCTTTGGGGTCCGCCGATTTATATATTTTTTAAATATATTTTCACATTGTTTTCTTCTCCGAATATGGAAATAAGCTCATATATATTGTAGTTAATTAATTAAATAGAAAACCACCCGAGTGCATAAAGGGAGCGAAACTGCGGCTGTTCGCGGCTGTGACTGAAATATTGCATCATGAATCATTATTGGGTACATTATTTCAATGACCCCAAGCCTAAGGTGTGTGCGTGTAAACTTTATGCACTTGTTCTCATCCCAAAACAGCGAGACTGGTCTAAAAATACAAGGGTACTTGCTCGACAGGTTATGAAAATTAATGACTTTCGTCCATCTGAATCTGTAGTGAAATTCACATCAGACATATTTGGAAGTCAGCCAAGCACGAGAGTCTCGCTCCCGCGATATGTTCATCTGCGTTCTGTCACCCCAACATTTTGGTTGAGTTGTGTTAATATATACAAACAGCAAGCGGAAATCAATATAAACAAATATTTGCTTGACGTATACCCGTAATAGTAACACACAGCCACACTGAAAGCTAATCATATTTGCTGGATGTTCGGCAATGAAAGTCTGCCTCTCAATGTTAACGCTCAATGAATCGAATGTACTGTGTCTATTCTGTATATAATGTTGTTGCTACTTCCCACTGATCCTTATTAATTTATCAACAGTCCGTCAAAACTTAGCTTTTTCAACAGGTTTTTCAATCCATCTCTGATATTATCGCTTCATCCAGATACTGGTATACAACAAAAAGCAGTACATGACCTTGGTAAATCTGAGTACAATCAAATGTACAGATCAAATTTATCAATTCATAAGATGTATCTTATCTCTAACAGAAAGATACGTAAGGTATGTATATCTTTGAACGAAGCTATTTTGCCTGTTTGATTGAAATCTCTCTTAAATACCCGACAGCCATTTAAAGAGTTTGGTCTGTATCTTGCGGATCTAATTTTGTTTTGACGTCGCAAGTTCAACCCCGAAACGCACAACTCCCAAAACGCACAACTCCCAAAACGCAGCCCAGAAATTGATTTCCATTATATAATGCATGCTGCCACCACACGCAGTTACATATAAACAAAACGTGTCAGGTGTTGAGGCTGGGTGTAGTGAGGTGTGACATTTAGCTGTTCTGAGATGAATTACCTATGCATAAGTAATACCATCTATATTAAATATGTCAAATCCTTGTGGTGAAAAGCAATGTTTATTCATGTTTGACAGTGACATATTAATGATTATCCTAAACAAAAACTGAAATTGTGATATACTAAGCACCAAAAGTAACTGTGTACATTATGATATTTTCTTTCGGTGCCTAATGATGCATATATACTTTAAACTAACGAAACTGTGCACACAAATCATCAGTTTCTTTTCTCTGGTGCCTCGTATAGTTCAAAAGTTCTTCACATTTTGCTTTACAAAGTAAAGACCAGAGCTTCACACATATTTTATGTAGAACACTTACCATGCTTACAGGCTGCACTGAACCAAAGACACAACAAGGCAGCAAAGTGACTGGGTATTCTCTGTTGGTGAAAACGGACCGCCTCCGTGGTCTAATGGTAGAGCGTCCGCCCGGAGAGCAGAAGGTCCGGGGATCCCCGGCCGCGTCATACCAAAAGACGTTAAAAGATGGTACTTGTTGTTACCCTGTGTGGCGCTCGGCATAAAGGGGCTAAAACAAGGACTGGTCGGCTCGGAGTCAGTATACTGTGTCTGAGTGGGATATTCATGTTAAACTGCGGCATGGTATCTCAGTGAGCTAGCACTATAAATCGGCATCAGTCCGGACTAGTACAAGCAGCCACACAAACACACACACGTACATGCACGTCGCTATATAAGTGCAGTAATCTTGGACGCGACGTTAAACCAAATTTCACCTCACCTCACCTGTTTGAAAACGGGTACCGCGCTGTCATCAAGTATCCCATGAAAGGACTTACTCCAAACGCCATGAATGCGGACGTAGTGTCAACTTTAGGGGGTGATGCTCCTTCCTTTGTCACTGTTTAGAGGTATGCAGCGGAGGTAACAGGGGAAGAAACAGCCTCGAAGACAACCCAAGACCAGGAAGACCTTCAACTGTCACCACAAAGGAAAATGTAGATAAAATACATGATATGACTATGGATGATCGAAGACTCACCACACGTCACATAGGTAATATTTCTGTATATCTCAGTCCTTTGAGGAATGGAAAACGTCAATCCCAGAGAATAACCAGTCTCGGTTATCCGCCGACACAGATTGTATAAGGGAAAGCAGAAGTGGAATAAATGTGAATGGATCACTTACAGTCAGTGATGACACCAGGAGTTCGCGAAAACGGTAAGCATGTAAGTAAGTTGTTAGTGAAGAATACGTTTTAGAAATATGTTGGTTTTGCAACACAGTGGGCGTGACACGACATGACACGACGTGACACTGGCATGACAAGTACTCCTGATAAAAAAAAGGCTTTAGGTTAATTATCTCTCTTGAGACGTTTGGAAGCAGACACATCTGATCTAGTTGAGCGATTTGTAACCATG